TCGTATTTTCATTTATGTGTCTTCTTCGAACAGTTTCAGAGTCCACTGGTGGTTTGTTAGTGAAACACATGTCAAAAAATACACAGAAATGAGCCGAAAGAGCAACATCGACCACGCTTATATTTGAAATATTCACCCCCTTTGTAACTAACAGGTCTAGAGTGTGCCCTCTGCTGTGGGTGGGGCCACTCACGTGCTGAGTGAGACCAAAGGTATCAAGTAAAGAACTCAGCTCTTTTGCATTTCTGTCATGAACATTATCCACATGAATATTAAAATCACCTGTAATAACTAAACTATCATAATCTGTGCATACAACTGAAAGCAACTCGGTAAAATTATCAATAAAACTGTGACATGACTGCGGTGGCTTGTATAGGACTATTATGGTCTGTTACATTATTGTCTGTTACATTTGGCAGTATATTGTGGCAACTGCACTTGTATAAAAACTTTTCTTAAAGTGATTGTCTGGAGTTTGTCAGAAAGAGAGACAGAGAGGTACTTGATTTGAAAAAAACGACGCAAGCTCCCTCCCCCTTCCTTTCTGATTGGTCTACACCTACGTTTCCGTAACACTTTGAAATGTTAATCAGAGAACACATTATACATATACATTATTAATACACATGCACGGAGGTTTTCAGAATTATTTGTTAAAGTTTTAATGAAAAAAATAATGTTTTTATGCACAAAAAAAGCGATCGCGGCAAACCAGGAATTGCTATTATTATGAATTGCACATTATAGGACACATCTGCAGAGGATCTGATTATAGATATAGGTTCAGTCTATAAATGGGTAACTCAGCGCGGATGTTCAGAATTCTTTGTTCAGTTTTCATGTAGTGCAGAGCCTAATAGAGGATTGATTCGGAGGCTCAGCGAAAACAAACAACTGAGCATGCGCGCAGCTACGAGCATCAGTGCCGATGATTGACAGCCCTTGGCATGACTCGATTGGTTAACCTCGACGGCACTGTGGATTCTGAACTATAGCTAAGAGCAGGGAAGGCGGGACTTTCCCGTAATATTAGAATTAATAAAGTGACTTATTTTATATCAACATTTAAGGCCAAGAGGTCAATTTAACACATTTCCTAAAATTTGTAATTCATTTAGAGTTACAGACTATCACTTTAAATCCATTTGTCCTGGTTTTAATGGACCTGTGCCTGCTGTTGAAAGTAAGCCAATTAGGTGTAAGTTTTGTAAAAGTGTCATTTTCAAGTCTTGTTTCATTATTATATATAATGTTTCATTATATAAATGATATTTATGATTTTATATATATATAACTACAGAATTTATCCCAAGTGTGTTTTAATTTGGGAATAAACATATCTCCGATTTACATTGGAAAAAACACAAGATTTAATACATGGGGAATTTAGTCTTCAAAACAATATGGACCTTAATAATTTGCCAAAACACAACAAGCTGTGGTTTCTGAACCCTCTGAAGGCAGATTCTCTCTTAGATGGAGAAATAACATTATTCGAGGGGAAAAGAGATGGAACAGCTCTACTTCTAAGGCGGCTGCTGGTGATAAAATCCTCCTGTGTAAGGCTGCATACAGAAGTGCTCTCTTCTAACTGCTTGGATCCTCTTTTGGTCCAGGTCCGTCGGGAAAGCATGGAAAGACAGATATGACTGTTGTCTTGCCCCACAAGAGCAACCAAGAACAGAACAAAAACAACCGTGGTGAAATCGTGAGTTTGAACCATACTGACGCTGTTTGTCAATGAAAAAGCATATATTTCAAAAGACATTATTAAATCATGCTCTTTTCGAATACATCGTTAACTGATAACAGTAGTTCAGCTGAGATATTTGAATATCAAAATTAGTTTTCCGACGCGTATAAGTTATTGTTTTCATTTTGATGTCTCACCCTCCGCCGTTTCACCAATCAGGAAGTCCGAGATCCGTGTTGCCAGAACTCCCCGCGGCTAGATAATCTCACTGGTGAAATTACATATGGCCGCAGAAATAAAAAAAGGTCTTGTTATGACTCTCACATCATTAATAACAAAGACTAAAACGAGGATTTATATCGGGACGCTTTTGAAAAATTTAGACAGGGGATAAATACTTTTTGTGTGATGCAAAACTTGCTGCTTTGAGTGCGTTCTTAATTGACAGTTAAATTATGAGCCTCGACATTTTACAACTAATGCATGCTATGGTGGTCTAATGGTTAAAGCTGTACTAACAGACTTTGGGATTTCAAAGCAGCGGTTTCGCTTTGTACAGGATTTTTAGGGCGTTAATCGAATTGATGTTTTGTTTGCTTAAAGGAATAGTTCACCGTTTTTACATACTGACATATGTTCTTACCTTACCTTAGACTAGTTAATACGTACCTGTCTGGTCTTAGTCCGTGCGCTCTGTCATGCAAACGGAGCAAAAACGGGAGCACAACCGCAGCCTCCTCTGTATATTTTGTAGCACCAAAAGGTAGCTCCCGCTAGAAGCTACCAAACTCTTCCAAGTGTTCCCTATTAAATGTATATAGTTACGTGACGTGTTACACTGCAAAGTATAGTAACACAGAAATGTAACAGTCGATTTTCTCAGCGGATAAAACGGGTACTATATTGTGAGGCGTAGTAATCTGAGGGGCGCTACGTCCGCGCACTAACTTCTCTCCGGAGACTTCTCTCTCGCTCACTTCCGTCAATAGAAGCAGCGTGACTTGTAATACACACAGTAGCAGCGAGAGAGAAGTCTCCGGAGAGAAGTTAGTGCGCGGACGTAGCGCTCCTAACTTCTCTGCGCACTAACTTCTCTCCGGAGACTTCTCTCTCGCTGCTACTGTGTGTATTACAAGTCACGCTGCTTCTATTGACGGAAGTGAGCGAGAGAGAAGTCTCCGGAGAGAAGTTAGTGCGCGGACGTAGCGCTCCTCAGATTACTACGCCTCACAATATAGTACCCGTTTTATCCGCTGAGAAAATCGACTGTTACATTTCTGTGTTACTATACTTTGCAGTGTAACACGTCACGTAACTATATACATTTAATAGGGAACACTTGGAAGAGTTTGGTAGCTTCTAGCGGGAGCTACCTTTTGGTGCTACAAAATATACAGAGGAGGCTGCGGTTGTGCTCCCGTTTTTGCTCCGTTTGCATGACAGAGCGCACGGACTAAGACCAGACAGGTACGTATTAACTAGTCTAAGGTAAGGTAAGAACATTTGTCAGTATGTAAAAACGGTGAACTATTCCTTTAAGAGATATGCGTCTATCCCATTCACAGTAGGGTAGACGTACAGTGGATATTTCTGTTTGTTGGTACATGATTGGGTGCAATCAGTTTTGTTCTATTTTATCTAATTTATCATGTGGGAAAAACATAATCTTTGTTGCCAATTTGGAGTAGAATGTAATTTCATGAACTGTGTTGAATGCTTTACGGAGATCAAGAAAAAAATCATAAATAATCACGGTGCATTAAGAGTGAAGATACAATCCTTCAGTTGTATGCTCAGCTAAACTGTTTTTAACATGAATTTGAAGTGAAATGATGCCTCCCCATGTCTAGTTCTGACTCTGGGCACCAGCATGAGGCCAGTCCCTGTGCTCCTTAGAGTCCGTGTTGGTTCAAATGGCACTAAAATGTCACTAAAAGCCACAGAAAGCCAGTGCAGAGACTAATGTGATGGTACTTCCTGATTCTAGTCAGTTCTCAAGCTGCAGCGTTTTGGACCCATCAATAACAACGATGAGTCTGCATACAGGGAGGAGGTTGGTCTGCTCTCGGATTGGTGTAGGAGCCATAACCAGGTTTTAAAAATCAAAATGACCAAGGCAGTGGTTGTGGACTTCCGCAAATCCCTCATTATCTACCTCTGTGCGTAGACGTTGAGATGATGGAGCGAGTGCCCTGTTTTAAATTCTTCGAGAACCTCTCCTGGGACCAAAAAATCTCCTCAGCTGTGGGGAAATCACAACAGCGCCTCTTCTATCTGAGGAAGCTGAAGAGAGTCCATCTCCCTCAGAGGCTTGTGATAAACTTTTACAACTGTATCATTCAGAGTGTGCTGACGTATGGTCTGCTCGTATGGTCCTCCAGCTGCACAAACGCAGAGAAGCAGGCGATCCAAAGGGTGGGGAAAACTGCTGGGAAGATCATTGGAGCTCCTCTACCACAGATTTCCAGTGTGTTCACCTCCCGCTGCCTGCGCTGGTGTCACAACATCATCAGAGACCACCTCCATCCAGCACACAGACTTCCACCTGCTGCCCTCGGGCCGGAAGTACTGGTCACTCCCTGCCTGAACTAGCAGAATGGCCAACAGCCTCTACCCCGAGGCGGTCAGACTGCTCAATGAATACTGCCCCCCTCCTCAGCCCCCGCCGACCCCCATTATCTTCCACTTTTACATACCTGCCATAACTGTGAACTGGTCGTGCATTCTTGCAGCTAACATACTCACTTACATCCTGTTACTGTCGTGCTTTTTTACCTCCTATAGCTCTGTGCTGTTTACATCATGCCAACTTCTGTACTTTATACACTTATTATCACCATGATTCTCAAATGTTTGGCGAGCCCATTGAGCAGGCCATTACAGTATAACTACTGGAGACATTAGCGATGGTGCTTTTTCCTTTTGTTCACCTAAAGTACTTAATCAGACTGCCACAGTCTTTCTTAACCAAATAATTGCAAAAAATGGTGAAAAGATGCAAAGACTGTACGTAGATAAATGTCTTGTGAAAACTGAAAGGTTGCATTTCAAGCTGACAGTTGTAAATCTGCTCAATAACTTCAGTGGATGAAAGGATTTGGCCTCTTCTCTCTGTGAAGTTAACAGTGCTGCTGGACTGAGTTACTGTACGTGGACTGTGAAAAATGGGTCAGGTGTTTTAGGTCCACATTGTGATAGAGGTCAAGAATCTCATGAATGCACTTCTGTCCAGATTGACTTTGGTGATGGGAAGATGATCTCATTTATTAGACCAAGATTTTGAAGTGTTATGTTTGTGTTCCAGAGATCTCCATTCTACCAGATGCTGAAGGCTGGCTGGCCGGTTAGTATTGAGACATGACGATTCTTTGGATCCATATCTCAGAACTTGCTGTAACTCTTTGTTTTGCAGGTGATGCCTGGCCCTCCTGGACCGCTGGGGCACCCGGGAAAACCCGGTCCTCCTGTGAGTTTTACCCATAGACCTTTACAGAATATCATATTTTGATACTACAAAAACACTGGAGCATTATACAAAGAAGCTATTTTAATCAAATAGACACACATATGCACGCACACACACATATACAGACACACACACACACTCACACACACACACACACACACACACACACACACACACACACACACACACACACACACACACACACACACACACACACACAAAGAAAGATGAGCCTTAGCCTTTGCAAACTCAAACTTCCTTCCTCCTTTCAATGCATCTTAAAGATAAACTACTTTAAACACATTATTTACTTGTGTGTAGCCAATAACTCGTCAGGCATTAAAGAAGCTATACCCGATTTTTTTTCTAAGTAGTTCATAAAAATGCTTTTTACTACATACAAGTTGTATCATAATACATCATTTAATTGAAAACTTGAGGTAATTGATTCAGCTGTGTAAGAATTACAAGCAGTGAAAAGTGCTGAGTAGAGTCTTAGCGGGCCGCTCTTTCTCCTCCGCTCACAGAACGAGCAGTGAACAGCCTGCGTCCTCTAGCCCCTACAGCGCTGCTTAACACCAGGACTTCGACTTCAAAATTCGAATATAAATTCTAAAATAAAAAATGATGAACAAAATAATTGAATAAAAAAATGTGAACAAATATTAGACAACCCTTGTAATTCGAAATGTATTTAATGACTGCAAATAAAATAGTTAGCTCCCAAAGGTTTCACCGGGACGTGCTAGGCAGGTAACAGCTAAGCTAGCTAGTTGTTTCATGGTAACTTCCGGGTTTTTCGCAATCGCTTTTTGTCACATTGAAACAGTATTTTTGTTATGAAAACGTTAACAGCAAATTCTGAAATCATCCGTGCATGTGTGTTAAGGATGTATATGTGTACTGTATTGTCCGATTGACGTTTAATGGTGTTGATTGATAGATATGTAGTTGTTTATTGAGCGTGGCTAGCTCCGCTAGCTCCGTTGGCTTCTCTACACAGACAAGTGTGTAGTGACAGGTGCTGATAGCTTGTTGTACTTGCAGAGTAATGGCAGTATTTTACACACCTGAATTACAAACAGAGGTTGCATTGGGGCTTCGGTCATTATTGGTTTGAGAGTTCTGTTATCAAGAAAAAATTATCGGAAGAATTGCTGCTGCTGCTTTGAGGAGCTCTATAACAAATTATAATTCAATATTAGAATATATTCTAAGGTTTTAAATTAATACATTCGGACGCAAAACTAGCGGTATTCTTTTACTTATATATTGTGTTAGCAGTGCGTTGCTTTAGTGCCATTTCATCGGTGATTGTTGCACAGCTCGCAAATAAAACTAGGTGGCTCTGTGTTATGAGAGCGTAGGGGAAATAAGAAGCCATTGAGCGAGTTGGGGGGCGGTGCTAAACATTCAAACATTGCAGAAACGGGTATAGCGCCTTTAATGTTGCCACTAATGAGAACTTAACTTCAACAAGTGAATGTTTTCTGTTTAGGGGCTTCCCGGACACGCTGGAAACACAGGAATGCCGGGGCTAAGAGGAGATATGGTAAATATATTGTTTTCTTTATTTGACTTGAGCGAAAGCAGTATAATTTCTCATTGGTCCAGGAGTGATTCATCACTGAAAAAGTTTCAGATGTAGTCATCTACAATGCAGGGGTTCCAAAACCTTTTAGGTTGGGACCTTCAATATTGGCATGGATCCAACCCACATAATCATATGGAGCTGAAAAAACAAAACAACAACTGCTGTAGTCCATGTTTTCTATACATTGAAAATCTTGAATCACAGTGTGTGTCTCTGTGTCTCTCTGTGTGTGTATTTAGGGTCCCGTCGGGCCCAAGGGAATACTTGGACGGGCAGGACGATGGGGCACTGATGGGAGCCCAGGACTTGATGGAAGACCTGGTCCTCCTGGTGTACGGGGCCTCAAGGTGAACAATAATTCTAATTTTTACATTTTGATTAAACATTGTATTAATTGTTATTCTTTGTTTGTTACAGGGGCAACGAGGCTTTAAGGGGGACGAGCCTCCAGAAGGGGAAAAGGGAGATATGGTATGGTTGTCATGTATTACAACTGAAACATGAAAAGGGTTAGGGTTAGGATCAAATAAATACACATTTTGGCATGTTACAGTATACATGCCACACATGGTGCTCAGTGAATTGGGTGGCAGCTGATTGCCACCCCCCAACCCAGAAATGGACAAAGGGGAAGAAGATTGATGGCATGTTACACATATTTTGAAAGCTAATTTCATCAAGAAAACACACACATTATTCATTTTACTACAATTATTGCACCCTAAAAATAAGAATTGCAAAGATGTTTGAAAGGATGCATCAACTCCAATCCTTGCTCGTATTATAACGAGAAAAATACAATACAATACAATACAAATATAATACCATTTATTCTTGTATAGCCCTTAATCACAACAGCAGTCATCTCAGAGGACTTAACAAAATCATTGAAATCACCAACACAGATCAGAGAATCAACAGTTAAAACACAAAAAAGAATATAGAATTATGTGTACTTGTACTGTATATCTGTGTTTGTGTTTATATGTATGTGAAAATTGTGAAATACTGTGAACATCTGGAGACAATACTTTCAACTGAGTCTTCCTCGGAACGAGTTTGAATGACAGGTATATGGATGCCTGGTTATGTAAAGACACACACAGCATTCCTAATGAATGGCATGTCGCACACACAGAGTCTCCGCTCCTAAAGCTGTAACAACTACTGTAGCTCTGAACATGGCTACGGGAGACAGTCCAGTTCCACATACAAACAGGTGCATCATGGGAAATGTAGTGCTGGACTTTCAACAAAAAAGGGCAGTTCTGGAAAAAAATTAAAGTAATATAAATCTGGTCTCTTTAAACTTTTGCCCCCAAAGTCCATATACCTTGTTAGTTAGAGGAGTGGTGTACTGTAAACTGCATGTGCCCACTGCCCTGAGTCTGACACCGCTCTCCCGCTCTGATGGGACAAAGGACATGATTGGGACTCTCACGGCTGCTTGTTTCTGTTCTCACAGGGTTTCACCGGAGAGCCGGGACCCAGCGGAGAACGGGGAGACTACGGAGAGAAGGTCAGTAGCAAAATGAGATCCAAGTCCATCTTATCATCTATTTATTATCCTGGGTTATGTCTTTGGAGGTCGCAGAGATGCCCAGACTGCCCTCTCCAGGCTCACTTCCTCCAACTCATCAACATTAAGAAGCGACACCATAAAGAAATATTTAAATACTCCTTTTTATAGTGGTCAATAACTGTTGAGATCTGTGGTTCCCAATGTGGCGAATCTATTTGATTAATAGATCTGCCATAGGTGAGAAGACAGAATACATGACTCAAACAAGTAACATAAGAGTTAGGGCTCTGTTCGGTGGGAGTCCTGGGTTGGGTCTGTGCTTATGTTGAGGGTCCTTGTCTGAACAGTTTTAAATAATTCATGGACAATTTTTTGTGGCCCTTGAACTGATTTTCTCTCAGCATTGGTAATATATTGTTATGGCTACCGTGGCACGTATACCGTACTTTAATTATATTCTTCTCAAGAAAACAACCTATAATTTGATATAGTGAAATAAAACAATACTTTAATAATACAAATACATTTATTGCCTTTGGTCCTATTTTTCTTCAATCCACACAAGCGGTACCTCACCTTGTTCAGAACAATTTACCTGAAAGTAATATCCAAACTCATAAAAAAAAAAAAAAAACTATTTATTTTGTAAAAATATTTAATGTAAATTAAATAATCTTTTAGCTTAGAAAGCCACTTTCATAGCTTCGGCCCCTGGAGGTGCATCTTAATTTTCTTGTGACTAACAGACTTACAGCTGTGCCTCTTTCTATTGGTTGATGGTTTGTTTTTATTTTTTAATAATGATCTCAATACTTTGAATAGTTTAGATTATATTAGAGGCCCATTAATACATCAAAAATAGGGTTAGAGATCCCAGTATACACAAAAATAAGATCAGAGACCATTGTGTAAGAAAGATAACCTACACAAATAATTCAATCGCAGGTTTGAGGCCTGTATTGTTAATTCTTTTTGTGATTTTATGTTTCTTGGTTTTGTTAAGTACTTTGAGTTGCCTTGCCTTGCGATCTTCAATATTCCACTTCTGAACTGGTTCTGTAATGTACTAGTTCTGTTTTCTAGATAAAACACTGCCCTCTAGGGGAACAACTACCACATCACAGCTTGACTTCACTCATCATCTACCTGTTTTCACTTCACCTATTACATTCTTTATACAAACACATTTTGATGTTTATTTCATTTAAATCTGTTTTAGGGTGTTAAAGGAGAGACTGGAGAAGCTGGACCAGTTGGCCCCACTGTAAGTTACAGCTAGAACGTGCACAGCTGAAGTGGGTTCGCTGAAGTGGGTTTTAATGACTCTTGTGTCTTCCCTGCAGGGTGTTATGGGTATAAAGGGTGCTCAGGGACCTCCTGGAGCTCCGGGTGTAGAGGTAAACATCCCTTTCACTGTTCTGTTAGTTTGTATATTTTTCTTATAGCACGTGTTGTGTTTTAACAGGGAGAGTGCGGTTATGATGGTGTAAGAGGACCCCTAGGACCCCCAGTGAGTCACATCCCCATGACGGCTCATCTTTCTTCTTGACAGTGCATCATAGTACTATAGTTCTACAGTTGTATACAGTAGAAACCGCTTACCTACACGGTGTAGACATACGATTTAGTTGTTCTCACTGTCTGAAATGAAACTTCTGGCTTTCAATACTGTGGCTGCTTTTTTAGATTCAGACCTATCTTAACCCTACCATGCTGCCAATATCTACCATGTAATTTCATGTCCCATTTTAAAGTTCTTCTTCTTGAAACTGTTATGGCAATATGTATAATGATACGAGGCAAACAAGTTTTTTTGGGTGGATTTTCCAAAGTTATGCAAGACTAAGATTGTAATAAATGAGAATTTAAGCTCTGGCAGAAGGCCCTCTGTAAACCTTCTCCCGCAGTTCTACCAAACATCTCTGCCCCGAACAAAGGGCTGTACCTGTGTTTCAACAGGGGTTGGGGTTCGGGTTGGAGGGAGGGTGATAGGAGAGGGAAGGAGAGGAGGGGAAAAGGGGAGGACAGGAGAGGAAAGAACAGGGAAGGTGAAGACTGACCCCATTTTCACAAATCACCTGATGGTGACATCAGATTCATCTTTATGGGGTCATTCAAAACGGGACCAGGGTGATAAAATGAGCACCAAGACCCTCTGTATTTTATGTTTCAAATGTTATTAATCTAAATAACAGTAATTTTCCAAATGCAAACATTGAGTCTATAATGCAGTTAGAAATCATTAATAAAACAATATCTGTAAACAATGTCCTTGTTTAGTTCTGTTTCAATCCAAGCAGAACTTATCTTGATATGTCCAAACCTATATTCAATAGAAGTTATAAATTGTTAAAAATTTAGGTATTTTACATTCTTTTCTTTCACAGGGGGCAGCTGGAGCCACAGGGGGGATCGGACAGCGTGGGATTAATGGGACAGAAGTGAGAAAACACATCTTACACAAACTAGTGTTAGTAGAAAAATGTAGTTTTAATCTTACACCCATTGATCCTTATTTTATAATTTAAACATTTTGAATCTTGAAATTGATGTAGAAATATGTAATAATGATAGGATTAGAGGCAGATGAGTCTGCTCACAGTAAGAAGCATTACAAGCACCCATTTGTTTCTGGATTGAGAGGACTGCTCTAGTTATGCTCCACCTATTCCTCCTCTTTCTCAGGGTGATCCAGGTCCAACTGGTCCGAGGGGGCGAGCTGGCCCTCCTGTAAGTCCACATTTCAATATGTATGTATAATATATTTGAACATTTTCACAAGAATTATCTAATTATGATGGATCTGTTTTTGTTATATTTCAATAGGGTCCAGTGGGTTTGACTGGACAGACAGGTGTCCCCGGACCTCAAGGACCTCAGGTAATTGACATGTTTTAGTTTGGTATTCATGTTTCTTTTTTATAATCTGAATGCCTTGTGTTTAGGGCCTGTCTGGAGATGATGGCCAATGTGGCCCGAAAGGGGAGACGGTAAGCGTTGTCCTTTCTTCTGTTTGCTAAAAGACCAATTCTCCATGTTAAGAGTTTGACCTGTTACAGAGCAACCCTGTTAGCCCTATTAGCCTCCCTCTCAGCTCAGCTGCTCAGGTGAGGAGATTGTTAAATATGGATCCAACACTTGTAATGTAGAGGGAGCAGCGTCTGCAGTCAAAGCTCTGGGTTTACCGCTCAGTCTGCACAGTAGCCTACAGAGACAGTGTGTCGTCATGGAGGGTCCCCTATTGGCCTTTTTCACACCCCGCCAATTTATGACTTCCCTTCTGGTCCCAGTATTACACCCAGTTGGGGCGGGTCCTGGCTCAAAAAACTACATGAGCATATGAGCTGACATGCTTGCAATCTCACTCCGGGCCAGTGGGGGTGGACCAGCAATAAGTAATACCAAATGCTTTTGTATGGTGTGTTCGAAAAGTCGGCTCTTGGCCCAGATGTGTGTCAATGTGGAGGGGAGTATATTTTTTTTTGGACCTGTCTAGTTTAGCTGCTGTGGACCACAGAATGCACTCGTTAAATGAATGGGGCTAGTGCCGGCTAGCACGTGTGCACAAATGCGTTTTCCTGCCCTGCTGCCATTTTGAAAAAACCCCATGGAAGGCAAAAGTGGTGGCTCATTAGTTTCAACAATGTGAGGCGTGTCTACATTCGTTAATATTTACAGTCTATGATTACACCTGTGACCGGATTGTACTACTATTCCCAAACAAATCAAAACTCACAATCAGTGCGTGAACTTTCACAATTTACTGAGTCACTAGTCACAAGTATTTCCCAGAAAGCACAAGGGGCTGGCAGAGCTGTGTGATTGACGGGGCTCGGGAGGCTGGCAGAGCTGTGCGATTTGCAGGCCCTGGTGGGCCCTGGACGGGTGAATGCCGTGGCCGGTCTTTCAGTCTGAATCTGCGCGTTCAGCTTCATAAGGGTTCATGTCAAAACCCTCTTCACTGCCCCCAAACGCCACTGTAGGAGCAGCATGCTAATCAAACATGGCACGGCTCTGAAGGTTGTAAATTAAGGTAAAGGTGCACCTTATTTACCCCCGTAGGGAAAATCATCTTCTGCATTTGACCCATCCTAATGCCACTGAGGCTTCCGTCAGTAGCAGTGGTTGCCGGAGTACAGCGCCCAGGGACCCACCTACAGATGTTAATGCTCGTCTTGGTCAGGACCAGAGCTGGAGGATTTTTCCTGTTACCTATATGTTTTTAGTAAACAATATATATTGTTTTTAGTAGTAGGGGAAACTGGAGAAAAAATGGGACACAGGGAGAAAATGTAAACTCCACTCAGAAAGAACCTGTTCCGACCGGGATTTGAACATCATGCTGAGAAGCGAGAGTGCTGTTTTGGAGTTTTTACCAACACATGACTGAAGACATGAGATGCAAGGCTGAGGAGAAGACTGCAGATCAGGGGTGTCCAAACCTGTCCTCAAGGACCCCTGTTGTAGATGTAGGAATTGGAGCTAAATCATAAGGTGTTTCACTGAGGAGGAGGGGCTTTCTCTGTCTCTGCTCCCTCTGCTGTCATTACACTGGTGCTTATTCCCACAGAGCAGAGATGTGTGCAGAAAGAAGGAGTTTGAATTGTAAACCTTATGAACCTTTTTATGCACGACAGTAGAGCACAATGTTCTGATCTTGTGTGGCAGGGTGTGGCAGGACCCATGGGCATCAGGGGGTCACCGGGCCCTGAGGGATCTATGGTAAGTGACTAAATGTGACTATTATTACTATACATGTAAAGAGTAAAGCACTCATAGCCTTGTGTTTTAGGGCGTGAGTGGAGGTCCTGGAGCTAAGGGGTTCCTGGGTCACACAGTAAGAAGCACATACAGTTCATGACCAGGAATGAGGTCATTGCTTTTGCTTTATGTTCTGACTGTGTTCAGGGCCCCAGGGGACCAGACGGGGACAAAGGAGGAACTGGCCTTAAAGGAGACAAAGTACGAACGTTGACATGATAAGTAGAAGTTGGCCTCTCACACCTTACTTACTTGTTTATAATTCCAGGTGTTTTTTTTGGTTAAGTTACTTAAAGAATATGCATAATTCATTTTTAAACACATGTTATTATGAGCTCAAGAAGACGGAAAATTACACTAATTGCACATTAGAGCGATGTGTAAACAGCAGAGAACTAGTAGACCCTTGTGAAGTAAAAGAAAATATATTTGAAAGATTCTTTTTGAAAAATACGGCTTACAAAGGTTTTCTGCCCCGTTTGTGCATCGACAGAATTAAAGCTTTATCCAAATCTTGTTGTATGACATCACAATCACTGTAGAGATCAGGTTGAGCCACAGTTTATGGACTCGCACTTGTACATTCTAACTTAGGAATATGATTTGTTTAAAACCATTTCATTGTATGAACTGTTTGTGTTAAAAAAAATCTCAGTCTCAAGACTTTTCAGACTCCAATATTGTTTGATCAAATTGCTGAGGCCATAGAACAGCTGTGATCTTACTGAGATTAGATCCTACTCTTTGTGTTCTTTCAAAACAAATCCAATCACACATCTTTAGCCGAAGCTAACACTAGATATTAAAGAGGGCCATAGTTCTTCATGGGATTCTGATTATTATTATAGTTGTGGTTGTAACAAATTGCAAATCTACTATAATAGTTCAGACCTTCAAAAGCATCAGTTTTGCATTGAAAGTGAATGGTGAAGCATCAAAAGCTTCAAAAGACGCGAGCATTTTGCGTGTCACTTGAAGTTTTTGACACGCGTAACGCTCGCGTCTCTTTCGGCGTCAAAAAATCCCTTGGCGCCGAAGTTGAGAAAAGCTGAACTTTTGGAGCTTGACACCGGGCTTCAACCAATCAGGAGACGAGGAGCAGCAGCAGCTGCGGGTCTGTCTCTGTCATGGAATGAAGTCATGTAGCTGCTGCTGCTGCTGCTTTTTATTGTCATTATTAGTAATATTATTTGTATGAATAGTAACGTTCTTAATAAGTAACAAAATAAATATATACATACTGTGAAGTAAAGTAATTTATTTAATATAAGAACAAGCTGACGCTGAGTCTGGCTCAGAAGTCTGGCGGGAGCAAGGCAAGCTCCAGGCGGGGGCGAGGCGGGGTGCGGGTACTTTTCCTGGGCGAGTGACATGCGGAAGTACCGCGGAAATTGAAACTCATCCGTACGCAGCTGCAGGAATAAATGGTGAAACTCAGCAAACACTGCAGCCTCTCAAGTCTGTGGTGAGCCCAGAACACGTTTTATAGAAGCCCTACGACAACGTTGTTTGGCTTTATACAAGGCCTTCTCTGGAAGGCCAGTGTTGTGTCTGGACTAACGGCAACAGAGAGGCTCCTCCCACCTGGTGTCAAGCGCGTCAACAGCTTCAAGCACAAAGGCGCCAAACAACGCGCGTCAAAAGCTTTTTGAAGCTTTTGGTCTAAGGTTAAAGAGAGGAAAAAGTCCTCCTGATGATTACTGCTTGGACTTTTATAAATCACGAAAGAGGCACCAGTCTCACACGAATGTAACTGATGGCTTGTCTCCTCAGGGACCCCCAGGTGCTCGGGGCATCCCAGGCCGTCCAGGAGAGAGGGGCGAGAGAGGATCAGCAGGTTCTCCAGGAGACAGAGGTCAGGGAGGCCCACAGGGTAAAGAGGTGGGCCATCACTGTCAAACTTAAATCTCATTTGACAAAAAACCAATAAAAACACTTGCTCCAACTTTCATATTTCAACTCAACGATCCATTGAATTATTCAAGTGTTAAATTTGTTATTTTGTTATAGAAATCTTATAGTAAAGCAATCTGAATTAACATCAAATAGTTATAAGTGTAAGTTATTAATTCATTCTTAACTCTGTATTCAAATACAGCACATATGATCTGTTGGCAGTAAGGTCAGCTGATGGAAACATGTTTTTCTACATGTTTTCGGCAATATCGAAGAATGATGTGTCCAGGGTCACACTGATTGTTTTTTATAATATCAGAGTCGTATCAGCATAAGGAAGCGTGAATATCTAGAGTAGATATGTCTTTGTTTACTCTGATCTATTTAATGTTCGTAATTTCCTCATTCAGGGCAGACTGTTGCCAGGGGGTATCGGTTCTGTTATTCATTGTGTATGTGCTCTTGGTTGTTTACATTATTTTTGCTCTCGGCTTGTGCAGAAATTGCACAACAATACAATGAATGTATTTTTTATGTTTTCAATTTTTACACAATAATGAATTTTGTGCGTGTCTGCCTGGCGGGTCAGGGTGAAGATGGGGAGGTCGGCCTCCAGGGCACTCTGGGGCGACAGGGACTAAAGGTGAGGGCCTGTTATGAAGCCTATACAACTCTTTACATCTTGTTTTCCACTGGGATCACTATAACTGTGTCACAAACGTGCCTGAAGTCTTTCTTTTTCTTAAAAAATATTTGGTCTCCCTCAAAAACCTTCCATGAGCTCTAACTGGTCCTAAACCGCCGCCTGCATCATCACACACATCCCCTCCATCACTACATCAACCCTGTCCTCCAACAACTCCACTGGCTCAATCACTCACCACATCCAGCCGAATGTCCTGCTCCTCACACTCAAAGCCATCCACAACCTCGCTCCTCCATACCTGACTGAACTCCTCCAGATCTCCAGAGCTCCACACCTTCACACTCCCTCTGCTCCTCCTCCGTTCTCCATCTCTCGTCCTCACTCGAGCTCATGGTCCTGTCTGCCTCCCCCTCCTGCTGCTCCCCAGCTCTGGAACTCTCTCCCTCCTGACCTCCGTATCACCCTTCACTCTTCAAATCCACAACCTCAAAACGTATCTCTTTAGACAAAAGCCTAATCATAACAGCACCATCCTCTACATACTCTTTTGAACTTTGTATTTTAACCGTTTTTAAATACACTTTTTATTTGTATGTAAGGTGACCATGAGTGTCCAGAAAGGTGCCTGAGAAGTCAAATATAATATTATATGTCAAAAACAATATCTTACAATTATGTTTTCTACGATGAAGGGCAACAGAGGAATACAAGGACAAAAGGGGAACGTGGGACCGAAAGGACCCAGAGTAAGAGCAGAGCCTATGATGTCACTGATCTCTGCACTTGTACTGCTACTGACTGTTGTGGTGTTTCCAGGGCCGCACTGGGCTCCCAGGGCTCTTCGGACTGCCTGGCATAGCGGTAGGAACGAGCATCAACAGTTTTTCACTAAATATAATTCATTAATCACCAAACTGACTTTGTTGCAGGGTTTCCGAGGCCAAGTCGGGATAGAAGGACCAGAAGGAAAGCCTGGTACACAGGTTCCCATTTTCTACATCTTCACATGATCTATTAGTTTAGCTTTATGATGTTTAAAGACTTGAAAATCAATTGTTTGTTAAATCCTTGCAGGGCTCTCCTGGTCTGATTGGCGCCATTGGTCCTAAAGGAGACAGAGTCAGTTTGCATTTTATCTGAATGTATAAATAATCATGTCAGTAGAACAAACATGTAATGAGCATATTTGTTGACAGGGCTTTCCAGGGGCATCAGGTGAAGTTGGGAAGGCCGGTCAGAAGGGGGCAGCGGTATGTGAACAATAAAACATTATCGTGGGAAAAAATTATTGTGCTCATCTTTTGCATCTTGCTGAGAGAAAATCTTTTTTAAACAGGGACAACAAGGAAGTCCAGGTTCAAATGGGACGCCTGGCCGTGCAGGGGAGAAGGTAAGACTTAAAAAAATAAAAATGTATCATCCAAACCAGACCAGGGGTTATTAGCTTCATTCATATCAAGATCTTCTGGTCCTTCTGCCCGTTTGTGTATAGACTGCCTTCAAATTCGGGGTGCTCTGACAAATTCTCAGACTGTTTTGTCATGGATGGACAGAGAATCTAGTTGTAGCTTAATATATTTGGCATAAACCAAATTTATTTAAAAGAGGATGTTTAATGACAGAAAAACAGATAGAAGATGCAGAAAGAGAGAACAGTAAGTAAACACAGCGACTCTTAGGCTGTCAGCTAAAGGGAGTTGAAGAGAGAGGGTCCACAGACAGAGAGCGTCCAGCCCACAGAGAGAAACTCGAAAGAGAACTCAGTGGGAGACAGCCCCATATATATCAGCCATGATGTCACCCATATGTCACATTCAATTGGTCAGTTGTGGTTACAGTAGTAGTTTCCAATGTTTAAAGAAAGCATGACGTTCTGACGTTGTCAGACACTTTCTTCAGTTTCTGAAAACCTCAGTGTTATATAAAAGTCAATACTAAATTAATCAGAGACACATTACTGGAAAACTCTCTGATGACTGAGAAGATGTCGTTCTGGGGCTGAGGCGTTGAGGGACAGACCTGCATTATGGAGCTGCCAAGTGCCCACTTCCTAAGACATCATTCTTATTGAATGGTCTGCTTCAAGCAGCCTCCTATTCTTCCTTTTACTGTATTATTGTCGTTAAATGAACCCTTCTTTGCATTATGGCTCACTCCACATTAAACTGTACTAATGTGTTACATTTGGGTCAATGACACATCAAAGTCCCGGAATGTCTGCGGCCGTTTCTGCCGAATGTTCACAGCATCCATTCCATTTTGTTTCAGCTTGTCCAGTGAAGGGGGCACTATTTAAACACTGATTTGTTCACACACATACTATCAACAAAAGTGGACACAATTGTCATGCCCATTATTGAATAACATTATTGAATAATATTTTTGATGCATAATGTATAGTCTATAATTACAGGTTGATTATAGTTATATCCCCAACCATAAGCCATCAGATGTCCTTTGTACTATTCTATTCACATGACATGTCCTAAGTGTAACAATTATGTCCCCAAAGTTCAAGTTTTGAAAGGCATCTATTTTTCTTGAAATGGTTTAAGCTGCCCATCTGAGGTTATCTTATGTATGTGATATGCTACAGTACATAGTGTTAAAATATGTTTAAAAACAAACATTTTTGGTTCATACATCAAGTTAGATTGACCCATGGAACAGCATGGAGTGAGCCATATGCTACCTTGAATATCACATTGTATGAAATTATGAGGTGCAGTAAAGTTAATATTTCATTGAAAACAGTGTAAAAATGTATCATGCTTGTCTTCAGGGCTTCACTGGGAAACCAGGGTTGGCTGGGCCGCAGGGACCAGTGGGCATGTATGTAAGTGACTTTTGGATACATAATTTTTTTTTTAAACCCTAGCTTGTATTATCAAATTAAAAACAAGGGTGTATTCATGAGTTACCAGAAACAAAAACAGATAAAGCCAAATCCCTGACCGGTGCACCAGTACTGGATGATTCCCTGAGCAGATTTACACCGCCCTCTGGTGGTCATTCAAGATTCACACATGTCATTATAACTGGGTAATGATGGATGGCTCTATTTCAGGGGTATCCAGGAGCTCTGGGTCAAGTGGGGACACCAGGTCACATGGGACCAAGCGTAAGTTCAATTTAATTTCAATTAAATTCACCAATAGATGATCCACGCGGAAGAAGAAAACCCTCCCATATACCTCAAAGAACATGGAACAATCTGCTGCAAAGCCTGATCTCTCCTTGTCTCTATAGCAAAGAAGTGTTTTATTTCCTGCAGGGAGACAGAGGAATCAGAGGAGCACCGGGCAGCAAAGGGAAGCCTGGACCTCCTGTGAGTTTAATCATTCAATCATATTTTTATTTATCTTTCTTTGCATTTCTTTTTGTTATTTAATGTTAAAGGACACAGATGCTAAATCTTCTTTTTTAGCCCTAATCCCTCAACAAAATCAGACCCAGATAGCATGTTGGGAATCTCAGCTGTTTCTCTGGTCTCTGGTATTCTAGTTAAAACATATATACAATTGCTTGCCTTCCATAATCAGTTTCCCCAGAGTGGCTGGGCGCTCACTTAGTGTAAGGGGTGAGGAGCTCTGTCACACGGGAGGAGCTCGGAGTAAAGCCGTTGCTTCTCCTCATGCATAGGAGCCAGCTGCGATTGTCCACCTGGACGCCTCCCTGGCTAACTGGGAGGACACCATGGGAACACCCAGGACACACTGGTGGGACTCTCTCTGGAGCTGGCCAGGAAAGGAGCTGGAGGAAGTGTGTGTAGAAAGGGAAGTCTGGGTGTCTCTGTTTAGAATACTGCTCCTGCAACTCGGCAACGGATAAAGCGGAACAAAATGGATGGATGGATGGATGCATTAAATTAGACCAGGTCTTATTCAATATAGATCTGAACTGAGTACAAGTAATTTGAGTATTTGCTCAATGTTGTCATCTCTTTCTCATGTGTCCATAACAAGAGAGATTAATTATTTCATTCTAACACATGAAACGTCCATATTCTCTTGATCATTCTCAGTCAAAATCATATTTGTCCTTTAACATAATTCCATATTAACAAAATCAACATTGCAGGGTCTGCGTGGCCCTGGCGGAGAGAGAGGACCCCCAGGACCACAGGTAGAAACTCTGTACATGTGTTGTTATTTTCAAGTAATTATTGATAACAGTTCATGTGTGCGTTCTTTTGCGCAGGGCCTCCAGGGGACAGTGGGGTCCAAAGGGCAGCGGGGGCCAACAGTAAGTGTGTCTGTGGTGACTTCAGATTTATCAAGAGCATGAGTGCAAAATGAAAAGGGCCATTTGACATTGGAGAAAACTATTTCTCTTTTAGACTATTTCTCTATTTTTGTTGTTAATGTTTAACATTTAATTATATAAATGAGTGTGTTCTTTAGGGCCCCCCAGGACGTCCCGGAGTCCAGGGTGCTGTGGGACCTGCAGGGCCTGTGGGGATTCAGGGGCCCATGGGGAAACAGGGGCCTCCAGGAGCCAGAGGGTTTCCAGTGAGTGGGTACCAGTGACCTTCTTCCTGTATATCTGACAATGTCATGTTGTATAGATGTATTCATATGTGTGTGCTTGTGTGTGTGTGTGTGTGTGTGTGACCAGGGTACAGCAGCGGTCAGAGGAGCCATGGGAGCACCCGGAGACAAAGGAGACACGGTAGTCTGCTCTCCTCAAACCCCTCTCACGGAACTTAACTCCACTCTGATGAAGAGTTGTGTTTTGTTTCAGGGTGTTGTGGGTTCTGCTGGGGACATTGGTCCACCTGGGCTCCATGGCCTGCAGGTCAGTGGCTATGAGGAGAGAGTGGGGTGGCATTGAAATGGGATTATCAATCAAAAAGCATGCAAACCAAATGGTGTCACATCCGAGCTTTTGAATCTGGATGCACACTGAGACATAGAGGTCTGAGTCTGCATTTACACTGAGACAAGCTCGTTAGTTCATTGGCCGTGGTTATTTGACAATCATGTTATTTACCGATGTTGTATATAATCAGTCTATACTGAGGCAAGAATAGTTTGTGGAAAAAGCTCAGTTGCATATTCTCTGTCCATATACAGTCACTGCTGCAGTATGGTCTGGGTAACATCTGAATTGTTTTTTTTTTACAGGGTTTACCTGGTCCACCTGGAGAAGAAGGAAAACCTGGAAGAAAGGGCGACCACGTATGTCACTTTCTTTTTCTGCTCAATCAGGTGTCTGGACATTGTGTCTGCTTATTATCCCTTCTGTAATGTATGACGCAACGCCAACTGTGGGACGAAAGAAGGTTATCTTATCTCGCCTTATTATACGGCTCCTCACAGCAGCAGTAGAATGCTCCATTGATTTGAATGTAATTTCAAAACGTTCTACGGTCATTATTTTCTATAACGGACCTCTCAAAACAATAATGACCGCTGCCCATGGCAACGCACTCTCTGCTTGTCTTTCAGATGCGTGGATAACTCTGCAAGTAGTTCCGGCCACTCAGGAGCTAGCCACGCTCAATAAACGCAAATACCAATCCATCAACACACTTAAATGTTAATCGGAGAATACTTATACATTTCAATTTGGAGAGACGAGAAAACAGGAAGTTTTGAGTATTTTATTGAAAGGAGGTTTGGCGCCCTAGGTCCCGGTGCGGCCTTCGGATCGGAAAGGCTCCTGCGATGGAGCGCGCACAATCCCCCGGGACCTAGGCACTGGTGGCGGCATTTGGCAGCGGGAAGCAGATTGAAGGCAGATTGGAGGCAGGGTGAAGAGGAGGAGGAGGGGAGGCGGTGGTTGCAAGGCTTCAGAGGCCGAGAGTGGGAGTTTCTCCGTTTTTATGCGGCTGGCGAGTCGGTACAGATGATTGGAAGGGGGCGTCTGCTGAGCGATAGGCTGGGGATGCGAGCCGGCCTGGAGGGGGTAATTTTGGTTAACGTCTACCAAATTGAATTTTCGCTGGCTGCATTCTTCACACACATGCACAGAGATTTTCAGAATTTACTGGTCTTGTCTTCATGACAAAAATACTATTTATCTGCGTCAAAAAGCGACCATGAAAAACCTGGAAGTAGTTCCGGCCACTCCGGAGCTAGCCACGCTCATTAAACGCAAATGCCATCAATCAACGCCATTAAATATTAATCGGAGAATACATTATACATATACATTCTTAATACAAGTGCACGGAAGTTTTCAGAATTTTCCATTTACGTTTTCATGACAAAAACACTGATATAATACGGGAAAAGGCAATCCCGAAAAACCCGGAAGTAGATACTGGCACATTTTAGAACGCATTTGCAGAGGATCGAATTATGGATTTAGGTTAGGTTTATGTTTGGGTCACTCACCGCTGATGTTCAGAATTCTTTGTTCAGTTTTCATGCAGTTCCAGAGAGTTCTAGTTTGGAAGTTACTAGCCTAAGTGTTGCTAGCATAGCCACCGGATACCAAAACCTTTGGGAACTATTTAAACCTAAATAAACCTTTCGGCATTCCTGAAAGTGGACTGAAGTTTATGTTGTATGTTCTGTTGGTACAAAGCCTTATAATAAGCAAGATAACGTATATTACGCAGGTCATTATCGGAAAATAAGTACCGACAGGGCGAAGCGGACCCCGACGCGCAGCGAAGGGGTCTGCTTCCGCCCTGAAGGTCTGGTACTTACTTAACAGACTTTAAGGTTTAATTGACAATTGGATTCCCTCCTCTTTGTTACTGTGTGCATACACAGTGGAATCAACAGTCCCTTTGTATAGTTTGTATAGTGTATAGTCGTGCAGCGCAGAGCTTATGGTGGTGACGTGACGTCACTTGCACAACACAAGGATCACTGTAAGACCCTTGCGTAGCCACCCCTGCTACCTCGAAAATGTCTAACTAAGCAGGCTCCACCATGTGTGTTTAGACCAGGCTCTAAACACACATGGTCCATGTGTGTTTTGGGCAGAAGCATGGAACAGCTGCAGGGAGCATGGACGAGGCACTTCGGAGCAGATAGCTTCGTGCTTCGAAGGAACCAAAGGAAAAGTAGTTTGGGTTCATGTCCTGATATACGCAGAGACTGTGGACTAGAGTTATGTTGCATACTTTTAAACTGTGCAGTCGTTTCTTTTTTAATGTTCCTGTCTTGTTTGAATCTGCACTCGTAGCTTATCACGTCTGTTGCATTCCTGCTGTACTTGTAAATCGTTCATGTTTGGTAGACTCAGATATTCACCACTTACTGTTTTGCTGTATGTGCTGAATACAATTTATTAATAACTATGTTTCCATCAAGAACTGAGTATTTATTCACAGCATCACAGTTGAAATGACCTATGAAACAATGAGTCTATAGAACTATCACAATAACCTACACTAGATACACATGTAATGAACTCAAACAGCTTGCTTTGCTAATGTTTTTGTTCTGAAGAGGAGAAAGTAGCAGCGTAAATGGGACCGCTTTGGTTTCCCAGGCAACTCCTGGGAGTTCGCCATCATGTGGTTGGGTGTGGGATTACAACATTCTCTTGAAAAATCGCAAGGGGAACAGTAGTCCCCAGTAGTGTATCAGCAACTGTGGCCGCGTAGGTCCAGCGCAACCGCGATCGTAACTAGTGCCGCTCGACTATACACTACTAGGCTATAGGCACCGCTTCAGTATGAGTTTGAGAGGTGCCACCTCGTTTTCGAGGGGGTCCATGGTATTTTTTTTAGGGTTTTTTTGGTATTTTTTAGCTTTGCCTTGTAAATATACAAACTGTACATTGTGTTCAAATAAATAAATGAAAAGGTTGTAAAACAGCTGCAGTACATTCAAAATGCTGCAGCTCGAGTCCTGACTAGAACCAGGAAGTACGACCACATTTGTCCAGTCCTCAGGTCTCTGCACTGGCTTCCTGTGGCTCAGAGAATAGACTTTAAAACAGCTCTGCTTGTGTACAAGTCTCTCCATGGCCTCGCACCAAAATATATTAGTGACATGTTAGTCCCATATGAACCAGCCCGGACTCTGAGGAGCACAGGGACTGGACTCCTGTTAGTGCCCAGAGTCAGGACTAAACATGGGGAGGCTGCTTTTCAGATTCATGCTGCTAAAATCTGGAACAATCTTCCTGAAGATGTCAGACAGGCCTCCTCTCTGACAATGTTTAAAACCAGGTTAAAAACTGCTCTGTTTAGCTGTGCATACAACTGAGGGATTTTATATTTTTATCTTTCTTTTGAATGTACTGTGATTATTTATGATTTTAATGCTATGTTGTCTTGTTCAGCACTTTGAGTTGCCTTGTGTATGAATTGTGCCATACAAATAAACGTGCCTTGCCTATTAGGCTGAGTCCTCTGTAGTGTGAAGCCAATAATTCCCTTTGGCTGGCGTGTCCACAATTTGATACAGAAATCAGACAAAAAGATTCTCCAAGTTTAACATCTGCATTTAATTATCTTTACAATCAGATACAGAATATTCAAACAAATGAGAGCTCCTAAACTATGCTATGCTGTCCCTCTCTTCTTACCCTGCGCTAACCTCCCCCCAGAACTCAAACCAACAGTTTTATCAAGACGTCTGATGACGTCACTTGTGGGCGTCTCCCGAATGTTCATTTCGGGTGTGCTGACGTCCCTTGTCCACTGGGAGGCGTTAGAATGCTGTTGGTAAATTCCCTTTCCGCCTGATGGTGAGGGACTTTTGCTCTGTCAGCAGATAATGTTTATTATCGAACGTTAATAATTCGCCTTGTTCAAAGGCGATATCTTTTTATAATTCCCGTCTGCTTATCCTGTGTCCTTGTGACTTAATCCCTGAGGGCACAGGTCTTTTTGCTTGGGAAAGAGACAAGAGTTCAATTCCGGGTCAATCAAATTCACATCTGCCTTTAGTCTATATTTAAAATATACAACAGTTCCCCTCTGTTGACCTATATTAAACCAATTTAGGTCACAATCTTTCAATATCCCTTCTGGGTGCCGGGACTGGGAAGCTCGTCCATCATCGCCTTGGTTCTTGGTTCTGGCTCGTTATCTGTGAAGAGTTAATACAGAAAGACAAACAACACACAACCACATTCGAAACATTCCTTCACTAAACTCTTTGATGACGACTGCTGTCATTCTGATTTTCTTCTTCAACCTCGTCTGTAATGTATGCACTAAAACTATTCACTATAGTTTAAACTATTCTAATCTATTTACAAATATGTTTGCTTATTTTGCTTTTATTGAGCCCTATTCTTAAACATATGTTTTTATCTAATAAATCTATCTATACTGGTGGTTTGCTTTCATTATCAGTGGCTCTGTGCCATTTTGTGGGGCTTTGCTCATTTTTCCAAATACATTTTGTTGAACCAGGAAGTGCTGTCACTTCCTTCTCTCAGACCGTTTGGGATAAATGTACATCGTTAATCAAATTGGTATTATCCGTACAGGAGCTAATCTATTTTAGCAGGTTTCTCTGGGGTTAGTCCCTATACAACGGTATTTTGATTCTCTAATCTGTTGCTGACAAATCGACAGCTCTTAAAATTCTCAAAACTACCTAAAGATCTACTTTTGTGCTATACCCAAATTCACCAAAATGCTTTTAAATGTTTTTGAATCTCTGTTGGTTCTAATCTATCTCATTAATCTAAGCTACATTAATCTAGGCTACACTCATGAACTTTATCTACTTTTGAAGTAACTACTTTTGGACATAATATGAAGGAAATGGTCTTTTTACCGTTTGATATTAACCCTGTCTAAAAATAATCTCTATTTTTTGAAAGCATCTATCTATTTTACACTCTATTGTGACTCCAAATCTTGGTTGTAGTTTGAGCCAAAGCATATTCCCAATTTTTGAGTTCTGATTGTAACAATTGCATTGGCAATAGATGATTTTTCATTGGCTGGTTCTTGTTCTGAAAATCACTATTCTATGTATTGTATTTCAGACAATTCCAAAAACAACACAGTCGTTCTCCAATATTAAAGACATACATCTAAATCAAGTTGCCTGAAAGGGATTTTAACTATTTTAAAACGTTCTCTACGATTATAAGGCTATGCATTTAATTATTTAATAAACAAAAGCACATTCATGGCTTCTGTCCGCTGCTTATAACTGTTTAAAGAGTTGTCCCAAACTTAATGTGTAAATACATCAGCTGTTTGTAATAAACAATAACATTTAACCTGTTCTCCAATGGAGCAGCTCAGAGGCTGCGTCAAGAGCAATGTTATATTTGAGCTATTTTTAGATTTAAAATTGTGTTAAAGCCTGTCGTTCTATGTCTGCATTTTAATACTACTCTCTATAAACACATCTGCACTAGTTCCTACAGATGTGGAAAAACAGAAGCATCTAAAATCTGACTCCATTTGATTCCTTTTTACTTTAGTTATTAGAACAATTTGACCTTATTGATACTTATTTCCACAATAGAACTATTTTGATTATTCACTAGTCTAACTATTATTACTATTGTTTATTCTGACACCTCTTCCTAGCGACCTTTCAACCTATAGCTCCTCGAATCCAATGACATTATAGCTCCAGACTATTTCATTCTATTCTATTATTGTATGATCTATTATCTTAAAGAGTAGATCTGTTTGATGTTATAAGCGCTATTATTTCTCCTTTTGAATTTGCACAACACTAAATTTAGAATGACCCCCTATGGGACAAATATAGAATTTTATTTCATTTTGGCAACTCTGAAAATTACTTAATAATTTTCCCATTTTGCTTTTTTAGGCTGCCCTTTCTATTATTTATTTGTTCTTGTAAATATATGTTTTACACTTCTTTCTAATGATTTAGAAGGTTAAGGACCATGACCACCTATGACAATACAATACTATACTCCCTCTGTTGGTCGTGGTCCAAAGTATAAAACATGCATCTGTATGTGTGTGTAGATTACTGTTCCAATCATTCTCCAGTTGCTCCTCCCGGATCGTCCTCAATTCATATTGTGGGCTTTGGTGCCAAAGTAGAGGCTCATTTCCTTATGATCCATACTACTGTCATCCCTGAAGCAGGTGCAGTTTATCTTTCATCTGAAAAACAAACATTAGAACACAAGAAACGCCCACTTCCCTCTCTTCGCATTGTGCAGCCTGTCAATCAATCCAATTGGGCAAAACATAACTACATTGACAGACGGTCGTGTGACATCAGGGCAGAGGCTGTAGCCAAATACAGACTTAACAAAATGTATGTTTCTAAATTTTATACTCCCCTAAATGTGAGTTTACAAACCAAAGTTGTCCTTCAACCAACGACAGCTCACTGCGGTTGGACCGAATCACTGTCAGGACAAACAGCGGAGGGGGGGCTCCCAGTACCTTCAGCAAGGTATTTCATCTCAGAGTACTTTCTCAGAGTACTTTTCTCAGAGTACTCATCCCAGAGTACTCTCACTTTTACACCTGTTCAATAAAGCTTGTTATCTTTGAATGTTTAGTACTTACACCGTATGCTGTTGACAAAAAATAATTATTCCATGATCACATTAAAACATTACAGAAAACTTTTGTTATTCCATTCTCCGTTCAGCACTCCTCGTTCACTCCACACTCACATCACACTCGCATCACACACGCATCACTCACACAGGCCGACTCCCCAGTTAGTATTTTGGTCCAGAGTTTGTTAAGGTCAACGTAGTGTACTTGACATGACGCACAAACATATAACATACACAAACATATAACACAGAAGGCCTGTAATTTTAACTTTGTTATATTTTTCCATGTCCAATTACAATTGTCTCATGAGCTATTTCTATTGTTGCAACTTTCAGAGTCTGCAGAACATGCAGAGCTTTGAGAGATTTTTCCTAAAAGGATCCATTTCAAACTTTAGTGTTTACCACGTGGTCTGTACTCGGGCTTATCACAGACTGTGTCCCCTATATTTTTAATGAGCTCTTGTTACTTAAAAAAAACTCATGCACGTGCAATAAATGTTTTTCCCTTTTTTTTTTTTAAAGCCAGTTCGGATTCCTTAAAAATGTAAATTAGTTTCAAACTTTAATACTTCACCTTTGTTTCACGTTCATGTGGAGAAAAGACCATTGTTTTATGTGTGTTGTTGTACTTGCACCAATCATGTCTCAGATGAACGGCCAACAGTTATATCAAAGACATAATTGTCCTAATTGTTTCTAATTTAGCTATTTGGAAGAGAAACATGTCATAAAAGATTTCATAAAATGTCCCTACATCCGTGTTTTCAACCAATGAACAGTGTTGCGTCAATGTGTTATCAGAAATGATCCAAAATCACCTTTAGCCAAAATTTAGAAATGCTTTAAACCATTTTTCAAACTTTAATTGTCTGAACAAACCATTTTGTACTAAATGCAGCGTCCATTAAAAGCTGCAGTTCTCTTTCTAGCACCAGTATCAACTGTGCATGTGACTGTTTTTAAATGAGAAACGAGCCACGGTTCAGAGGTTGAAAACACTGCTTTAAATATCCGTATTACCAAGATCATGCAGTCAAAATCAATAATTCTAAACTTCTCCGCGTCTATAACTTTAAATAATAATACTAGTTTCAATAATAGAGCTCCTCTACTTTAAATATACTGCTGTTCTAATCTCCTTGTGTCTCATGCTAAAGCAAGAGTCTAATTAATTTTAACGAATGTCCTGTATTCTTTCATGCAGCTAAATGTAGTGTTATGAACGAATGACCTAAATGTGTAAATATGACTTAAATTCCACATGTCTCTGTGCGTTTGTTGCCTGTCTGTATATTTACCTTCTGTGTGTCTCATTTAGGCCAGCCACGTCTCAAATGTCCGTTAATGTCTTTCTTTTACTCATGGCGTCTTTCAATGTCTTTTGTCTCAAAGTGTCCAATGTCTTTGTCTCAATGTCTTTTTCTTCTTCTTTAAACAATCACTTTCTTTCTTCTTCTTTCAATAATCACTTTCTTTCTTCTTCTTTCAATCACTTTCTTCTCATGTCTTTCTTTGTCTCATTTTTTGACGCACACCAGTGTGTGTCCTTCTTCTTCTTGTTAGGTTTACACAACGTTCTTCTCCGTGCACATAACTCCACTCGGTTTGTGCAAAAGCCTGGTTTTTCTCCATGAAATGGAGGCCGGAGAGGTCTTCTTCTAGAGTTCCTGTTAGCTGCTGCAGCCGATGCTGCTGTCTTTGGTGCCCCCTGTGGGTCTGGGGGAGACGCTGATGGTCCGTGCTGATGGCGCCCGATTGTGGTTTGTGGCAGAGACGATTTTTGGCCAAATGAAACAGACAGAAGTTTTCTCGGAAAAAACAGACAAACAAGAAGCACAAACAAGTGTGTTAATTACCATACGAAACCAATGATTAATTACAATTCAAAATAAACCTATGAAATAATTAATATTAACATTTTAAACATTAAATTCTGAAAACCAAATCTGCATTCAACTGCTATCCTAAGCCCTTTTTTTCCAAAAGCATAATGCTCTCTAAGATCATTCTAACTTTTATATCACCAAAATGTAGGGAAAAAAACTTGTCCAGATAAAAAATAAAAAATAATATAATGCCTCTTTATAATCTAACTCAAAGTTCTGTGATCCTATGACTCCATGTCAGTAACATTATCGTGTGTATAAATGTAATTTTCTACAAAAAATTCTTTCTTCACGAGAGAGAGAGAGAGAGAGAGAGAGAGAGAGAGAGGAAGGAAGGGGAGAGAGAGAGGACAGAACGAGGGAGGGGAGGGGCCTCCCGAACAAAGGAAGCATGGAGTCTGAAATACTTTCCTCGTTTTTCTCGTGACAAGGTCTTAATCAGTGGTAAAAGTTTTTCTCACGTCAAACGACACTTTACATTTTATCCTTAAATACGTCAGTAATGGAAAACATTACTATTTGCTTACATGATTAATAGTCCCAGCAGAATCTTTTTTTTTTTTTTTTTTTTTTTTATGATTCTCTGTAACTATTAAACATTACATCAGGATAAGAGAAAAACTTCCATAACTGATCATTTCTTCACATGAAACTCGTATACTACAGCCAAGAGGCTCTCTTTTTTCTCATTAATCAGATCATTATTATCAGAATCCACATTTTAAATACTTGGCTTTTCTTCTGTTTAAATTAATTGTGCCCTTTTCCCCGCCCCCGGGGGATATGGAGTTTTTATTATCCTATAACTTCTGACCCTAACTGTCCCTATTTCTCTAATCCTATTTATCTAAACACTTGTGCCTCTTTTGCACCTTAAAACGGTGTGCCTCTTTCGCACTTATAAATCCTGTGGCTCTTTTCCCGTATATTCTTTTTTAGAGAGAGACCAGCATCCCTCAAGGTTCAAAAACGTCGAAAAACCTGACTATTGTTCTATCGCGTCCGATAGAATCGCCCATCACGGCGGTCTTGTCCACACTGCAATCTGTCGAGCCAAAATCTCTCTCTCTTCTATTTAAAACAATGTGCAGATTTTCAAAACTGTGATCCGCTTACCTTAGAAGCGACCTTTTTGAAGAGCAGAGAGATTTTTCCAAACCCACAAATCCAGTCTCTATAACTGAGCTCATGCTCATCTTGCGTCTTCTTTCTTTATCAAATCACGTCTCGGGTCACCAAATGAAGCCAATAATTCCCTTTGGCTGGCGTGTCCACAATTTGATACAGAAATCAGACAAAAAGATTCTCCAAGTTTAACATCTGCATTTAATTATCTTTACAATCAGATACAGAATATTCAAACAAATGAGAGCTCCTAAACTATGCTATGCTGTCCCTCTCTTCTTACCCTGCGCTAACCTCCCCCCAGAACTCAAACCAACAGTTTTATCAAGACGTCTGATGACGTCACTTGTGGGCGTCTCCCGAATGTTCATTTCGGGTGTGCTGACGTTCCTTGTCCACTGGGAGGCGTTAGAATGCTGTTGGTAAATTCCCTTTCCGCCTGATGGTGAGGGACTTTTGCTCTGTCAGCAGATAATGTTTATTATCGAACGTTAATAATTCGCCTTGTTCAAAGGCGATATCTTTTTATAATTCCCGTCTGCTTATCCTGTGTCCTTGTGACTTAATCCCTGAGGGCACAGGTCTTTTTGCTTGGGAAAGAGACAAGAGTTCAATTCCGGGTCAATCAAATTCACATCTGCCTTTAGTCTATATTTAAAATATACAACAAGTGTTACTAACATCTTAGACGTCTCTTCATCGTACTGTCATTATACATTGCAGGGGTCTCCAGGTGCCTCGGGGCCAGTTGGACTCTGGGGCCACAAAGGACAGGGCGGTCTGCAGGGATCACAGGGGGTCACAGGCAGACCGGGGACCAGGGGCAAACAGGTCAGCGTGTCTGCTTTTAACAGCATCTGTTTACAAATAATGAGGAAGTGATGTCACTGATGTGCTTTTCCATTACAGGGAGGGGTTGGAGTTCCCGGAAAGCGAGGAAATACAGGGTCTATAGGAGCCAAAGCAAGTCAATAACACTTTTTTAACTTTATCAACTCCTGTCCATCTTTAAAAGGTTCTAAGTAAAATTTAAAATAGAACCAATAAGAAATGAGTGAGAAACGGTCCGATCCTGATTTTGTGCGTGCAATTTTGCGTTATTTTTTTATAGCATGCTTCTCATGTGCTTTCATATATACTTCAACAACATCATATAACCTAGTATAACATGACAGTTACCTTCTTTTAAAGTCAGAGGAACACTTTGTGGCATTGCTGTGATCAGTTCTGGAAACTCTCTCTCTGGTCTCTCTCTGGTCGCTCTCCTATCTCTCTCGTCTCTTTCCGTCGCCCTCAGTCCTGCGCAGTGTCTATTGCAGCTGTATTTTACAGTGTATGCACAGCTTTCGACAGCTGCAGCAGCGCTCAGACCTACAACCAACAGTTTTGTTATCTCCGCGATTGCACATCAGCAGTCATGAGTTCAGGTGGTTAGAAAAGTGCTTAAAATGTGTGTGAGGGGTTTTACAGCCTTTAAATATAGAACTGCTCAAGTACATCACTTCTTGTGGGTTATTTTTAGAACCTAACCTGCAATGAACCAGGGACCACTGTACTCAAAACATTTCACTCCCATTTCTGTTATGAGTTTTCACCTTCCTTCCCATATAAGCTTAATTGTGTTTAGATTTGTTTTTGTTTTTTCCAGGGGGCCATTGGAGCCCGTGGTCGAGTTGGATCAGACGGCTCTCCTGGTCTGCCCGGTAAACAGGGTACCAGAGGAGCAACTGGGGACAAGGGTTATCCCGGACTGATGGTGCTTTTTTCAAATACATGTATATTTATTTTTACTGTCTTTGGCATCAGCTGCATTCATGAGGTTTTGTTGCTCTGACTAGGGCTCGGCTGGTCTGCGGGGGAAGACTGGACCTATGGGACTGATGGGACTAGTGGTAAGACAAGACGGATTTGTGTCATGAGGTGGAGTGAATGAGGACCCAAAGTTGCAGGAATACCAAAAATAAGGGTTTAATGATAATAATAATAAAATTCCAGGTGAAAACAAATTAAAAATCCAAAAGGCACGTATAACACAGAATCAGGACAGAACAGACATTGACAATACAATGGATCAGCAACAAGAGGAGACAAGCACAGGGTACATATAGACACAGACACATCAAGGCGGGGCAGACAATCAAGACAGGAACAGAGCAGGAAGTCAAACTAAAACCAAACTACAGAGAACAGATGTCAAAATAAAACCAAAGTACAAAATAACAAAATCCACACCATGACAGTTTGTCCTTAAAAATCTATGTCAATTGTTCATGTTTATGCAAGGCAAGTTTATTTGTATAGCACAATTCATACACAAGGAAAGCCAAAATGCTGAACAAATAAGAATTGAAACAATCGCACAAGAATTGAAATTCATGAATAATCACAGTTGTTGCAGTAAAACAGAACTGTTTTAACCTGGATTTGAACACTGCCAGAGTAGAAGCCTGTCTCACATTTTCAGGAACACTGTTCCAGATTTTAGCTGTATAAATCTGAAACGCTGCCTTCTCATGTTTAGTCCTGACTCTGGGCACCAGCAGGAGGCCAGTCCCTGTGCTCCTCAGAGTCCCAGCAGGAGGCCAGTCCCTGTGCTCCTCAGAGTCCCAGCAGGAGGCCAGTCCCTGTGCTCCTCAGAGTCCAATTTGGTTCATATGGCACAATCTTACTTTGACGCAAGGCCATGGAGAAACTTGTACACAAGCAGAGCTCTTTTAAAGTTTATTCAGTCATCATACACTTGATAATAACTGACTAAATGATACACAATTATGAAAGAGTATTTTTGTGTCAAATGATACAGTCATTTTGCATATTTCCAGGGCTTTCCAGGACTGTCGGGGCATTCGGGTCGTGATGGGAGACCAGGGCAAAAGGTTGACATAATGTTTCAAATTTATATTTCTGATTGATTCATTAATTTGTGGCTAAATGTGGGTCTCATTTGCAGGGAGACAGGGGCCCATTGGGTTTGACAGGAGAAAATGGAATTCCTGGTCCAAAGGTGCGCATTTAAAAGGACTTTTTAAACATGTTACAACATTGTCCCACAACAAAACAGACATTGAGTTGTTTTATGACCACCATTATAAAGGACTATCTTATCCACCCAAAAGTATTCAACATAAAAAAAAAAATTCTGAATGTTCACACACAAGTATCAGATAACTGTGAAGTGAAAGCAAAATGACAAATGATTCTGTAATTTATTTATTTTTAGAAATAGAGAAGTAATCACAAGTAATTATACAGTCGAGTTGATTAGTCGAATGATGACGCCACCGTGTTGATAGCAAAGGAATAACTCAGACACATGGCCATTTCACTGTAATGATGTACGTGCAGAATAAAACACTGGCAAACCACAAGCATCAACAGTGCATCCAAGACGCACAGCACGTGAAACCATTAGCAATGAAACTCAACTCAATAATAATACATTTATAAACTCACCCGCTTATTGACGTTCCAAGAAGCAACAATCACAATCAAAGTATTAATCTTTCTCTGAGTCTGAGTCCTCTTCTTTTCCAGTCTTAGCGTTCTTGCGCTTCATGTTTTCATGGAGAGCATCGACATGCTCAGGGTGAAGGCTTGTTAGCTTTTGGGTGATGGTGTTCCCCGCGAGAGAAAACACCTGTTCTCTGGTGACTGGCACTGCTAAGTAAAGATTAAAGAATTTAGCCAGATCCCTGTGGTTATGGGTCCACTACTGCAGTGGATGTTCCATTTTCAAAATCTGAGGTGTTACACAATACGCACAGTTTTTCAGCTAGAGATAAGAGCTGCTCTTTGTGTCCGCTCTCAAAGTGAGGTCAAAAAAGTAGCTCAAAATCACTTTGATCAAGTGTGATGTGTGCCTGTCTCTCGCTTCCCCAGTCCCATCACCTACTGTATGTCTGCAGCCATGTCCATCTTAGCTGTCTTGTGTATGCAGGACAAATCCACATGTGCGCGGGAAATTGAGATTAACCCACGACTGGTCGACCTCTCTAAAATTAGGTTGACTAGTGTCATAGAAGTCGACCGGTCCGTTTTTTTCCGTTAATGCCCAGGTGTATAGTATGTGGAATCCCCAGCAGCTTCTTGTTCCATAACGTCTTGAAAGAAAAGAAAAGCAGCCCCATAACATGATGCTGCCACCTCCACATATGACTCTGGGGATGGTGCTATGAGGGTGATGAGCCGTGTTAATTTGTTTAGTTTAGCATCGGGACCAAATAGATTTTTACGCATTCCACTGTCATGTCATTCTACCCGCACCTTCTGTCCAAATGTATTTAACATCTAACAAGCTACATAAGAGACCGTATAGCTGCAGCACATTTACAATTGTGTCATGTGCCTTTTCAGGGGGTGCTTGGTCGCAGAGGGCTGAAAGGGGAACTAGGCCGACCTGGACCTAAAGTGAGATTACAGTGACCTAAAGCATGACATGGTCCTGCCCCATCTTGTAATTTTTGTGAGTTTCTCACTGTCATTATTGGTTAAGGGCTCCACTGGTGTCCAGGGCAGAGCAGGGGCGGCTGGTGCCAAAGGTTTCCCTGGACCACTGGGGCCAATGGGAGGAGCCGGGATCAAAGGAGAGCAAGGAGACCTGGTGAGAATTGGGTTACAGACAATAATGTAACCCAATTTTTTATAGAGCATAGTTTGACAATATGGTGCAAAAAATATGCCAAATTGATTTAAAGAATGTAGTGGTCGACCGACATGGACCCAGCACATAATTTGGTTTGAATGCCTTTGCCTTAAATGCATGGATTTACTGCACCGTATTGGTTGTTATGAAAAGAGATTATGTTCTGGGGACTTTATGGGGTGAATAGACCTTCCATGTATTTCATGTATTTACATCAGAAAATAATTGTGATTAAAAAAAATCAGCACATACCTACATACATATTGATAATAGCTGATATCTGGGGCAATAATTGGCTGAACCTCTAGAAGAATGTTTCCACTAGATACAAAGCCTGAACATGGATGAAACATGACATTCATGAACTGAAACCTTTGGCTTCTGCATGGTTCTTTTTTAATGTCCTAAAGGTAATTTTACAATTGTATGCACCATCCATCCATCCATTTTCTTCCGCTTCATCCGTTGCCGGGTTGCAGGGGCAGCAGTCTAAGCAGAGATGCCCAGACTCCCCTATCCACACACACTTCCTCCAGCTCATCCGGGGGAACCCTAAGACGTTCCCAGGCCAGCTGAGAGACATAAAACATGAACAATAGGAAATTGTATACACTAAATGCGTATTTGTATCTGTACATATATATATATATATATATATATATATATATATATATATATATATATAAGGCGGTATATATTTTGCCGCCTTCAAAAGATCTTCTTGACCGTTTTTATCACCACACACCAGTTGCACAGTGTCAGCTTCAAATGAAAGTGGCTACACCTGCCCTGGGGCAGTCTGACAGTGACCAAGCTACCATACTGAGACTTTGACCACTCTTTATATCCTCATTTGTTATACTCACAGGTCTATTCTTTGCAGGGTTCCAATGGACTTCAAGGTCACAAAGGACAAAAGGGATCTCCTGGACCAAAGGTATAGTAGCTACTAAACAGTCCGCCATCACAAACAGCCGAAAAACAGAAGCGAGAACAGCAGGGACACTGTCATAGTTGTTCAAAACTAAAACATGGCTGCTTCTCTGTGTCCTAAGTTTAGTTATTAGTGGGGAAAAAGGACCTAATTGAAATATGTTCTGTACTATTTGATGATGATTCTGTTATTTTTCAAAAATAGAAAACTGAAAAGAGGGGCCTGCACAAGTATTCATACAGTTCAAGTTACTACTGTGTGGAATACAGCAGTATTGGCGGTATGTAGTAGATAGAGAGACTTTTTTGATCCCGAAGGAAAATAATGTCCTCTGCATTTGACTCATCCAGCAATGCACTGTAAAAAAATACAACTCAAAATTGTTCACCTTACTAAGATTTTTGCATTCACTGACAATAAAATTGCCAGTTGGAACTGCAACTGTCTGTTTTGAGCCACTTGAACTCACTTTCAGAAGTTTCTGATGAAAAGTTCATCTTATTTGATATATTAAAGTGGTTCTCACCCCGCTCCTCGGAGCTTACGTCACTCACATTTCCTGTTCAAATCTTCCTCTAAATGGGCGTAGCCTGGAGGACTAAAGGGGCCGTGAACGAGACTGGGCCGTTTATATAGCTCTGGGCGGGGGGCTGCTACGTCAGGTCTTGCTGGCGCGCCAGTGTTGGCGCCAGATTCAAAATTCAAATGTAGTAATACAGGTCGCCAGCAGATGGCGCCTCACAGACGGTTTTAGGCAGAAAGTTTAACTTTCAACTAATTTGCAAAGTGACTGCAGGGCTGCTCTGTGCACCTTTTTAGTAAACTTTTAACAACTTTTTAGCGCGTTTTTATTGTTCAGTTTTTTAATATATCTGAGTGTTTTATCTTTTTAATTCAGTGGTTTCAGCAAATAGCACTTAGTCCCGACTGAAACCCACTAGTAGCACAGAGGCTAACACAAGCTAACGAGGACATGGAAAGTGACAATGAAATTGGCTCAAACATGCACAATATTAGTCGCCTCACCTTGGAGCTCCGTGAGAGCGACCGTGCCACCATTGCAGATCTACGAAAAGAAGTCCTTCGTCTCACCGCAGAGTTGAATGAGAAACAATCTCTAGTATCCAAACTTTTTGAAGTCGCTGGTGGGCAGCACTCACGGCTGATGTCACTGAGCGCTGCATATTGTGACACTGTCGTGTGGGAGAGATCCGTCAGCTCCGGACCCTCCTGTTCTACACCTAAGCGCCCGCTTCCGAATAACGAGCCCGCGGATTCCGAGGAGCCATCCTGCGCCGTGGCCCATGTCCTGAGTCTGGCAAACCGCTATGCAGCCCTCTCCACCGACATCCCGGCCCCCTCAGCAGAATCCCTGGACACTGCAGCAAACTCTACTGCTCGAGGATCCAAGTCCACTGCGAGGAAAACGCTCCTAAAGGAAGCAGTCCTCAGGCGAAAGAGCGGTCCACCAGCCATGTTGACCCCAGTGCAGCAGCCTCAGACTGGGGTAGCGAGCCATCATCACCACCGCTCACCTCCACCGGGTCAGCAGCAGCGCCCAGAGCCAGCCCCTCTCACCGCTCCAGCGTCCCCGAGCACACAGCGTGGGTCGCCTGTAGCTGAGAGTCAGCACCCCCGCTCCTCCTCTCCATGTGTTCAGCGGCGCTCAGGCTCGGGTCCTGCTTCGGGTGAACCCGCTGGTTCCGTCCACCGAGCTCCTTCTCCGAGGCCGCGTCCACGTCCACTCTTCGCCCCGACCACTCTGATTATTGGAGATTCCATCGTGAGACACGTGCACTTCTTTAACACGGTCACTCGCTGTATTCCCGGAGCTACTGTACCAGACCTGCTCATACGTCTCCCTCCTCTGCTTCAGTCCCTGCCTGATACCGTTTCCAAGGTAGTCGTGCATGTGGGAATTAACGACATGAAACTTCAGCAGTCAGAAGCCACGAAGAAACATTTTATGGATCTGTTCCACCTCCTTCAATCCTCCGGACTATCTGTTTTTATTTCTGGTCCAATCCCGACTGTAAACAGAGGTGACTGCCTCTACAGTCGTGTTGTGGCGCTGCATGTGTGGCTTCAGGCTTCATGCAGCTCTTTTAACTTTGTCTTTGTGAATAACTTTGCCCTTTTCTGGAAACGTTACGAAGCCTATCGTCCAGACGGATTACACCCAAACAGATACGGTAGCAGCCTGTTGATGGATTACATACGTTATGTTGTTCAGCGTTCCCCGAGGGGGGCGTGACTGTTTACATCTGAGCCCCCTCGGACCCCACCGCACTCCCCCGCCTCCTGCTCACCAGCACCGGGTGAGTACAACGGTGCAAACACTGCTCCCTGTCCGTCTGGCAGTGCATTACCAGTCCAAACACTGAACTGTGCTGACTCCCTTCTGACTCTGGGAGCTAAAGAACAACAAGGGTTTTCACATTTTAGGCCAATTGAGACTGTGTGTGTTCCTCGCACCAGCTCAAAAATGTTTTTAAATTCTAAAAAACGAAATCAAAACAGGACAGCAGTTAGACGGTCCAACTCTGCAAATCTAATTTCTGTTCCCTGTAGAAATCAATCAACCACATTAATCGACTCTGACGTTATTTTTAAACTTGCTATGCTTAATGTCAGATCTCTATGTAACAAATCATTTTTAATTAATAATTTTATCACTTCTTATGATCTTGATTTTATGCTTATGGCTGAAACATGGCTGGACCAAAATACAGGAAATGCAGTTCTAATAGAAGCAACACCACCCAATTTTAAATTCGAATCCGAAATACGAGAAAACAAAAGGGGGGGAGGCATAGCTGCAGTTTTTAGAGAGCACTTTGTCTCCCATAGAATGCCCCTTGGAAATTTTTCATCGTTTGAGTATATTTCTTTTAAAATGGAACAAAAGCAATCTTCTACTCTTTTCATTGTCCTGTACAGGCCACCACAGTCATGTTGCGATTTTATTGACCATTTTACTGAACTACTTTCATTCGTGTGCACAGATTTTGATAGTTTAGTTATTACAGGTGATTTTAATGTACATGTTGATAATGTTGATGACAGAAATGCAAAGGAGCTGGCTTCTGTATTTGAGACCTTTGGTTTCATTCAGCACGTGAGTGGCCCCACCCACAGCAGGGGGCACACTCTTGACCTGCTAATTACAAAGGGGGTTAATGTATCAAATGTTAATGTAGTTGATGTTGCTTTGTCAGATCATTTCTGTGTATTTTTTGACATGTGTTTTGCTAGCAAACCACCAGCTGAATTTACAACTGTTAGAAGAAGACACATACATGAAAACACAAGTGAACTGTTCATGGGAATGCTAAATTTTGAGAAAACTCCATGCTCTACTGTTGATGAATTGTATAACTCTGTCACCACCAGTGTTCTGACTGTTCTGGACGCCATTGCTCCTGTGACGGTTAAAATAGTTACCAGTAAGAAAAAGGCCCCATGGACTAAGGCAGACTCGGTTAGGGCACAGAAGCAAGAGTGCCGGAGGGCCGAACGGAAGTGGCGAAAGTCCAATTTCCAGGGCGATTATGAAATCTTTAAAGATGAGTTGGGTGAATTTAACCGGGTTCTACGTAGAACAAGAGAAATGTATTTTTCTGACATTATTGGAGGTTGCAGTAACAATTTTCGTGTTATGTTTTCAACAGTTGGTAGATTAACGAACCCCCCTGTAAAGTTGCCCCTAGAATTTTCCTCTAAATCTAGGTGTAATGAGTTCGCACAGTTTTTCGATGACAAAGTACAAGGAATCAAAAACACTATCACCTCCACAGCACGTATAACAATGCAACAGCCAGAGAAGCTTTCTGAGCTAACTCACTTTGCACCTGTGGATACTGAAACTGTCAAAAAGATAATCATGAGTCTGAGCTCCTCCACATGTAGCCTGGATATATTGCCCTCTAAAATTTCTGAAGTCCGTCCTGAGCAGTTTGTTACCTTCACTGACACAAATAGTAAACATGTCTCTGTCGTCAGGAACATTTCCTATGGCCCTAAAAACAGCAGTCATAAGACCTCTCCTAAAAAAGAGCAGTCTGGATCCTGCGGGACTTCAAAATTATCGCCCCATATCGAATCTGCCATTTATTGGAAAAATTCTTGAAAAAGTGGCCTCCCAACAACTTACTGAATTTTTAACAATGAATAATTCTTTTGATATGTTCCAGTCTGGGTTTAGACCCCACCACAGCACTGAGACCGCTCTAGTGAAGGTAACAAACGACATTCGACTTCACACTGATGCAGGTAAAGTCACAGTTTTGGTCATGTTAGATCTTAGTGCCGCGTTCGACACTGTCGACCATGAGATCCTCATGCAGAGACTGGAGGACTGGGCTGGTGTCACTGGCACAGCCCTAGACTGGTTTAGGTCTTACCTGGAGGATAGGAAGTACTCTGTGGAGATTGGAGACTGCGTCTCAGATGATGTGGCCCTGACCTGTGGTGTACCACAGGGGTCGATCCTGGGACCTCTCCTATTTAATCTCTACATGCTGCCGTTAGGTCAGTTAATACAAAGAAACAAAGTGTCCTACCACAATTACGCTGACGACACTCAGATCTATGTCTCACTGACTGCAGGAGAACATGGACCACTGGATTTGCTCCTTCACTGTATCCAACAGATCAGTGACTGGATGCAAAATAATTTCCTCCAGCTAAATACAGACAAAACCGAAATCATTGTCTTTGGTCCCCAGAAACAAAGAGAGGGCGTCATTTGTCAACTTCAGTCTCTCTCCCTACTTCCTTCAGACAAGGTCAGAAATTTGGGGGTAATACTGGACTCAGACCTAAATTTCAATAGCCACATAAAATCAATAACATCAACAGCTTTTTACCATCTGAAGAACATTGCCAAAGTTAGAAATATAGTGTCCAGGGCAGACTTGGAGATTCTTGTCCATGCATTTGTCTCCAGCAGGCTAGACTACTGCAATGGCCTGCTTACAGGTCTGTCCAAACAGACCTGTAAGCAGCTGCAGTACATCCAAAATGCAGCAGCTAGAGTCCTGACAGGAACCAGGAAGTATGACCATATTAGTCCGGTCCTCAGGTCTCTGCACTGGCTTCCTGTGGCTCAAAGAATAGATTTTAAAACGGCTCTGCCCGTGTACAAGTCTCTCCATGGCCTTGCACCAGAATACATTAGTGACATGTTGGTGTCATATGAACCGGCCCGGACTCTGAGGAGCACAGGGACTGGCCTCCTGCTGGTGCCCAGAGTGAGAACCAAACATGGGGAGGCTGCGTTTCAGATCCATGCAGCTAAGATCTGGAACAATCTCCCTGAAAATGTGAGGGAGGCGTCTACTCTGTCAATGTTCAAATCCAGGTTAAAGACTGTTCTGTTTGCCTGTGCATACAACTGAAGGATTTTATCTCCATTTTTAATGCACTGCTGTCATTTATTTATTTTTTTAAATTTCTTGTGTAATTTTGAAAGTTTTAATGGTTTTATTCTTTTGTGTGATTTTAATGTTTTAATTGTGTTTTAATCTTTTGTGTGATTTTAATGTTTTAATTGTGATTCTGGTGTTTGTTTTATGTGATGATTTGTGATGTGGACTGTGAAGCGCTTTGTGTTGCCATGTGTATGAAAGGCGCTCTACAAATAAACTTTGATTGATTGATTGAAAATTATGACCAGGATATGTAGACAACACTATTGGACACTCATTTATACCGTTTATCAGCAAAAAAAGTGGATTTGAGGGTGAGTTGTCCTTTAAGTTGATTTACTTTGAAGTTGTAGTGAACTTCTGAAAGTGAGTTCAAGTTGCTCACAACAGACAGTTCCAGTTCCAACTGGCAATTTTATTGTCAGTGAATGCAATAATTTTGAGTTGTCGTTTTAGAGTGAGGTCAACTTATCTGCGTTTGCTCATTTAAATATGTGTCATGGCAACCAGCTGCATTCAACAATTTGAAAAAACTAATTTGACCAAAAAAATCATTGTATTTATTTTTACCAACCGTAATCGACAGGGCCAAGCCAAAGTAGCCCTATATATTCCCTGGGTCAGTCTTAGTGCGGCACGGTGGCTGAGTGGGTAGCACTCTCGCTTCTTGACACGAAGGTTCTGGGTTCAAATCCCGGTCGGAACAGGGCCTTACTGAGTGGAATTTGCATGTTCTCTGTGTCTGCATAGAATTCCCCTGCACAAGTGACCTTGGTCTGTAAAATGCGCTATATAAATAAACATCATGATGGTTTAATGTGGGGGCTGATTTATACTCAAAATAGTAAGGTTTTGTAGGGGACAGTAATATGAACTTAAAAAAGTAACATTTTACAGACTTGTAGTTGGCAGAACTTGGAAAACTTAGCTGACACAACTTCATAGGTGTAGTTCTTCAAAACGTGAAGAATTCAGTTAATGCCTTAAACTCAAAAATCCTTCGCAGCCTGTTGCTTTGAAATTTTGAGTTGAACTAACTTTTTCTTTTTTACAGTGCATCTGTCAGCAGCAGTGGACGCCATAGTTCATAGTAGTTGCTGATCTGGTCGATCAGGTCCGGAGCTGGAAGATTTGACCTATATGATTGTTATGAAATCTATCACTTCTCAGAGTAGCAACAATGAGGGAAAACCACACACACAATGAAGGATTTAAAGTGATGACGCAACCAAAGATCATGTGAACGTGGTGTATGCAGTCTGTGAACAAAGACTGCAATGGAGCAGGCCCTGGTTTGGGCTCCGGAGACACTCCCAACTTCCTGTCCTGGGAAGGAAGCATTGCAGCAAGCCTTTACAAATGATAAATGCAAACCTGTTTCAAATGATAAATGCTTCATAAATTTCAGGGTGAAGAAGGTGACCTTGGTCCTGACGGTCCTGTTGGTCCCCGCGGTCCTCTGGTGAGTGACACATACAGTGTAGAGTGTAAAGCAGACACACTGAAGGACTGACCAGGACGTACCTTTGGATTTATAATAGAGCTTTGTCTAACCCACAGACCCATTTCAAAGCAGAGCTAATTGAAGGAGCACAGACAATGAACAAAACTGTAAATATTTAGATCATTATAAACCCTTTTTCCAAAAACAGTCTTAGCAGAAGATTATAATTGCACAAATAAAAAAATATACAAGACCCAATAAGTACACTACACAAATTGGCAGCCGGGGTCAGACTAATATGTAAATTAAATGAGACCCAAAATGCAAAACATAATGGATTTAATAAAAAGATACAAATCAAGACCTACCAAAAACACAGGGAACGGACAGAACTAAAACAGACAAGGGATGACAATGACAGAACAGGGAGTGAAGGAACACACAGGGCTAAATACAAGACTAACGAGACACAGGGCAGGGCAGGTAATCAGACAACAGGAAGTACAACCAAAGAAGACACAGGGATAACACATTTCAAAATAAAACAGGAAATAAACTTAAACCATGACAGTACAGTGCTGTGTCTGTATTTCACAATAGAAGGAGACAGAGCTGATAAAGCGAATAGCCATATTGCAAATTCTTACATGATCACAGTGTTGCACACTATTACAGTGTTTATTTTACAGTCTGACAGCAGCTGAAAGGCCTGTGGGGAATCTCCTTCCCACATGCGCTCTGGGATATGACAGTTGTGAAAAGCACTTATATAACCTCATTGTGGTGAATGATTAGGATGTGAGGAAGTGAGACATAAGTTTGGAAAGATCTGAAATAGTTTGAACATCTGTTTGTTGGTTCAAAACTTACAAGAGAAGAGATAATATGCACCAGATTCAGCTACTGCTACTTCCCATCTGTCCTCGCAGGTGTCTTTGACTCTTCTCTAATCAAACAAAATCTATAACAAAAAACAAGCAGTGTAAAGAAAACATCTATACTATAATTAGTAAGATGTATTATTATTATTAGAGAATATTTTTCAAATCAATGTTTACTTTTTTCAGGTATTTGACAAAATACATTTGCATCAGTATCACACAGATGACATCCCCTTTTACCCCTTGCTTATCATTGTTCAGCTCTTTTCTTAAGCTTCACCAGAACTGGAGTTTGTTTCTAGACACAGATGTTACACTCTAGTTATTCTCGTTCAGGGGCCGAAGGGGCTGCCAGGTTTGCAGGGGGCAGTCGGCTCGAAAGGCAGCAAGGTCAGTGAATTCATGTATAGTAGTTAGTAGTTTGTATGATACTAATGGATGTGGTTTTGGTGATGTTCCTCAGGGAAATGACGGCAAGACTGGACGTCCTGGGAAGAAGGGGCGTATCGGGAGGAAGGTATGAGGGACTTATGTGATGTAGGTGTTTCCTGATGCTCCTCCCTGGACCTCCTCCTCTGACCACCTATTCTTACTTACTCAATATATTGTGTTTCTTCACTTACATATGATTCATTTTAGACCTAGGTCTTTCACATACACATCATAATTTGAGACTTTCAACAGGGAAAGAAGGGAAAATCAGGAAGTAGAGGCATCAGAGGAAAAGGTGGTGAAAAGGTTGGTTTCTGTACATCACAATAATGACTTTGTCTCAATGTCTTAATTGTGTTGTATTCACAGGGGAAACGTGGAGGCCCTGGACCTCCTGGCCCACCGGGCCGGCGAGGCGCTTACGTAAGTTATCAAGTTCAAGGACACATGCAGAATCAGACTTGAAGCTCCATTTACACAAATATCAGGAAGGTCTGCCACAAACATTGGCCCCCATTCCTTCTGTCCAAATCTCTGTTGTCAAACAAGAGTTGGTTCGCAGTTGGCATCAGCAGCGATCGCAGAGGCGCCGCTGCTGATGCCTCTTAAGTATATGGAGACATGACAAAGTCTCGGCCACCTGCTGCAGAGCCACATGACTGCTGAGCCTGGGTGTCAGGCCATAACAGCAAGAAAAAAAAAATAGTACAATTTCATTAACATAGTAAATATTTACCTGCAATACATGCATGAAGTACAATACTGTATTTAAACAAACAACATAGCTGACAGTACTCTGTCAATCTGTCAAACCACATACATTACTTATATACAGCACAATCCACACAATGTTGAATTAAAAAAGTAGAAAGCCATCTTCCACTTCCTGAGTGTTGCTCACAACCGACCATCTCCTATTCCATTCCTTGTGTTTTCTGCTGAATTGTTTTACATTCTAAAACGTGAAATCCCACTGTAAATATTCTCAAGTTCATGTTTAAAATCATGTTATTTCTTGAAGGGAAAACGTGGGTCACAAGGTCAAAAAGGAGATAAGGGACCAGCCGGCTCTAAGGTATCATCATATTCATCTGTGTTTGTTTGCTCAACATCAGTCTCTAATGTGGGTATCCGCACAGGGAGAACCAGGAGCAATGGGACCACCTGGACCTGTTGGTGGAGATGGTTTGAAGGTGAAGCACTCCTCTGAGTCGCTGAATACATTGGATTACACATAAACACCATGATATTATGTGTATTCATTTATTTATTTTTTATTTCAGGGTGTAAAAGGTCCCACTGGGGTCGGGGGTAAACTGGGTCAGAAAGGAGAGCAGGTGATTAAACATGCAGAACAGCATTCTTAATATTATTGCATAAATGTGTTGAAAGTGTATGGTTTTTCTCTCTAGGGTGATATCGGGCCCCCAGGTCTCCGTGGAGGGCCTGGCCTCCCTGGGTTACCGGTAGGTAGCATCTCAATTATTAGAATTCAAATTTATTATGATATATTGATATGTTTATGTTTCTGAACAGGGATTGTTTGGACAAAAGGTCAGTACAAAGCCGAGTTTAAGCCTCTTTAGACCTGTTCAGTCAGAGCTCCCACCTCATCTACCACTTTGGCAACTTGTTAAATCCAAACCAATCAAAAATGAAAGCAACGTATTAATCTCACTGTTGAGGACACTGTATCATGGATGTATTATATTACGTATGTTGAGCTGTTTCTGTTGAACTTCTTCCATAATATTCTGTGGCAGAAGCTTTACTCACAGTCAAAAGGCTGGTGATGACTCTATCATCAACAGCACTACCCTTAGCTATCCCCAGAGTATTAGTGATTACTAATAATGGTCCCCCTCTCAAACGAGATGCTTTATTACACAAAATTACACGAGCCTCTTCTGTTGTCTATGAAAATATCAAACTAAGCAGTCGAATAACGCATTTTTAACTGATACATTCAATAATTTATCCATAAGGTACTGTATAATTAGACACATAGTATCATTTATCAATGTTAAGTTTTTGTAGTTTATTTATTTGTTTTTTAGTTGAAAACTGTCTGTATATGTATAGAACAACAGACAAATTAGAGCTGTGTTCTGTTGTTGGTGTACGGTTGGTGTGATTTGATTTCCCACCAGGGACTGAAAGGATTGTCAGGAGTTCGGGGGCGTAAAGGGCACAAGGGAAAGCCAGTACGTTTCTGACACATAAACTGTGGTTAAAAGTGGTAAAAATGCAGTTTGTTAAACGTTTTATTGTTGGTTTTGCCAGGGTCCTCCTGGTCGAGCCGGACCACCAGGGCCTTCACTGAACCACACACTGCATCAGATGAAGGTAAAGAGTCTGGCATTACAACACATCTACCTTTAGTGACTCTTAATCATCGTCTCAAATTATGTTATTTTTGGCTCCAAACACTGCACAAACATGTATCCCCACTCTTACTGTCAAAATATTCTCATTCTGGAATTATGTTACACAATATTCAAGCAACCACTTGCCCTCACAGACATTGTGTGTGAGGGCAACCCTGTAAAATAGCTACAGTACAGCTGGACCCTCTGATTTATGCAGTTTGGGTAGGACTGAAAAAGTAAGAGATTGATCATAAATGACAAAGACTGAGAATGCAGAAAGATGTTGGGCTATAAGATCCAGTGATTTATTTTTATTTCTAAATTCAATGTATTCAATGTAATTTATTTCTGTTGCAGTATATTGTTAATTGTTGGTTCTTTGTAAAATACACTTGTGACTTATGAAGGATGCTAACAGGGATACAAGTTATGTTGCAAAACAAAAGAAAGCTCGTCAGCGTCTCTACTTTCTGCGTAAACTTAGAGAATTTACCACTAACTCTAAGATTCTGCTTAACTTTTATCGCTGCACCATTGAGAGTTTACTTGTTGGTTCTGTGTCTGTGTGGTTTGGAAACATCACAGATAAAGAAAAGAGAGCTTTAAACAAGGTGCTCCGCTCTGCTAAGAGGACCGTGGGCTGTGAGCTTCCTGTTCTGGAGGTTCTTTATAAATCCAGACTTTTAAACAAAGCTCTTAGGATTGTTAATGACTCTTCTGGCCACCCTGGGAAAGCCATGTTCCAGCTTCTTCCCTCTGGCAGAAGATATCGCTCTCTGAGATGCAGGACATCTCGCTACGCTAACAGTTTTTATCCACAAGCTGTTATCAGTGTGAATAGAGCACTTTAATGATTTGCACTCGTTTTGAAACTGTTTTAGCCGTTCAATTTCACAGTGACATTTGTTTACTGTTTTATTTGTTTTATTTCTGTCTTTTAATGTTGTTTTATGTCTGTATTTGTCTGTGCACACTGGAGACTTTTTGCTAATGTATTCCAATGTGGTTTTTTACTGCAAATGGCAAATAAATAAACTGAACTGAACTGAACAAGTTCCCAAAAAAAATAATCAGTTACTACCAAATGAAACGTGAGGGTTGTATTGTGTGGTTTTTATTTCAGGAGATGAGGTTCATGTCGGACAGGTCTCACATGCTGCAGCTTCAGGGCCTTCTTGACTCCCTGCACACAGAGCTGCACTGGTTCATGAATCCTCCAGAGGGCACTAGAGAGCAACCGGCCACCACTTGCCTGGAGCTGAGGATGGCCCGTCCCAACAGCACCAGTGGTCAGACTCACACCTCTGGTCACACGCACCTAAAATCCACATAAATACAATTGTTTCTATGTTCATGTGCTTTCCCATTGTGCTTTCAGGGATGTATTTTATTGATCCAAACCAGGGCAGTGCTGCGGATTCTTTCCAGGTTTACTGTGACTTCTCAGCTGAGCCTAAGACCTGCCTGTCCCCCATTCACACTCGGGTATGTTCTAGTTCCAGTCTGTTAGAGCATGATACTCTTGTTTTTGTCCTGATGCTGGTGACAGTCTCTGTAGACATCCTGACATCTACAGTCCGTGCGCCATCATACCTGCACTGAACACCTGCAGAGATTAAAGGACTGGCACCGCCCTAAGTAGTTTTTAGAGATAGGAAACTGTGTCTCAGATCTTATGGGCCTGACCTGTGGAGTGCTTCAGGGGTCGATCTTGGGACCTCTCCTTTTCAATTTCTACATGCTGCCGTTAAGACACGTTGTTACTGCTTATTACTTTCACCCCTATGCAGACGACACTCAGATGTCTCACTGAAATTATTGTCTCTTGTTCCCAGACAGAAAAATTTGGCGTTATCCGTCACATCCAGTCTCTATTGATCTCTCTTCAAATCAGAAAATCTAGGAGTAATAATGGACTTACAATTCAATTTTAATATCCACGTGAAATCAGTAACATCTGCAGCTTTTTACCCCCCTGATAATATCTCCAGAATAAAAAAATATAATGTTTAAAGCAGACTTGGAGATTTTACTATCCAGTAGGTTAGACGACTGTAACATCCTGCTTACTTGACTCGAGCTGGAAATGAGCTGTAAAACAGCTGCAGTAAATTCAAAATGCTGCTGCTTGAGTCCTGACTAGAACCAGGAAGTGGTCTCAGTTCTCTGCACTGTGGTTCAGACAAATGTTGGTGCCGTTTGAACATCCTGCTGGGACTCTGAAGAGCACAGGGACTGCACAGAATCAGGACTCACTCCTCTTAATGTACTGTTATTATTTATGGTTTTAATACCCACTTTTATTGTTTCTTTCTTTGTTTTGTTAAGCACTTTGATTTGCCTTGTGTTCTAACTGTGCTATACAAATAAACTTGCCTTGCCTAACTAAATCTACAGGTTCCAGTCAAACCATGGCTGAAAGAATCCGACCATACTTTGGGATTTAGTTGGCTGAGTGCATTTAAAGATGGCTTTCAGGTGAGGACATGTTTCAGAGACGACTCCCTCTGTTCGTTGGCTCAGTTGTAAAGACTGCTGTGTGTGTGTGTGTGTGTGTGTGTGTGTATGTGTGTGTGTGTGTGTGTGTGTGTGTGTGTGTATGTGGTAGTTTGAGTATGTGGATGTGGTTCAACTGAGGTTCCTGAGGCTCCACAGTCGGACCTCCTCTCAGACCGTCACATACCGCTGTGGTCCCGGGTGGAGACAGAGCGGAGACTCCAGAAACATCAAGTTCTTATCTGACTCCCCTAACCAGAGCTACCTGTCCACGCTGCGCGACTGTCAGGTGAGCAGTGTCTTTGGCCCTAAAGCTGAGATACCTCACTTCCAATCCACAAAAAATGTACTATTTTATCAAATTAATGTAAGTTCCTCGCTCTCAAAAGAGTTGCCTTCACTTGTTTTCACATGCATATACAGTATATTCAGCCCCTGTCGCATCCTTAGATCAGCTTTTTCAGACAGAAAAGTGAAAACGAGAGGACCACCCTCACTCAACCAATCAGCTCTCAGTCCAAAGGGCCAAATAGTGACTCACAGGGCTCTTTATTACAAGCATACAAAAGATAGTGTTTTCTAATGAGATGAAGACAGTATGTTTTTACCTCTGAAACACAAAATGTAAAGTTTGTTCAACAAGAGTGTGTCCATTCCAGGGGTGTCAAACTGGTTGCAGTTGTGGCTGCAGGTTTTCATTCAGATCAAGCAGGAGCAGACAAGACTCCACCCATTTACTCAAGTCTTCAGGTTCAGACTGAATTGAGGAAATGGGTGGAGTCTGGTGGGCTGCTGCTTGGTTGGAATGGAAACCCAAGCCATTCGGCTCATCGGTTTGACAGCTCTGATTTAAGTCAAATGATTCTTCCTTGAGACAAGAGTCGACAAACTCGAGTCAACAAGGTCTGTGACACTTCTAAAAGTGAAAAGTCTTTCCTCATAATCAAGACTAGTTTAGGTTAGAGATCCCATTCTACATTTTGTCAGTCCTGTTCCCAAATAAAATGTTCTCTTGACAGATAAATGTGCAAATTCTGAGTAATATATATGACTTACTTCAAATCTACATAAATAGCTGTGTACGACGTAAATGATAATGTGTATTTTTGTATTGCAGCCTTCAGGAGATCGGGGCTCAGGATCACAGGAGTCTGTTTTTGAGTTTGAGAGTGATGATCTTGAGCTGCTGCCTCTCAGGGACATTGGTATATTTGGGAATCATGAAGTAAGGCATGACTTCGGCTTCACAGTGGGACCAGCGTGTTTCAGCTAGCCCTGAACCTGGAGCCCTCTGTACAAAAAAACAATTCTCCTCCTTTAGGTGCTATACACCACCACAATGGATTTGATAATAATTGGTTTGGTGTTTCATCCTGCGGGATTAGACGTTCCCCCAGGTCACAGAGAACTTCCCTTGCCTTGCAAGAAAGATTGTTCTTCTCATTATGTTCATTTTGCCTGCTTTGGACTGTTAACTGCAGAGGTTCTTTTTGAAAGATACTGGTTGCGATGTATGACCTTGTTCAAATGTTTCGACTGAAGATCTGCGAGTCAGCACTCTGTCGCCTTGGTGACGTCTCATTTACCAGCTGATGTAACTTCCTGATTTGGTGTGGTCCAGTGGTTTCTGGAGAAAAGCATCCCAGAGTGCGACAGGATGAAGGCTCCATCGTCCCAGTCAATGCTGTTTTCTGCCTCCTGCTCTCGATGGCCTCCTTTATCCAGCGTTTGCACTTCTTGTTGTCAGATCAATGACCATTGCCCGATCGATGTGGTGGTTTCTCCTGCTGTCATCTGATATGGTAGATTCTTGATTTTCTTTTTATGTTATTTTTTTCTTTATCCTAGTTTTTCTTTCTTTTTAACATTATGTTTATGTTGAAACACCTGTTTCATGTATGAAAGGGTTAGTGTCTTCATAGGCAATGACATACTGTGGGTCTGTGATCGGTTGTGATGTGTGTCCAGTTAGCATTTGTTAACCCAATATAAAGTACCTTTTATTTTCCCCTAGTATATCAAAAGAAATAACAGCAATAATAGACATCCTGCCATGGAACAGTTCAGCTGCCTCAATACATGTGAGTCCTTTCCGTTACATCGGCTGCACCATAACCCCAAATAACCTCAGAATAAAGTTGTAACCTCAGATAGCAAGTATCTGGAGGCGGACATGAACCTAGGACCTGTCCCACTGAGCTGTCCAGTTAGAAAGGCGAGGACAAACTGAGTCTCCATGGGTACAACTACAGACTAACCAAAAAGCCAATCAGGAGCAGGGCTATCCGCTATCTGTAGCAGAATTTAGGGATAGACGGCACCTGATTGGTCATTTGTAAGGGGCCATATCTAGATTCACACAAAAATAGCAGGATCCTACAGAGCGATAAATCACAGAATAATGTGTGACTCAATTGGTTGCAGCACAATGAAAGCCAAAGCCAATAGGAAACCTTGACGTCATGAAGCTGGAAGTTACAAACTTTTTAGTCAGAGAGCCACTTAAGTTCATCAGATCTGTCCAGGAGCCGACAACACAGATTCTGCTTTGACTGGATAACAGGCTGGTTGTCCATATTTTTTCACATCACAGCTACACAATACAGTATGTATACACACATAAAGCAGACGACTGGATTCCAAAAGGTTTGAGCGTTGCAACAAGGTACAGAATGAATGGGAGCAGAAGTTGGCTGGATCAAAGTTCTTTGGCCTCTTTGCGTTAGCGACAGAGGGCCACATAACATGACACAGGGGGCGCCATTTGTCCTCGGGCATCAGTTTGGAAACCCCTGCTTTACACAGTCTATGGTGGACTCTGCAGTTAAAGCTCATATTGTTCGTTTTGCATTTCAAATCCATTGCAGGGGTGTGGAGTTTTATACTGATGGACCTGATTGTAAAAGATGCTGACTTGTACATTTTGGGTTGTAGTTGTATATTGTTGCTCTGTTTTAATGTCTGTTGTTTGTAATGCCTTTTGACATAGCCTACTGTATGGAACTATTTATTATAATCTTGTTTTGAAGTAGTGGAATGCAGATGTATATAGTGTTTATGAGTTGTTGTAAATATGTATGTTGATGTGGCGACTTTAAGTCATCATTCTCACACTTGAACCAGATGTACCGTACTTTTCGCACCATTAGTCATAATTGTGATACCATAATCATACATTAAAATTGGTTTATCTGTAAACAAAGGCAGAAAGCAGTATGAATGTCAATATCCCTGTCATTCTTGACCTCAATTTTGAAGATAGAACAAAGAGATAATCACATAAATCGATGTATCCACTGGGATAAACCCAATAAATGCAGCTGGACCTGGTCAGTTGTCAAACATTATAAGTCATTTGAATTATTGAACTTATTCAATCAGTATTGTAAAATCCATCCATTCATTCTTTTTTTATTTCGCTTTATCCGTTGCCAGGTCAAGTAGTCCAAGTAGAGATGCACAGACTTCCCTCTCCTCACACACTTTCTCCAGCTTAACCAGGGGAAACCCAGACCAGCTGAGAGACTTGTTCTGGGTCTTCAAATAAGTCTTAAAATGAAAGGCTTTATGTGTGAAAACTACGGTAATAATGATTGGTGTGATGCTTATACTTTTATTGTCAAATAGATTTTTCAAAATATTTGTGCAGCTTTTTATTAAAATGAAGGGATATCTGTCTCTTTCTCAGGAGTAACACGTCAGGGTCATTTGTCTAATAAATTGTATATGTTTTCATGTTGTGTTGTTTTTATATTTGCTGCAAACACACTTCTACCTGTGTGTATGTCAGCGTGTGCGTGCATTCAAATGCTAATATTGAAAATCGGGAACAGTGACACTTCCTGAAAATGTGAGACAGGCTTCTACTTACATTTACATATAAAGAGATATATACTTATTTCTCTTATTTGAAAATATTTACAGCTACAGCCTTTACTATTGACCTTTCTTATATTTCCCACCGTGTGACGAATGAAGATTCTCTTATCTTACTCTGACAAAATGACCAGGTTAAAACAGTTCTGTGTATCTCTGTCCAACAGAAGCTTCGCATATTCAACCTTTGGTTCTGTGATTATTTATGATTTTAATGCCTTGTCTATCAACTGTGTCATACAAATAAACCTTGTCCTCTTAGCATACACACATGGCTTAGAGCATACACATATTTGAGGACTATTCATAATGCATTAAAAAATACTCAAATTATGTTTATTTCTCTCCCCTCAATCACTCAACAACAAAACATAAGGATTGCCTTTTGTTGCCAGATTGTTTCTCAATAAGTCCACCGCGTCTTCATTACAGGCTGCATGTTCGGTCTGGCAACCCCGTGGCACAGCAGTCGGAGTCAGACAGCAGGACTGATGCTAAACCCATTCACAAGTGAAGCGCTATTCCGTCTCTCTATTCCGTCTGTGCATCATTTTCTCAGGAAAACACATGAAAACCTGGTGTCATGTGTTGAGATGACAGCTCCCCGGAGGTTGTAGCCGTGTGAGCCCGGCTGCTCCATTCACCGGAGCGGCTCTGGATTCCCCTGGACCCGTGCTGAGGTAATGCTTCACTTTTGGTAATAATATCTCTTTTTATGTCATTCCCTCAAACAAGCATCATGAGCTACACACCGTGTCTCACGGCACACGTGTTTCTCTGTCACCGCTGGGAATGCGCTGTAGGCCTCCAGCCACGCCTCGGTCTACGGTCACCCCCGAGCCCGCCTCTAGCGCCCTGATGACGGGGTAGTGTTGGCCGAGGAGCCGCTGCAGATGAAGTCACTGAAATATAGTGCATTGGGTGTTTATCCTCAATGTTTATGTATTTTACTCCATTTCAAAGTACGTATAGAAGCTGTCGATGACTTCACAGCCAAAACAGAATAAAACAGTTTTCTGCAATTATTCTCCTGTTGCTGCCTTTGACAGATGTAGCCGTGCGTGCTAACGTCACAGACAACTTTTAGCTGGTCCTGTACGTCTTCATGTTTTTGATTATATTTGTAGAATCCCTTTCATAGATCTTTTAGTCGTACACTTATCGGCAACATGATTATTTCATCTGAGCACAGTGTCTGAGCACAGCCTTCTGTTTAATATTTCTGATGAGGATATAGATCTGCTGCGTGTATCTAGCTACAGTGATATAGTATGTATCTATATATCTGTACAGTGATATGAGTATATGTATACGTATGTATACAGTGATATGAGTATATGTATACGTATGTATACACTGATATATGCATATGAGACAGACCAATATGAAGTTACACTTATTATTACAAAGAGTGCCATTTCCTACTGCAGCATCTGTGATGAGCCACGTGTTGGGAGTAACTAGTTTTTTTAGTATATAGTGATTTACTTTCATACATTATTTCATGAACTTAGTAGTGTATTATAAATAATCAAATACTAATTCAAATAAAGGATATCAAGTTACATAAGTAACTTCATGTATTGCTTCATTTTTTTAATTTCTCACCTTCGACAATTAATTTTAGGGAAAAAGCTGTGCAGGGCAGAGCCTGATAAGTGCTGTGATGGGAGTCCTCTTGTAATACCAGGTGCCACAGTGGGGCGCCTGTAAAGTGCCAAACTGTAGACACTTCACCTACATTGCCTAGAATGAGTCTGGTGTGTGCCTGAATGGTTGGTGGTTGTCGTAGGGGCCAATGGCTACTGGTTGCTTTGCTTCTGTTGGTGTGTGCCAGGACAGCTGTGGCTACAGTAGTAGTTTATCACCGCCGTGTATGGAGTGAAAGAATACTGACGTGTAAAGCGTCTTTGAGTGTCCAGAAAAGCGCTAATTAAAACCAATGCATTATTATTGTTATTATTATTCATATTCAGTCTTATTGATCTGTTTTCTCAGTCCACAAATTGTTTTGTTAGTTTTAATTCAAAGAATGTATGATTTTCATTTTAACATCTATAACCAGAGAGTAACCAGAGAGAGACCAGAGAGAGAGAGACCAGAGAGAGAGAGACCAGAGAGAGAGAGACCAGAGAGAGAGAGAGACCAGAGAGAGAGAGACCAGAGAGAGAGAGACCAGAGATGTTAAAAATAGTATGTAAGAATGTGACATTCCTTTATTCTCCAAACAAACTGGCCTCTGTCAAATGGAGGAACTGTGATGTTAGTTTTTAAATGCTCAAATGGTTTGGTTCAAATGTTCAGTCTCCATTCTCAACCAATCAGTTTGATCAGTGAGGTACTATATCAAAATCCACTGGGTCTGTTTTGAGGGCTACTCATTTCAATTCAATATCATTCTGTGTATCCCTAAATCACAACAGTAGTTCTCTCGGAGGACTTTCCAAAGCTGTCGATTTGCCAACACAGATCAGAGAATCAAACTGTTCATCAAACAGGAGATGATTAAAAAACACATTGAGCCATTGGTCCATAAGAGGCAGACGACCAATGACCATAAATGTTCTTAGATTCTTGTGAGAATCTATGAACATTTATGGTCATTGGTCGTGACCAGAGAGAGTCACGACCAGTGAGGGTACAAAAGTGTGACAAAAGGCCAAAAAAATGATTTTAATGATCTGAATATATTTGATGTTTTTCACGTATCCAAACACCTCCTCTGTCCATTAGAAGTTGCTAGAACATAACTGTTTTATAAATTAGTCAAGTTTCCTATGTCGGCCCTGTTTATTTTATGAAACAGACGTGATGATTAGACTGAATGAGTTGCGGAAGTTTGTTTCAGAGATTTGTTTTTTTTACAGTAGAAACAAAGTGATACTTTCATACAGTAAACAGAATAGATATGAAACCAGACCATCATGTTTTTCTTTTCTCAAGTTTAATTTGTAGAAAAAAAAATTGAGGGAAACCATCCCGTCTGTTACACATTTTTCAAGGGTCATTTATTTTTTATATTTTTTTTTAATGATTCCTTTTTAAATCAAGTGATTTCCTGATGTTGTGTTAATGTTCATCTGTGGCAGTTCATCTGCCACTTTTTCAGATTGAGGACATTTTATTTTCTATGTAACTGGCGTCACAGTAGAATGATCAAATCAGAGGCTGATTTGGTTGTTTAAAGTGTCGCCAAGAATGTATCCTTCGTCATTCTTTCCTTTTGATTTTATCCACACTATCTGTTCGATATGTCTGTCTTTGAAATTTTTTTTCCAATCTATGTTAGCAATTTTAGTTTGAGTTATAGCCTTTTAAAGTCCAGACACTTAACTCTGAACGCATTCATTGTCCATAAATGTTGTTGTCGTTGAATGTAATCACTCTGACTTTATCTAGTCTTATCTAGTCTAGTCTGAGTTGCCTTGTTTATGAATTATGTGCTATACAAATAAACTTTCCTTGCCATTGTGGGTAGGCTGGACTGGAGACATGCACCCTCCGTCTCGACAGGATTATGTGGCTGTGACACTCGGCCAGAGGAGCAGCTCGTACAACAATGGGAAACAGTGGAGGAGGCAGTCCTGCTGGAGGGTGAGCTCTCTCACTGCAACATCCACACAAGACCGGAGTTACAGGATTTTTCACATTCTTAAAAAAAGCTTGAAATAACATAATTTTGGCTCTGAAAGCTGTGTGGGATTTTGATGTAGCTAAACATTGTCATTCACCCGACTTCAGCCCCGTCAAATGTGATGCCATACCTCAGCAGAGGGAGGGGGACAGGTGAGACAGCACAGGGAGGAGGGGGCAGAGGGGATCCAACAGAGAGAGGAGGCAGAAGGGTGAGACGGCAGAGAAAGGATGGGACTGCAGAGAGAGGGTGAGGGAGACAGGTGAGACAGCAGAGAGAGGGTGAGACAGCAGAGAGAGTAATCTTTATTTATATACCACCTTTTCACTGCACATCGGAGTCTCAAAGCGGTTTACAATTGTTATTTTTGGGAGTGGGGGTGCCAGTACAGGAGGCACATGCCAGACCTATTGTACATATTTTTAGTGGTAGGGGAAACCGGAGCACCCGGAGGAAACCTACGCAGACATGGGGAGAACATGCAAACTCCGCTCAGAAAGGCCCTGGTCCAACCGGGATTCGAACCCAGGACCTTCTTGCTGAGAGGCGAGAGTGCTATCCACTCAGCCACCGTGCCGCCGTGCCACCGTGCTGAGAGGATGAGAGAGCAGAGAGAGGGTGAGACAGCAGAGAGAGGATGAGAGAGCAGAGAGAGGGTGAGACAGGTGAGACAGCAGAGAGGATGAGACAGCAGAGAGAGGATGAGACAGCAGAGAGGGTGAGACAGCAGAGAGAGGATGAGACAGCAGAGAGAGGATGAGACAGCAGAGAGAGGATGAGACAGCAGAGAGAGGATGAGACAGCAGGGAGAGGATGAGACAGCAGAGAGAGGGTGAGACAGCAGAGAGGGTGAGACAGCAGAGAGGGTGAGACAGCAGAGAGAGGGTGAGACAGCAGAGAGAGGATGAGACAGCAGAGAGAGGGTGAGACAGCAGAGAGACAGCAGAGAGAGGATGAGACAGCAGAGAGAGGATGAGACAGCAGAGAGACAGCAGAGAGGATGAGACAGCAGAGAGACAGCAGAGAGAGGGTGAGACAGCAGAGAGAGGGTGAGACAGCAGAGAGAGGGTGAGACAGCAGAGAGGATGAGACAGTAGAGAGACAGCAAAGAGAGGATGAGACAGCAGAGAGAGGAAGAGACATCAGAGAAAGGATCAGACGGCAGGGAGACGGAGGTGAGACAGCAGAGAGAGGGGAGGTGAGATAGAGACAGGGGGAGACAAACCTCAAAGTTCAGAACAGTCCCAATTCAGTCAAAACAGTTTTACAACTCTTTTTTTGGCCTCCTGGTGGTCCTCTCACTGACATGTTTAAACATTAGCAATTCTCTCGTAGGGCTTGGCGATGTGGCTGAAAACGATATCACAATATAAGTGATTCATATAATTATTAGTTTTAGATTTTTAATCTTTTTTTTTTTTTTTTACCTAAATAAATACATTTGTGGGGCGACAGTAGCTCAGTTGGTAGAGCATTGGCCTTTGGGCCTGAAGGTCGTGGGTTCAAGCCCACCATAAGACCTACTTCACGACTCCCACTGATGACTGCTGTCGTTGTGTCCTTGGGCAAGACACTTAACCCCACTTTGCCTGAAGCTCCCACTGAAAGATCTCAGGAGCTGAGACCTGCAGGAGGATCAGTGAGGGGCTGGTGCTAAGTGTACTGGGTGCAGCTCTGACTGCCACCCCCCCGACCCAGAAATGGATTAAGGGGAAGAAAATGGATGGATGTATGGAAATACATTTGCCTTGTCTGCTAACACGTTAGCAGACCTTGTTTACAGTCACTGGGGAATGAGAACTCAGGCTGGAGGCACATGTGTCCCCCATTGTTAGTCCTGGTTTAGCTCCTGTTTTGGCTGTTTTCGAGTGTCTTGTGTTCCTGTAACGGCTCCGTGTGGCTTCCCGAGGAAAACGTTCATCTCTTGCTTTTGCCGCATTCATCGAGTCGATGTACCCACTGCCTCTACCGCGCCGTACATGCTATTCCTCACACGGATGTGCATAGCCATTGACACGGCATTGAAACACGATCTATAGATCCAGGTCATAGACTGTTGCGGTTGTGTTTTTTTGCATTTCCCAGAATGTTTTGCGGTTCATGTTCGGCCATGATAGGTCGAGAAGCCTCTGCCTATGTCTCCCAGAATGCTGTGCGCTTCTGACTCGGCTTTTTTTTTCTAAGGGAGTTAGGTTGAACTATCGAACATTCTATCGACCCCATTTTCTATTGAAATCGAACACGTGTCTATTGAGATATATATCGCTATCGTTTTATTGCCCAGCCCTATTCTGCCGATAGATTTAGGGTAGCAGCTGATAATAACTAAGACATAATCCTAAATTATAATCCAACTGATGTTTCATCCTGTGTCAGAAATGGAAGCAGCTGTCCAGGCTTCAGCGCAGCCTGATCCTCTTCACCCTGGTTCTGTTGCTGATCGGTGGGTTCGCCTCATACCCCAGCCTCACGGAGCACATGATTGGTAAGAGACGGACGGACGGACTCACAGACGCACGCACAGTCTCAGTCAACTTTGACTTGGATTTTAAAGTTACTAAACAGGATTTGAAGCTGCACAATTATATGAAACTAAAGTGAAAAAAAAAAACACAAGTAAAATGGAATCATTATTTATAAACTGAGGGCCTAATTAGAGCAGGATAGAACCCGTAGCCAGGCAGCTGTGGGCAGATGAGAGTTCATGAGCTCCACACAATTTTCTATTCATTTTCTATAGATACGCCCCATGTGTAAACATATCGCTGCTCCTTTTTACAGACTTTGGAGTGCACATGAAAAAATCAGCATGTTTTAAATATTCAAAACAACTCAGGGATTGTATCTTCACTTTAATGCACTTGTGTGGTTTTAATGTTTCTTTTCTTGTTCTGTAAAGCACTTTGAGTTGTTCTTGTGTTTGAACTGTGCTATATAACTGAACTTGCCTTGCTTTGTCAATACATAATAGATAAATTCATACTTTTCAGTCATGTCATGTTTGTGTTTGTGTCACTCATTTCTGAATGACTGCGGAGTTCTCATTTCCTTCCCATTTATCAGATCTGTGAGAGACTGGTGCTCCGATTTCTGCACCAGGACATTTTCAGGTCCTTTCTCTGTTCTGTCCGCGCTGTCCTCATTGTGCCATTCTGACGTTGATCTAAAGCCGTGTTATTTCAGGTGCTGAGGAGCAGACAGATGTAGTTCACCCACTTGTTCCTCACGTTCTGCCCGAGCCGGTGAAACTGGGCCAACTCCCCCCACTGCCCCGGCCAGAGAAGCCCCCCAAGGTCAGAGGCCGTGTCCACATGTGTCCAGGCTGGAGAGAGACCGGGAGAGAGGGACTGAGAGAGGGACTGAGAGAGGGACTGAGAGAGGGACTGGGAGAGGGACTGGGAGAGGGACTGAGAGAGGGACTGGGAGAGGGACTGAGAGAGGGACTGAGAGAGGGACTGAGAGAGGGACTGGGAGAGGGACTGAGAGAGAGGGAGACGTAGAAAGAGATGCACATGAGGGAGGAAGAGATAGGAAATGATCATGCAAATACGTAAAATTTTACATTATGTGAACAATACAATTTAGGATTGTATCACTATCTTACACAATAAAGCAAATGAATAATTTAGCTATAATTTTAAACCACCACAGTCATTTTACATTTTTGAAGAAAGGTGTATTTGTACAAACAGATAAAAACCAGAGAATCAAACGGGAAATTCAGTAATACCAAACACATAGAAGCCATTGGTCCACAGGGAGCAGGACGACCACTGTCCAGAAATGGGATTAAATGTGTTTTAAAAGTCCAGGTGCGTTCTGGTGACGAGGCGCTATAATGACATTGTGTTTGTGTTTGCGTTTGCTAGAAAAAACTATCCAACAAAAGAGGACCACCTTTACTCCACAATGTCCTGCAAAGGAACGCAAATGCCTCAAACACAGTGGAAGAGCACGGGGTCCGTAAGAAGGAGGCCAGCGACAAAATCATCAGGTGAGTTCAGTCGTTCTAGCCCCTCTGATTGGGAAACTGTTAGATTTTAGCCTCACGTTGTTTTTGTTTTGTTTTTTTTGTCTTTTCAGTTGGCGTGGAGCTGTGATTGACACTGAGCAGGGAACAGAAGGCCCCAAAGACGACAGCATGGCCAACCAGGCAGAGAAGCCCGTCAAAGAGTCGGGTTAGAGTCTCCATATGTTCAGATGTTTGGATGTGCATGTGCGAGGGATGATGCCTGCACGTTTTATTGAATTGCACAATCAGTAGTTGGTTTGCTATGGTAACGAGCGTGTTCCAATGCATTAGGGCAGCAACGACGCCTTTTATAATGTCTTCATGATTACTGGTTTGCATGTGTAATAAACATCCATGCTGTATTTCTACGCAAAACACAGCAGCACATGGTGGAGGACTATGCCAAGATATTAATATAACGATATATTTTGTGTCACAGTCAATTAGTGGTATGCTAATTCCTATTTGTTCTATTGATATGAATGGGAGTTAATACTTGGTATGCAACACTGACATTTCCCCATTGTGGGACGAATAAAGGATCTCTTAATCTTAATCTAATATCCAATTAAGTCTTGCAGTTTAGTATAAGGTACCTTGGCCTGTTCTACCCCAAAAAAATCTCTGGCTCTCTCTCTCTGATCATCTCGCTCTCTCTTACTAGTCTCTCTCTATATCTGTCTATATCTTTTATATGTAAAAGGTAAACAAACAAAAATAACTACACAAACAAAGAAATAAGCAAACCTTTGGATGGGACATATTATTTGCAATTGTATATTGATAACGGCTGCATAGTATAATATCGTATCATAAGGGACTCATAGATTCCCAGCGAAACTGCAATGTCACATCATAAATATAGACCATACCGTTAGCTGACTGTACACAGATGGACAATGCTAACCCGCTAGCTCCATGAAGCTCAATAGGGAAGTTCCAACTTTCTCTGGCTGCTATTGACTTGCATTGAAACATAAACTCCGAGCTCCGGGAGGGGAAACTCCAGCTTGCCTTAGCAACCACCTTAGCAACATGTCTGCCCCTGTTATGGTGCAAAGCTAACCCGAGATAATGTTCAAATCAGCTTTGTCCGCATCCTCTACTGATATGGACAAAAGTCACAGACCAGAACATGGTGGTTTGGTGTTGGCGTACCCGCTGTGAGGACCGCTCTAGTCTCCCTGACGACAGAGCCTTCCAGTGTGCCAGTCTGCATGCCACTTTAATCCCTTACCTGTTCTTTATACAATCCTCTGATTCATTGTATGAGAAGTACAATGAGAAGAAGAGGTATGAGAAGCATCCATCGGGAGCTCAATGACCGTAAAACCTATTAAAGTCTGATTTTCTTCACAGATCATTCCTTTCACAATATGACAGGTGAATCTAATCATTTTTCCCAAACAAATTGAAATACAATAAGCTGTGGTTGTGTCGGTCTGAGTGAGGGCTCTGTGCTGGCCAAGCTGACTCTTAGTGTGTGTTTTCAGAAGCGGATTGGTTGGAGGCGGTGAGGGACTCCTTCAGACACGCTTGGCAGGGGTACAAGGACTTCGCCTGGGGCCACGACGAGCTGCGGCCCATCTCCAAATCCTACAGCGAGTGGTTTGGCCTGGGGCTCACCCTCATCGACGCCCTGGACACCATGTGGATCATGGGCCTCAAAACGGGTGCGTCCTCCTGCTGCGCTTTGGATAAACGGACATCGAGCAGAGAAGCAAAGGGCAAATACAGTGGGCCCTTGCTTTTTGTGGCCTCTCTGGTTCGCAATATTTTTGTGTGTGTGTAATAGTGCATGCTTTTTTTACAGTGTGCTTCTCATGTGCCTGTGTGTATACTCCGACAACATAATATACAACATCATATAACCAGTAGTTTAACACGACAGTTACGTTTATTTAAAGTCAGAAGTAAACGTTTGGGGCATGTGTGCACCACGGTGATTAATTCAGAGGTTGCTCTCTAGTCTCTCTCTGGTCTCTCTCTAGTCTCTCTCTGATCTCTCTCTGGTGTGGCATTGGTCTCTCATATAGCCCTCAGTCCTGCTCCTGCCCCTCAGCGCCTCTCTTTCTGGTCTCTCTTTCTGGTCTTTCTCTCTGGTCTCGCTTTCTGGTTCGTCCCTCTGGTCTCTCTCTTTATCTCTTCCCATAGCCCTCAGTTCTGCTCCTGCCCCTCAGCGCAGTGTCCTCTTCAGTTGTATTTTTCAGTGTATGCACGACTTTTGACAGCTGCAGCAGCGCTCAGACCTACAACAAACAGGTTTGATATCTACGTGGTCGCACCTCAGCTGTCGTGAGTTCAGGTGGTTGGAAAAGTGTATAAAGTTTGCGGTGAGGATTTTACTTAAAACATAGAGCTGCTACTTCCAGGATTTAAAACGTTAACCCTGAGATAAACAAGGGACCATCGCAGTGAAATTGTTTTGCATAAACCAAGCACTCACTGTAAATTGATAAATGAACAAAAGACTGTTGCTGCTCTGGTTCCTGTTTCAGTGATCTCTTTGTTTACTGTATGTTTTACAGACAGGTTTGTGTAGTTTCTCTGATATTTAGTCATTTCTGCTTTGACAGAATTTGAAGAAGCGAAAGCCTGGGTGGCCACAGAGCTCTCCTTTAACAAGAACGTGGACGTGAACTTGTTTGAAAGCACCATCCGGATCCTGGGAGGCCTGCTCAGCACGTACCACCTGACCGGAGACGCGCTGTTCCTGGAGAAAGCCGTACGTTTGTTCATGCGACTGGTTTTATATCATGTCTTTAGGATGTATTTGTCTTACGTTCAAGTGCTATTTGTAATTATTATGTAATTAGAAACACAGTAAAGGCTCGTTTGACTTGAATCCTTTCTGAAAGAGAAGAACTTACCATTCCATTGCAGTTTTTAGACAATCTGTGAAGGCAGATGACTCCGTCTCTGGTTTCGTCATGTGTGTGGTGTCCCGTAAAGGGGCAGAGAGCAGATCCTCCCGTGAGATGATAAACATTCAGACAACTTCAGCTCAATGTAATCTTTCATGTTCAAAGCTCAGAACAGCCAAATCCAGTCAAAAAAACAGGTTTCCAATCCAGGTTGTCTGCCCCTAGAACAGTCTGATGAACGACAGCGATCCTCCTACTCAAAGGTTTGGGCACCCCTGATATTGACATATTTTGCTCTTCCTCATGTTTCACTGTCCTTCCTAATCATATTTGTGATAACAATTTGGATCATACACCATACAATACTCAAAACTTATAGCCATTTCTTGCGAGAGGTGATCACCTCAATTGAAACGGGCGATCACCTGAACTTGAACCCTCGGCCCTGGACTTGCCGCCTCCCGTCAAGAATGAGAGGGAAAGATCGGTCTCTAACTAAAGCCTGAGGCAATCAATGAAAAGTCTACTTTGTGTATGAAGGACTAATCGCACTTTAATGATGTTTAAAGCAGAGGAAAGTATAAAAGCATAATATAAGACCTTTAGCACACTCCCATGCAGCTGCACCTCCAGCTCTCGTTACCATTCGGCTGCAGCTGCTCGGGTTCAGGAGTAACCATAGTGACAGACTCGTGTGATCCTCGCTCTGCTGTCTGTGAATGTTCTGCATGAACAGAACATGTCTTTGTCCTTGTGCAGAAAGACATGGGCTCTCGCCTGATGCCCGCCTTCAAAACCCCGTCCAAGATTCCGTACTCAGACGTGAACATCGGGAAGGGCACGGCTCACCCTCCGCGATGGACGTCCGACAGCACCGTGGCGGAGGTCACCAGTATCCAGCTGGAGTTCAGGGAGCTGAGCCGCCTGAGCCAGGACCCGCAGTATGAGGTCAGGTCGCTATGGCAACACTACTACACTAATACATTTTATGTTATTTTTGTGAGCGTCTGTCCTCTGTTCAATGGTTTTACTCATAGTTTGACTGTCTGCCTCCTGAACTCAAAAAAAAATACAAAATGTGATAAGAGCATTTTTCACCATTTAAAATTACATATATATATTTTTTTTTTATATATAAGTTGCATAACATTTTTCCCAATCTGAATGATTATATAAATGTATTGTATTGACTGTATACCAGGGTCATGTTAAGTGTCCCTCGGCCCTGGACTTGAACGTTCGGTCCTGGACTTGTCCCTCAGCCCTGGGACTTGAGCCCTCGGCCCTGGATTTGCCTCTCGGTCCTGGACTTGTCCCTGGACTTGAGCCCTCGGCCCTGGATTTGCCTCTCGGTCCTGGACTTGTCCCTGGACTTGAGCCCTCGGCCCTGGACTTGTCCCTTGGCCCTGGACTTGTCCCTTGGCCCTGGACTTGTCCCTTGGCCCTGGACTTGTCCCTTGGCCCTGGACTTGTCCCTTGGCCCTGGACTTGTCCCTTGGCCCTGGACTTGTCCCTTGGTCCTGGACTTGTCCCTCGGTCCTGGACTTGTCCCTCTGCCCTGGACTTGAACAGTCGGCTGTTGTGTTTTGCAGGCGGCCGTGGCGGAGGTGATGAACAGGGTGCACTCTCTGGACGGGAAGCTGGACGGTCTGGTCCCCATGTTCATCAACACCAACAGTGGCCAGTTCACTCACCAGGGCATCTTCACGCTCGGGGCCCGCGCCGACAGCTACTACGAATACCTCCTGAAGCAGTGGCTCCAGGGCGGCAAGAAGGAGACTCAGTGAGTGAGCAAAGCACCGCAGCCGGCACCTTCTAGAACGCCTTCAGACACACTCGCTTCGCTTTGGATTCAGTGAAAAACACTAGTCCACATTCTCCCACATCCTTAACAGCGAGTGCTTTCACTTACACCTCCCCATTTTAGATTTACATGTAAATGAAGCAGAATGTTATTTCCCACTCCAACAAAAACAAATGGAAGTCAACATGTTTTTAAGGCAGAAAAGGATGAGTCCGAGTATGATGGAGCATTTCAAGTGACTGAAGTTTCTGATTCTAACTATGACAGCGGTGGGGATGAAGGGCCATGTAAGACTGTACAATAAGTCACTGATGCACTTGGACTGAAAAAACCTGCACTGCTATTGCCACATAATTATATCCTGCACAGACTATATTTTTTAACTTTAACATGTTTGTACACTGTCTTCTGCACAATCTGATTCTATCTTTGCCAAATGTGACATGTGCATTTCTCCTGTGTGAGATCAATAAAGTCTATCTTATATTATCAAAAAGGTGATTCTGGATCCTTGTTTTCTGCTTCATGAGATCTGCGTGTGTTTGTAGGTTTGTGGAGGACTATCTTTCGGCTGTGGAGGGCATTAAAAAACACCTGGTGCAGAAGACCTCCCCAAACGGACTCACGTTTGTGGGGGAGCTGTCACACGGCCAGTTCAGCCCCAAAATGGTGAGTGTCTGACCTCCCTCTCTCTACTCTTAAAGACCTGATACAAACAGGATGAGGTGTCTGTTAATCAGTTGATATTCAGGGTACTTTAAGGCCTACATACCTCAACTAGAAAGGCACCAACTCCCAACAGCCCACCACTCTGGGAACACCTGATGCCACTGTGGGGCGGCTGCGGCTGTACATTGCCGAACTTAGGCAAGACACTTCACCCACATTGCTGAGAATGAGTCTGGTGTGTGTGTGAATGGTTGGTGGTGATCGGAGGGGCCGATGGCACATACTGGTTGCCTCGCTTCTGTCAGTGGGCCCTAGGGCAGCTGTGGCTACAGTGGTAGTTTATCACCACTGTATGGAGTGAATTAATAATGGCATGAAGCATTTTTTAGTGTCCAAAAATGCGCTGTATAAAACTGATGCATTATTTTTATTATTATTATCATTACAATGGTTTTCTAATCATCAAACGTCTAACCCACATCAGCTGCAGCCACAACATGTATTTATCGATTTCATGTAATCCATTAAACCAGTGTCTCCCAAAGTGGGGTCCGCGGCCCCCTGGTGGGCCGCGAGGGTACTGCAGGGGGGCCGCGGGAGGTCATAAAAAAATAAAAAAAAATAATATTATTATTTAATGTTAAATTTATGTTTTGTTTGTAATATTAAAATATTTGTGTTCATTATTTGACTTGAATAATCCACTGTAATCATTTTTGTATTACAATGTTTGTAGCAGAGGCTATTTCCCCAAAATAAAATAACCAGAAGAGCCTATTCTTAATGTTGTCTTCTTGGTTATTATTTTGGGGGGGCCACACAGACCCGACAGATTTTTAAGGGGGCCTCGGTGTTACTGAGTTTGGGAATGGCTGCATTAAACCACCAAACTCCATACACGCTTTTGTATTAATCTATGAAACACACAGGTCATTAGTGATATTCAAAGTGACGATCCAAAAACGTGCTATAAAATGTCATAATTTTAAACCAGAAAAAACATTTCAAAAGCCCTTTCCTACTTCCTCACCCATGGTCTTTCTTAAACTTGACCCTGTCCCTCCTCAGGACCACCTGGTCTGCTTCCTGCCCGGGACGCTGGCTCTGGGGGCGCACCACGGCCTCCCCGAGGACCACATGGAGCTGGCCAAACAGCTGATGGAGACCTGTTACCAAATGTATCACCAAATGGAGACCGGTCTGAGTCCAGAGATCGTCCACTTCAACATGCACCAGGGCAGTGTGCGCGACATCGAGGTCAAGGTCAGCACCACAACTGAGACCCGGCAATGAACCTATGAACCCAGAGCTGATTCTTACTGTTTATTTACTGAATCAATAGTTTTAATTGTAAGGGACAATTGTAGACAATTGTGAAACACTGCAACATTTATAGCCAAGGCTAATTTGCAATGTCCGTCCCTAGGAGGGCTTTTAACATAATTCAAATCTCTTTTTTACATTATAATATTCACTTTTTACAAAAGCAGGTGTTCTCCAACTCATTGATCACACATCTGGTTTGTTTTGAAGAAGTGCTTCAATTCATGTTTAAAACTAGCCCAGTCAGACTTCAGGAGCATTTGGGCTAAAGGGGTGGGGACAGGGTTTGGGCCAGGACTTCTGGCTTCTTCTTCTCTCCTAGTCTCATCACTTCTCTCTCCTCTCCTCTAATCTCCTCTACCCTCTCGTTCCCCTCCCTCTCCTCTCTCCTTTAATCCTCTCTTTTCCCCTCCCTCTCCTCTCTCCTTTAATCCTTTCTTCCCTCCCTGTCCTCTACCCTCTTCTCTTTTTTCTCCTCTAATCTTCTCTCCCTTCCTGTCCTACACCCTCTCCTCTCCTGTCTCCTCAAATCAACAATGTAGTGAGTGGGTGTGTGTACATTGTTGTCTTGTGTGCAGCTAGCAGACAGACACAACCTGTTGCGTCCGGAGACCGTGGAGAGTCTCTTCTACCTGTACAGGTTCACCAAGGAGCACAAGTATCGCCAGTGGGGCTGGGAAATACTGCACAACTTCAACAAGTACACAAAGGTGAGGCCGCTGCAAGCGGATGGCCGCTTTATGCTGTTAATTACTGTAACGTTGGAAAGAGAAGACGCGGGGATGAGCCGCCACAATGCACTTTTTAACATAAAGCGGCCACCCGCTGACTCCGAAAACCCGGGCCTCTTTACCGCGGTGTGTGGCCACAGTGGAAACATTCTGCGAACGCCAGGCAGGGGACGTGGTGAAGGGGACAGGGGGGTCATAACACCGGGCATGTGGGTGAATGCAGCGGGGATAAACAACCGCGGGGAACGCGGGAGACGTGGCAGAAGCCGCGGAAGAAAACACACCGCTAATCTGCCTTTACGGAAAGCGATGATGATGATGAAGGCAGAGAGGAAGAAAATCCATAAAAGATCAGAAATGTTGAAGAGCCTGTTGTTTATTGTTGAGACAATCTGACAAGTTCCGAGCCCATTCATTTAATCGCTCTGTTTCTAAACGATGAATTCTGGAGCCTCATTTCCACTGAGACAAACTGTATGCCACCAGGTCTTTTGAAAGGGTAATATTGAAACCAAAGTGCAGATTTCATGACTGTAAACTATAAGCAGTGCCATCTTGATCATTGAAGGTCTAATATATGATACAATTCCATATGGCTGCTGACCAGTGCTAAAATATTATATATAAATTGGATCAGTGAATTTATTTCTATCCCACATTGTGTTTTCATACTAAAGATATTTCATGTTGACTGTTATTCCCTGATCTCAAAATACACTTTCAAACTATAGCTTTTTGAAATCTTTATACAATAATTAACATTTTCCAAAATGGCCACCACCTTGATGACGTCACAATATGCAAATTAGATGACGAATCAACATCCACCCCAAAGTTTGGTTCATACTGAAGATATTTCTCATTTACAGTATGCCTTCATCTCAAACTACTTTAAAGTTATAGCATTTTGAAATCTTGAAATCAAAATTGTAAATTTTTTTGAAAGAAATGGGCTTAGCGCTTCATGAAAATACCTCGTCAAAGGCCTGGGCTCCGCACCGTGCTCCTCTTTGCTGTCATCGTTGCAACATGTCCAGAAGTTCAACTTTTTAGCACTAACCATGTTGTGGGTTTAGTCCACGGTTTTGTCAAGGAGATAATTAGCATACAACACTTACAGTCACACTGCAATCAGACATGGATTTACATTTGTCAGTCTGAATGCTGTGATACAGGAAAAACGGCACAGAGATGAACCCTTAGCCAATCAGGATGCAGAACACATTACACTGGTTCTTCCTTAGCCAATCAGGATGAACATTGCAAGTTCAGATACAGTGAAAATCATGCTACAGATAAATCTGCAAGACCGTGAAAAGAGAACCGCTATTCATCTGAGGAGACTCCGATTCAGAATAAAGAATAACACATTTTTTCTGTACGGAAGTTTCTGATTTGGTGTTAGTATGTAATTTTTTTTACTATCATCATGTTTTAGTTTATAAATAAGACAGTGAGCCAGATCAGATATGTCCCAATTTCCCAATGAAAATAATGTTTTTGCACTTTATGATGTGAGAATTGTATACATGCATCCATCCATCCATCCATTTTCTTCCGCTTTATCCGTTGCCGGGTTGCGGGGGCAGCAGTCTAAGCAGAGACGCCCAGACTTCCCTATCCACACACACCTCCTCCAGCTCGTCCGGGGGGACCCCTAGGCGTTCCCAGGCCAGCTGAGAGACATAGTCTCTCCAGCGTGTCCTGGGTCTTCCCCGGGGCCTCCTCCCGGTGGGACGTGCCCGGAACACCTCCCCAGGAAGGCGTCCAGGAGGCATCCTGAACAGATGCCCGAGCCACCTCAACTGGTTCCTCTTGACGTGGAGTAGCAGCGGCTCTACTCCGAGCTCCTCCCGTGTGACTGAGCTCCTCACCCTATCTCTAAGGGAGCGCCCAGCCACTCTGCGGAGGAAGCTCATTTCGACCGCTTGTATCCGCGATCTCGTTCTTTCGGTCATTACCCAAAGCTCATGACCATAGGTGAGGGAGGGAACGAAGATTGACCGGTAAATTGAGAGCTTTGCCTTTCGGCTCAGCTCCCTCTTTACCACAACGGTCCGATACAGAGACCGCATCACTGCGCACGCTGCACCGATCCGCCTGTCAATCTCACGCTCCATCCTCCCCTCACTCGTGAACAAGACCCCGAGATACTTGAACTCCTCCACTTGAGGAAGGACCTCTCCACCCACCTGGAGAGCGCAAGGCACCTTTTTCCGGTCGAGCACCATGGCCTCGGATTTGGAGGTGCTGATTCTCATCCCAGCCGCTTCACACTCGGCTGCAAACCGTCCCAGTGCATGTTGCAGGTCCTGGTTCGTTGGAGCCAGCAGGACGACATCATCCGCAAAAAGTAGAGATGAAATCCTGTGGTTCCCGAACCGGACCCCCTCCGGCCTGGTGACAAAGGGCAGCCTTGGCGGAGGCCAACATGCACCGGGAACAGGTCTGACTTACTGCCGGCAATGCGAACACAGCTCTGGCTCCGGTCATACAGGGACCGAACAGCCCTCAGCAGAGGACCCCGGACCCCGTACTCCCGGAGGACCCCCCCAAAGGACACCCCGGGGAACACGGTCGAACGCCTTCTCCAAATCCACAAAGCACATGTGGACAGGTCGGGCGAACTCCCATGAACCCTCGAGTATCCGATTTGAGAGTATAGAGCTGGTCCAGTGTTCCGCGACCGGGACGAAAACCACACTGCTCCTCCTGAATCCGAGATTCGACCATCGGACGTAGCCTCCTCTCCAGTACCTTGGAGTAGACCTTACCGGGGAGGCTGAGGAGTGTGATCCCACGATAATTGGAACACACCCTCCGGTCCCCCTTCTTGTAGAGAGGGACCACCACCCCGGTCTGCCACTCCATTGGCACCGCCCCCGATCGCCACGCAATGTTGCAGAGACGTGTCAGCCAAGACAGTCCTACAACATCCAGAGACTTTAGATAGTCAGGACGGATCTCATCCACTCCCGGCGCCTTGCCACCATGGAGGCTGCCAACCACCTTGGTGACCTCGGCCAGGGAGATGGAAGTATCCGCCCCAACATCCTCAGCCTCTGCCTCCTGGACGGGGGACGTGACGGGGGGATTGAGGAGAACCTCAAAGTATTCCTTCCACCGCCCGACAATATCCCCAGTCGAGGTCAGCAGCCCTCCACCCGCACCATACACGGTGTTGGCAAAGAACTGCTTCCCCCTCCTGAGGCGCCGGACGGTTTGCCAGAACCTCTTTGAGGCCGACCGATAGTCATGCTCCATGGACTCTCCGAACTCCTCCCAGTCCCGGGTTTTTGCCTCTGCAACAGCCCGGGCCGCGGCACGTTTGGCCTGCCGGTACTGGACAGCTGCCTCAGGAGTCCCACGAACCATCATTGCTCGATAGGACTCCTTCTTCAGCCTGACGGCATCCCTTACTGCCGGTGTCCACCACCGGGTTCGGGGATTGCCGCCGGGACCAGCACCAGAGACCTTGCGACCACAGCTACGAGCCGCCGCATTGGCGATAGAGGAAGAGAACATGGTCCACTCGGACTCGATGTCCCCCTCCTCTGCCGGGACCTGGGAGAAGCTCTCCCGGAGGTGTGAGTTGAAAGTCCGCCTGACAGGGGGCTCACCAAGACGTTCCCAGCAAACCCTCACTACACGCTTGGGCCTGCCAGGTCTGACCGGCCTCCTGCCCTGCCAGCGGATCCAACTCACGACCAGGTGATGATTGGTTGACAGCTCCGCCCCTCTCTTCACCCGAGTGTCCGAGACACGCGGTCGAAGGTCAGATGATACGACTACAAAGTCGATCATCGACCTCCGGCCTAGGGTGTCCTGGTGCCACGTGCACTGATGGACACCCTTGTGCTCGAACATGGTGTTCGTGATGGACAGGCCGTGACTGGCACAGAAGTCCAACAACTGAACACCGCTCGGGTTCAGATCAGGGGGGCCGCTCTTCCCGATCACCCCTCTCCAAGTGTCACTGGCATTTCCCACATGGGCGTTGAAGTCCCCCAGGAGAATAACGGAGTCCCCGGGCGGTGCACTGTCCAGTACCCCTCCCAAGGACTCCAAGAAGGCCGGGTACTCTGCACTACCGTTAGGCCCGTAGGCCGTCACAACAGTGAGAGACTTGTCCCCCACCCGGAGGCGGAGGGACGCGACCCTCTCATTCACCGGGGAGAACTCCAACACGTGGCGGCTGAGATGGGGGGCAATGAGTATGGCCACCCCAGCTCGCCGCCTCTCCCCGCGGGAAACACCAGAAAAGTGGAGCGTCCAACCCCTCTCAAGGAGTTGGGTTCCCCCCTTGGACTGCCACCTTAACGTGGTGGGGGAGTTTGAGCACTCGGATGATCCTGGGAGCTATGCTGTCTGGGGCTTCATGCCCCTGGTAGGGTCTCCCATGGCAGACAGGTCTCAAGTGACGAGTCAGATGAAGCGCAGTCCGAAGCCAACCATGGACAGCACGACAACAAAAACCGTGACGTCGCCCGGCATGGCGCAGCCGGGGCCCCACCCTGGAGCCAGGCCTGGGGTCGGGGCTCGCAAGCGAGCGCCTGGTGGCCGGGCCTTAGCCCACGGGGCCCGGCCGGGCTCAGCCCGAAGGGATGACGTGGGCAGTCCCTCCTGTGGGCTCACCACCTGCAGAGGGGTCCGTGGTGGCGAGGTGCAGAGAGGACTGGGCAGCAGTCGAAGGCGGAGACCTCGACGACCCAGTCCACACACCCAACATCTGGCTCTGTATACATGCATGTCTAAGAAAATCGAGGGGGGGATATCCCCCCCTTGGGCCATGGCCAGGGGGGGACTGATCCCTCCTCTGGAGGAAACCCTGACATGGATGCATGACCTCTCATTGTAATGCTCGTGCTACTGTAATGTTGAGTGTTGTCTCGCCAGGTCTCCTCCGGCGGCTACACTTCGGTCAACAACGTGCGAGACCCCGACTACCCGAGCCCGCGGGACAAGATGGAGAGCTTCTTTCTGGGAGAGACGCTGAAATACTTCTATCTGCTTTTCTCTGACGACTTCAGCCTCATCGACCTGGACCAGTACGTCTTCAACACCGAGGCCCACCCTCTGCCCATATGGCCTTCCACTGCGGCCGCGACCGCGACTGCGACATGAGACCAGGACCCAGACCAGGACCCAGACCCAGACCCAACTGCACAAGCCAATCTCAGGTCAGGCCATGTTCGAGCCATCTCTCCAGAACCAACTTGAAGGAGATTTTGAACTGTTTTTACATAAACACGTAGCATCTGGGCATCGAACATCGCTTCATTTTCACAACAGTGTAGTTTTTGTTACATCCGGACAGACTTTCAGAGTAGAGTAGTGAGCGGGAAGATTCACTAATCGTTTATGATGAAGCACGAGCTGTGTAGGGTTTACACTGCCACATGTGATGAAAAGTCAGAATTCCTGAGAAAAGTGAGTGGCTTTTCATAGTTCCAAATCCATCTTTTTTACCACATTTCCAATTCATAAACTATCTCAATGTTACAATTTTGCATATCTTTAAAAGAACAGCTCAGACATGGATCTGCCTCTGCTCCCAGTGCTGCGGCTGTGAGTGCGTGTGACTGAGCTGGGACCAGTGCCTTCACTCAGACCTGGTTATGATGCTAGTTCTGTGTGCGTGGTGCTACAGTTTCTGTGATAATTATGGAAATGATATTTTTTTCTTAATGCTTTAGTCACATCATGCTGAGTTCAGACACTTTTTGAATTCTGTGGCTGATTGGAGCAGAATGAGCTGGTCTTAGCACTGCTGCAGAAATCATTCAATTTACCAATTTGTTTATGTCCAAGATAAAAAATAAAAAGTCTAAACGTTAGACACTGATCTTGTTTACAGTAATTCATTATTTTAAAATGGAACTTTACCGAAAATACTATGCTTAAAATAAAGCTGAAAATTTAAAGTTCCCTCTTCTCCTAACTTTTTTGTCTTTTGGGCTGTTTAGCTGTGTATGCAGTTAGTCAGAGCAGGTCTAGCCGCTCTCTGCTGCCATGCTGTTCTGTTCACCTACAGACGCTAAAGGAGGCGTGGCCTGTATGTAACAGCGCTGCCCCTCGTTTTGTGATTGGAGGAGAACTATAAACTAATCTCATCTCTGCAGCGTGTTTTAAATCCAGTAATGAATGGGACTTTCACATCAGTGCTGTTGGATCATGGGGATCCAAAACCTTTATTTCCATCTGCTCCTAATCCTACTTTTGAAACTGTTTTTTTGTGAATCAAATGTTAAACAGAAATAATCACTGTTTGGGATTTTGAATGTTGCAATCCCAGCGCTGTCACACGCACCGAGACCCTGGAGGGAATCCTGTAGACCCAGTACATAGCATCGTTTTCTGTTCCTGATGAAGTCAAGAGCACAAGTTACTGTGAAAACCTTTTGGATCGTGTAAAGTTGCGCCTCATGAGCAGCTGCTTCTGAATGTAACGTTTATCGTGTGCTTGTTTTGTAGTGGGGGTGCCAGTTAGAGCTTAATATATTGATTTCTGATCATGTAAAATAGTCTGTCATGGTTTGTAAATGTCTTTTGAATTTATTTCCATCTTTTATGAATTTGTAGCAAGACCAAATTTTGTATTTCTGTGCACATGTTTCTGACTGTCCTCGTCGTGCCTTTTTCGCTGTTGCTTCAGAGACCATTGACCACGATCCTGTCCGCCACACAAGCCGCCTGTACTGCCGCCTCACTGCTGAGCCAAAAAGACGTTCTATTCTTGTCTCTCCTAAACGCAAAGCCATTCCTCTCCCTGTCAGGACAAAGCAGACACTTTCAGATCTTTTGATACAAGTTTAGCTCAGATATTTTTAGACTGACCAATGTGAAACAAGTCATAAAAGAGAAAACGGCCTTAAAATATTTGTAAGTAAGTCTTTGAATATGCCATCAATCCTAACTTGTATTATTGTGGAATCAAGTAGAGATATTTGAAGTTTTTGCAAATTGAGACGTGGGTTTTTAACTCAGCTCCTGCCCATTCATGGACACTGCCATTCGTGTATTTCTGCTGGTTGTAAAAGCCGAATGAGTAAGGGCTGCACACAGACTGCAAGCCTTAAAAAGTCTGTGGTCCAGGAGTCTATAGCCCCGTTTCCGCCAACTCTACTCCTGGTTGTGTTTTCCGATACACTTTATCCAAGCAAAATACATACTCAAGAAAAAAACAGTATCAATGGCTTCCAGCAGCATCTCTGACCAATTACTGTTAGATAATATTGGATAGAACCAGGGCCAAGAGCGACCTGGTACCGGTTAACCTTTGTGCTTTCCTCAGGTCAAAAAGAACCTGCCACAGTGATTAAAATAGAAGAGAAATACCCTAAATTTGGCCATAAGAGTTTAAATGACCCAGGGCTGTTCAAGGTAGGAAAAGTATGGAAGCCAGTTTCCGCCATGTAAAAAAAAAAAAAAAAAAAGCATACAGAAAGTTAAAATTACAAGTTTAACTGCGCATGTGCAGTTGAAAACTCGTATGTGTTGATGTCTGGAACGGTCTCTGAACATCCTTCACCTGTAGGTTATGTGAAGATATTGCCTACAGTGACCACTGCATCCATGAAGTAGCCAGAAATAATGTTGTTTGATTGATTCTGTAAAACGTTCTTGTTTAAGCCCCAGACCGCGGTCGTAGGACGCAGGGGGGAGCTGTCTTTTTATTTATTTTTGTTAAATTCAATTTACATATATACAACATTTAAATCAAACTACTTCTTATTTCGACATTGTAACAAATAATGTGAGCAATATGTTTTTTATAATAAATCAAAGGAAAATGAGCCATCAAGACATTCCAATCTGCTATAGACCACTCTGACCAGACGATGACGCTGAGAGGGGTCCACACGGAGCGAGTCTTTCCACGGCTGAAATGATGTGCTTTCTACGTGTTGAGTACGGGGTTTTATTCATGCATCTATAATGGGCTTAACTCCCTTTTCAAAGACCCTCACTGTTATCTGCGGAGTTATTTCTCCGGATTGTTGCTAAGAGAGTCGTGGGCTTTATTTTGTCACAATAAAATAAACAGACAAGGTACTTATTCCCTATATGTCTGTGTTCTTGCTCAATCAATCCAAAACCATAAAAGCCCAAAGAATGGACTGTCTACTTTCATCAGCAAAAATAATTTTGTTTCTAGCTTGTTTTGTTCCCCTGTAATCCCCAGTCGAGTAGAGGTAAGTTTTATTGAAATCACCAGAAAGCTGAGAAAAAAGAGGCACAACATGTGCATCTGGCTGTTTTGAAACCATTCAGAGAGAGAAATGCTGCCACCTGCTGGCTCGATAAAATATTGCTTCAAGCCAATCCCCATACATATTAGATACAATAGACATCTGGGAACGTGAAAATAGCGGGACACGTGTTAACACGTCAATTGCGGTCAATGAGTTAAAGTCAAAATTTTGACTCTCTGTAGGCTTTTTATATTTTTTTTACATGGCGGAAACGGGCTTCCATAGAAAAGTCATCAAAAACAGCTTGAAAAAAAAAAATGTAGGCATATTTTTAAATCCTTGAAGTTGCTTGGTCAATCACTATCAGAACTCTTTTGTACCGGCTCAGCCTGGATAGAACAAGGGCTAAGAGGGACTAAAGTAGGACTTGGTACCAGTTAAACATGGTACCCCACTCAGCTTGGGGTAAGGTAGGGCCAAGTAGAGCTGGTGGAACAGGAACATTTTGTAACAACCCCTTTTCTCCCAAAACAAAGCCATTCCTCGTCTTGTCCTGCTGTCCATGTTGCACCCTCTGCCCACAGCCATATGTGACATCAATGAGGGCTCCTGTGTGGAGGCTCCTGGGCTCAAATGCACACGTTTTCAAATCTCAATGATCAGAGCTGTACAGTGAACATGTTTTGCTTTAATTTTGTATAAAAAATAAAATAAAATCAAGATTTATTATAAAGTGTGTGTCCCTGTTTCAGCCTCCTCCTCTCAGTCTTCACCCACTCTGCGATGAGCTGAGACTCCATTTTCCTGGCCTGGGTCACTGACCCTGGATCAGCGACATTTGACCCCCTGTTTAAAACATGAAATATTAGAAGTACTGTACAATAGGCCAAAAACTTTAAACTTATTAACCAGTACCTCAGGTCAAGATGATGAGCTCCTCCTGCAATGTTGATTGCCACTAAAGATGGACTTAGGGATTTTCTGACCTGAAAACAAGTGTAATTGTGGATGTGTGTGACTGATGGTAAGCTGCATGTGCATCTTGTATGATGCCTGGACTCGAGGTCACATAACTAAAGTGTTGTAAAGCAACCGACATGAGAGAGACCACACTGTTTTTATACAATTTCTTGCTCTTAAAGTAGAAATATGTAAGAATTTAATGTCAAGTCATCATTAAATGGGTCTAATCTGTCAAAAGGCATTCATAAAACATGCTCTTTTCAAATACTTCTTTATCTGAACAGAAGTTCAGGGATATTTGAATTTTAAAATTAGTTTTATAGCCCCTTAATCTATTCATTTTTTATTTCGATGTTCCGATCTCCACCGTTTTACCAATCAAAGTCCGTGACCAGGGTTGCCAGAACTCACCGCGTCGAGCTAATCTCACTGGTAAAGTACCATGTGGCCACAGCACTAAAAACGGTCTTGTTATGATTCTCAAATCATTAACGACAAAACAAGGAATACAAAGATTTCTATAAGGACCTTTTTGAAAAAGATGTTGGTTATAGAGTTGTTGTTGACAAAACTCTTGTCTACTCAGTTATTATGGTCCTAGCTGGATCTGGCAACCTGAGTCAGGGAGAGTGGGAGAGGCTGCAGTACCACTTTTTGCCAGATTTTTACATACTGCGCCTTAAAACATAATATCCAATAGGAAAGCTGGATCTCATTTGTGTTTCTAGCAGGATGAGTAGAAGATCCACCGTGAGTCAAAAGCTGCTAAACCTGCTGTCCATTAAACTCCATTGATAAAGACAAATGTAATTGTCTTAATTATCAAATGTTGGGAGGAGCTGGTGCTGGGTCTCATGTGGTTGAGCTGCATAAACACATCAGTGGGATTGGAAAGAGCCATCAGGCAGTGTTGCATATGTGTGTGCACGAGGAACAGCCAGGCTTTTAATGGACATGTATTTGTTTATACAGGTTCAGAGGACTGTCGTTGTTCAGGACACTTTACACTGCTGACGTTTATGCTTTGTGAACGCACTGTTGAGTGAGACATTTAGATCTACAGCTAATCTTTGAACCAGTTTACACAAGATTCAAAGAGAAGAGTCCACAAACAGCTGCTGGTCAGAGGCGCCAGTCACACACAAAGGCAGACACTCATCCAGCTTTCTCATGTCCAATACTTCGGCTTCAATAATTTTACTCCATATTTTTCTCCCACATAACATTTTTTTCTACAACTAAGTAAAGAACATGTCCTGGAACCTCGTCTCTGCCTGTTTTCAATTGTAATAATTGATTAGCTCAGGAGGAGGTTGCTGTCATAGTAAATAGTAAATATACTGAGATATACTGTATGTTTGAAGCATGTTGTCGCTACTGTTCGTGATCTTTGTGTAATGGTCTTTGGGTGTTTGAATACTGTGCTCTCTCTGTGACTGTGCGGCGCTGAGGAACGTACCCCTCCGTTGGCCCACGGGTCCAGGTCTCCGTTAGAGAAGATGATGTTACTGGCAGTGGACAAAGCTGCACAAAAGAACAACAAACTGTAAATAATGAAAACAGCAGTTGGTCGTCATCATATCCGACTAAACTTCAGGGTCTGATAGGTCAGAGACACGGTGGCTGAGTGGTTAGCATTCTCGCTTCTCAGCAAGAAGGTCCTGGGTTTGAATCCCGGTCGGAACAGGGCCTTCCTGAGTGGAGTTTGCATGTTCTCCCCGTGTTTGCGTAGCTTTCCTCCAGTTTCCTCCAGTTGCTACCACTAAAACATGCACAATAGTTCTGAATGTAACGAGTGGATGGTGTTGGGTGGAGGCGTTGATGCTCCAGTTCGGCATCTCGATTTCGTCATTGTGTGTGGAGAGAATGAAATATCTGAACTCTGAACATTGTCAGTGACCTTGGTCAGTAAAATGCACTATATAAATAAATATTACTTACTTAATTACCTGAGCTGTTTTGGGTTCATGTCTTAGAATTAGATACAGACCACTTCATAAAAGAGGGGGAGTTATTTTAGGTGGGATTTATAACAGGATGTCGGGATGGCAGGGTGTATGTCAGTGTCAGTGTGGTGCGAGCGTGTGTCCTGACCCTCTCCCCAGAAGTTCAGCTGGAGCCAGCCCGGCCGCGGGATCACCCCCCAGCGCCGGCTGCAGTAGTCCTGCCGCTGGTTCTCTGTGAAGATCATCGGGGGGAACATGTCCGTCACGTTGTTGCTCTCAAAGCACAGGTCGATCTCCGTGCAGGCCTAAACAGCAGCAGGCTTCATCACAACACACGCATGGGCCACAATGTTCAAAAATGCCATTTCAAGTCAAATTCAGTCAAGGTTGTGTTTCTATTATACTTGTACTGTCTGGTACCGTATCCTAGCAACTACCCACAGTCAGTATGACCTTGGTAACGATGGCCCTCAGCAGCACTTTGGCCGATCACTGTCAATTAGAACACTTTATTATACGGCTCCTCACAGCAGCAGTAGAATGCTCCATTGATTTGAATGTAATTTCAAAACGTTCTACCGGTCATTATTTTCTATAACGGACCTCTCAAAACAATAATGACCGCTGCCCATGGCAACGCACTCTCTGCTTGTCTTTCAAATGCGTGGATAACTCCGCAAGTAGTTCCGGCGAACTATCTAAATGACGTCACTAAGACACGCCCCCGCCGCCTGTCAACTCCCGCCCACATGTTTCGGACAAACACTGCCGAAATGAATCAAATACCACTTGTCACTTTAGACGAAAATGATATACCAGGGGCAAAATTCCACCATCAAACCATCAGGGATCATAGTGTAGACCAATTATAACGTTGGCTTGAATGTCGTGGTCTTCCAGTAACTGGTAGAAAGTTTGATTTGATAAAAAGGTAATGGTGAGGATTATGCTAACATTATCTAGTCATTTAAATTGCAATGCTAGCGCCTTCTTTGTTTGTTTTGCTGTGATTAACTTCCATTTATCAAGTTGTTTTTGCACTATCCACTTTGTAATTAGTTTGATCATTAGTTAGCTACAGTCAGCTGATATTATAATAAATCCATGATCACAACGGGTTACGCCACTGTCTCTGAGAGAAACTATCAGAGCTAGCCACACTCAGTAAACGCAAATGACAATCAATCAACACATTTAAATGTTAATGGGAGAATACATTATACACATTCATAACACAAGTGCACGGAGGTTTTCAGAATTAACTGTTCAGGTTTTCATGACAAAAATACTTTTTTAATGCGACTAAAGCGATCGCTTTTAGGTTAACTATCCTCACTGTTACTCGCCTGCCACGGGAAAACCTTTGGGAACTATTTTCTTTGCACTCATTAAATAAACCTTTCGGCATGAGTAGTGAATGACGTTTATTTTGTGTGTTCAATTGGTACAAAGCCGTATAATAAGCAGACACAAAGTTGAAAAAAATCCCTCTCATCTTTCTTCAGGTGTGAGAATTGTATACTTTCTGGATTAGGACAAACAATACTAATATGGATTGATGGGGGTAAATGGTGTAAAGAGAAAGTTTGTGCTAACTACATTCAGAAGAGCTCAGACGGACCTGATACAGCGGTCCAGATCCAGTCCCAGCTAAACGTAGCTAGGACTGGATCTGGATGCTCCACAGTTGGTCCAGCGAAGTGTTTTGAAAAAACATGTGCCCTTTTTAACCTTTTCATGAGAGAAATTCTGCCGACCACAAGCACCCACCTGGTCTGATCTGGTCCTGGTCTGGTCCTGGTCTGGTCCGATGTTGTGGTTTAACGAACGGGTTGAATGTTACTTTCATATAGTCCTTTTCAGAGTATCTGAAATCGCTCCGACAAGCACCATAACTGCAGTGTTTTGTTGTCACCATGATTCAATGATTTAGCCCAAGTAAATACACACGCGTATGAGGAGAACACAGTAGAACTCAACGAGTCGTACACAATGTTTGTCCGAAACATGCGCGCATGCGCAGTCATCTGAGCTATTTTTAGCACATTTCGGAAACCGGACAGTGCCCTATAAAGTAGTCCCAAAAAGTTTTCCCGTTGCTCGGCAACCGCGGGCAACAGTTAGGCTGGCAACTTCCAAACTAGAACTCTCTGGAACTGCATGAAAACTGAACAAAGAATTCTGAACATCAGCGGTGAGTGACCCATACATAAACCTAACCTAAATCCATAATTCGATTCTCTGCAAATGTGTCCGAAAATGTGCCGGTGTTACGTCGAGCCGCGTTTCCCCGTCAGATACTGTTTCCCCTGCGTCTACTCGCCGCTCCGCCCCGCTCCGCGCCTCGCACGCGGCAAATAGTGCGCGTGCTTGTTCAGCACTCGTAACCAGCGAGCCGTGCTTGCGCGGTGAGGCAACTACAGACACAGTGAAAGCACCTGAGTGAAGTTGGCCCCTACCCCACGCAAAACTCAGTGAAAAATAGCCACACTCGTTAGTGCTGGTTTGTGCAGAAAAAATATCGTTTGTGCTGTTTTGGTTTTTCAGGTATGACAACTTTATATAGCCTATATATATATATATAATATGATATGACAAATAAATAAATATGTATGTATGTATGTATGTATGTATGTATGTATGTAATATATGTATGTATGTATATATATATATATATATATATATCCTATATATATATATATATATATATATATATATATATATATATATATATATATATATATATATATATATATCCTATATATATATATTCACAAATATATATATATAAATACATTTATCTATCATGTGTATATATACATGTATTCCCTCAGTGTTAAACAGGGGAAACGCGTCCTTATGGCCAAATTACCCCCGTCAGATACCGTTCCCCCTGTGTTAAACGGGGGAAACGCATCCTGATGGCCAAATAACCCCCGTCAGATACCGTTCCCTCAGTTTTAAACGGGGGAAACGGTATCTGATGGCCAAATAACCCCCGTCAGATACCGTTCCCCCTCTGTTAAACGGGGGAAACGCATCCTGATGGCCAAATAACACCCGTCAGATACCGTTCCCTCAGTTTTAAACGGGGGAAACGGTATCTGATGGCCAAATAACCCCCGTCAGATACCGTTCCCCCTGTGTTAAACGGGGGAAACACATCCTGATGGCCAAATAACCCCCATCAAATACCGTTCCCTCAGTTTTAAACAGGGGAAACGCATCCTGATGGCCAAATAACCCCCGTCAGATACCGTTCCCTCAGTTTTAAACGGGGGAAACGGTATCTGACGGCCAAATTACCCCCGTCAGATACCGTTCCCCCTGTGTTATTTTTTAAAACTGGACACAAAAAACACAACCTCGAATCAAAATGCACATTTTTCAAAACACAATTTTCAATTTTACAATGGCTTACTTCTTGCCACTCTTCCATAAAGGCCAGAGTTGTGCAGTATACGACTGATTGTTGTCCTGTGGACAGAGTCTCCCACCTCAGCTGTACATTTCTGCAGTTCATTCAGAGTGATCATGGGCCTCTTGGCAGCATCTCTGATCAGTTTTATCCTTGTATGAGCTGAAAGTTTAGAGGAAAGGCCGGGTCTTTGTAGATTTGCAGGTCTGATACTCCTTCCATTTCAATATTATCGCTTGCACGGTGCTCCTTGGGATGTTTAAAGCTTGGGAAATCTTTTTGTATCCAAATCCGGCTTTAAACTTCTCCACAACAGTATCTGGGACCTGCCTGGTGTGTTCCTTGTTCTTCATGATGCTCTCTGCGCTTTAAACAGAACCCTGAGACTATCACAGAGCAGGTGCATTTATACGGAGACTTGATTACACACAGGTGGATTCTATTTATCATCATCAGTCATTTAGGTCAACATTTGATCATTCAGAGATCCTCACTGAACTTTTGGAGAGAGTTTGCTGCACTGAAAGTAAAGGGGCTGAATAATTTTGCACGCCCAATTTTCAGTTCTTTATTTGTTAAAAATGTTTGAAATATCCAATAAATTTCGTTTCACTTCATGATTGTGTCCCACTTGTTGTTGATTCTTCACAAAAAATTACAGTTTTATGTCTTAATGTTTGAAGCCTGAAATGTGGCAAAAGGTTGAAAAGTTCAAGGGGGCCGAATACTTTCGCTAGGCACTGTATCTGTAGCTAAGTAGCCAGGGCACATGATCACTCAGAGGCATAGTGGCAGGACCATCAACTGTCACATGAGCATTGCACCTGCTTGCTCTCAGTCTATCTGTAGCAAACACCCAACCCAACGAAGTGATTACAGCCTGTAAGAGTGCAGGCCTACTGTACTGCTTGAGAAAGTATTTGGAAAATACTATGTATGTAAAGCACTACATAAACACATTGTGTGCTGTAAATTGACAACCTATACCCTTTACAGTTCACTGTGAAGACTTACTCTATCAAGACCAGGGAAACCAGAAGAATATGTAGGTTACTGCTAATTACCGTAACATCCTGTTCTTCCTGTGAGTGGTACTGTCACTTTACAACAGTGGAGGACTTTACTGTGGAAAAAATGTGTCTTTACATTACTCTGATTGTTTTTCCCATTCATTTCAATAGATTGAGGTGTTATCAAATAGCAGAAAGATGAATTTAATGGATGAAACAATGGTCCTCCAATATTAAAGGTGTGAAACTCAGTTTTTTTTGTAAAAATGGCACTTTGATGTTTAGATGTATCCTATTGAAAGGTTGATCAAAGTCAAATGATCCAGTGATCTTTGCATTGTTAGTGTTGTATCCAAGCAATTGAAAATTGTGTTTTGAAAAATGTGCATTTTGATTCGAGGTTGTGTTTTTTGTGTCCAGTTTTAAAAAATAACACAGGGGGAACGGTATCTGACGGGGGTTATTTGGCCATCAGGATGCGTTTCCCCTGTTTAAAACTGAGGGAACGGTATTTGATGGGGGTTATTTGGCCATCAGGATGCGTTTCCCCTGTTTAAAACTGAGGGAACGGTATTTGATGGGGGTAATTTGGCCGTCAGATACCGTTTCCCCTGTTTAAAACTGAGGGAACGGTATCTGACGGGGGTTATTTGGCCATCAGGATGCGTTTCCCCTGTTTAAAACTGAGGGAACGGTATTTGATGGGGGTTATTTGGCCATCAGGATGTGTTTCCCCTGTTTAAAACTGAGGGAACGGTATTTGATGGGGGTTATTTGGCCATCAGGATGTGTTTCCCCCGTTTAACACAGGGGGAACGGTATCTGACGGGGGTTATTTGGCCATCAGGATGCGTTTCCCCTGTTTAAAACTGAGGGAACGGTATTTGATGGGGGTTATTTGGCCATCAGGATGTGTTTCCCCCGTTTAACACAGGGGGAACGGTATCTGACGGGGGTTATTTGGCCATCAGGATGCGTTTCCCCTGTTTAAAACTGAGGGAACGGTATTTGATGGGGGTTATTTGGCCATCAGGATGTGTTTCCCCCGTTTAACACAGGGGGAACGGTATCTGACGGGGGTTATTTGGCCATCAGATACCGTTTCCCCCGTTTAAAACTGAGGGAACGGTATCTGACGGGTGTTATTTGGCCATCAGGATGCGTTTCCCCCGTTTAACAGAGGGGGAACGGTATCTGACGGGGGTTATTTGGCCATCAGATACCGTTTCCCCCGTTTAAAACTGAGGGAACGGTATCTGACGGGGGTTATTTGGCCATCAGGATGCGTTTCCCCCGTTTAACACAGGGGGAACGGTATCTGACGGGGGTAATTTGGCCATAAGGACGCGTTTCCCCTGTTTAACACTGAGGGAATACATGTATATATACACATGATAGATAAATGTATTTATATATATATATATAGGCTATATATATATATATATATATATATATAGGCTATATATATATATATAAATACATTTATCTATCATGTGTGTATACACACACACACACACACACACACACACACACACACACACACACACACACACACACACACACACACACACACACACACACACACACACACACACACACACACACACACACACACACACACACACACACACACACACACACACACACACACACACACACTACATACATACATACATACATACATACATACATACATATTTATTTATTTGTCATATCATATTATATATATATATATAGGCTATATTAATATAAAGTTGTCATACCTGAAAAACCAAAACAGCACAAACGATATTTTTTCTGCACAAACCAGCACTAACGAGTGTGGCTATTTTTCACTGAGTTTTGCGTGGGGTAGGGGCCAACTTCACTCAGGTGCTTTCACTGTGTCTGTAGTTGCCTCGCCGCGCAAGCACGGCTCGCTGGTTACGAGTGCTGAACAAGCACGTGCACTATTTGCCGCGTGCGAGGCGCGGAGCGGGGCGGAGCGGCGAGTAGACGCAGGGGAAACAGTATCTGACGGGGAAACGCGGCTCGACGTAACACCTGTATCTTAAAATGTGCCGGTATCTACTTCCGGGTTTTTCGGGATCGCCTTTTCTCGCATTACATCAGTGTTTTTGTCATGAAAACGTAAACGGAAAATTCTGAAAACTTCCGTGCACTTGTATTAAGACTGGATATGTATAAATTACTCTCCGATTAACATTTCATTGCGTTGATTGATTGGCATTTGCGTTTATTGAGCGGCCAGAACTACTTCCGGGTTTTTCACGATCGCTTTTTGACGCAGAGAAATAGTATTTTTGTCATGAAGACAAGACCAGAAAATTCTGAAAATTTCCGTGCACGTGTGTGAAGAATGTATATGTATAAGTATTCTCCGATTAACATTTAAGTGTGTTGATAGGGCACTGTCCGGTTTCCGAAATGTGCTAAAAATAGCTCAGATGACTGCGCATGCGCGCATGTTTCGGACAAACATAGGGCACTGTCCGGTTTCCGAAATGTGCTAAAAATAGCTCAAATGACTGCGCATGCGCGCATGTTTCGGACAAACATTGTGTATGACTCGTTGAGTTCTACTGTGTTCTCCTCATACGCGTGTGTATTTATTTGGGCTAAATCATTGAATCATGGTGACAACAAAACACTGCAGTTATGGTGCTTGTCGGAGCGATTTCAGATACTCTGAAAAGGACTATATGAAAGTAACATTCAACCCGTTCGTTAAACCACAACATCGGACCAGACCAGGACCAGACCAGGACCAGATCAGACCAGGTGGGTGCTTGTGGTCGGCAGAATTTCTCTCATGAAAAGGTTAAAAAGGGCACATGTTTTTTCAAAACACTTCGCTGGACCAACTGTGGAGCATCCAGATCCAGTCCTAGCTACGTTTAGCTGGGACTGGATCTGGACCGCTGTATCAGGTCCGTCTGAGCTCTTCTGAATGTAGTTAGCACAAACTTTCTCTTTACACCCATTACCCCCATCAATCCATATTAGTATTGTTTGTCCTAATCCAGAAAGTATACAATTCTCACACCCTGAAGAAAGATGAGAGGGATTTTTTTCAACTTTGTGTCTGCTTATTATACGGCTTTGTACCAATTGAACACACAAAATAAACGTCATTCACTACTCATGCCGAAAGGTTTATTTAATGAGTGCAAAGAAAATAGTTCCCAAAGGTTTTCCCGTGGCAGGCGAGTAACAGTGAGGATAGTTAACCTAAAAGCGATCGCTTTAGTCGCATTAAAAAAGTATTTTTGTCATGAAAACCTGAACAGTTAATTCTGAAAACCTCCGTGCACTTGTGTTATGAATGTGTATAATGTATTCTCCCATTAACATTTAAATGTGTTGATTGATTGTCATTTGCGTTTACTGAGTGTGGCTAGCTCTGATAGTTTCTCTCAGAGACAGTGGCGTAACCCGTTGTGATCATGGATTTATTATAATATCAGCTGACTGTAGCTAACTAATGATCAAACTAATTACAAAGTGGATAGTGCAAAAACAACTTGATAAATGGAAGTTAATCACAGCAAAACAAACAAAGAAGGCGCTAGCATTGCAATTTAAATGGCTAGATAATGTTAGCATAATCCTCACCATTATCTTTTTATCAATTCAAACCGTCTACCAGTTACAGGAAGACCACGACATTCAAGCCAACGTTATAATTGGTCTACACTATGATCCCTGATGGTTTGATGGTGGAATTTTGCCCCTGGTATATCATTTTCGTCTAAAGTGACAAGTGGTATTTGATTCATTTCGGCAGTGTTTGTCCGAAACATGTGGGCGGGAGTTGACAGGCGGCGGGGGCGTGTCTTAGTGACGTCATTTAGATAGTTCGCTATTTGTTGTCATTAAATAAACTTTTGGCATTCATAAAAGTGATCTGAAGTTTATTTTGTGTGTTAAGTTGGTACAAAGCAGTATAATAAGCGGGATAATGTATAGCCTACAGGTCATTATCGGAAAATAAGTACCTTCAGGGCGGAAGCAGACCCCTCCGCTGCGCGTCGGGGTCCGCTTCGCCCTGTCGGTACTTATTTTCCGATAATGACCTGTAGGCTATACATTATCCCTTACTTAGTGCAGGGGTGTCAAAGGGCCAGTGTGGATACAGATTTTCATTCCAACTAACAGGAGCACACCAGACTCCCCATTTCTTCAAGTGAGTCCAGTCTAAACCCGAGTCTGCACTGCTCTTGCTTGGTCGGAATGAAATCCTGCAGCCACATCGGCCCTTTCTGGAACCAGTAAAGAAGAGTAGAGTAAAATCGAAATAATTATTATAATCTGTCATTTTACTCCATTTAAAACCAACATATGTCTTTTAATACATTACAGTGATGAGAACATACTTTAGGTTAAAAAGTTTTTACCCTCAAGTATGTTCTCGTAAAAACACAATCTGTGAACAGGAGAATGTGTTCATACAATATAAACTACCCATGGAAAAGTCAAGTCATGTCCATTTCAAACCCACTTCCTCCAGAATTAGAACAGTTTTGGAACAATAGAAGCCAATTGGGTCCAAAGATCAATATCTACAGCAGACAGGTCCAAACCGAGGCCCGGGAGCCAGTTTGCGGCCCTCTATGTAATGCTACGTGGCCCTCTGCCGCTAACATAAAGTAGTCTTTGAGATAAACACAAGTCCACAATGTCATGTCATCCAGCCAGCTTCAGCGGAGGCAACAAAAGCACGGTATACAGTGGGTGTACCTGATAGTCCCAGGCCAGGCTGTTGGGGCCCAGGCCGCAGCCCGTGGGGTCGGCACACTCCACAAACAGCTTGTACAGATCCAAACACGCCAGCTCCCCAGTCGAGTTGTAGACGATCCCTGCAGGAGACGTCCCGGGCGAGGAGCAAAGACGGACACAGTCAGGGAGGGGAGGGGGGGGGGGGGGGGGGGGGGAGAGAGGGGAGGAGACTTATCAACTGTGTAGGTCTGTTATTTCTAATAAGATAAACTAGACTTTATTGATCTCATACAGGAGAAATGTACAAATTTACAAATGTATTGCATATCATTAATGTGAATTCAAGCGTTTTCCTCACTCTCTTGTTACAGTCAGAGCAGAGTTGTGCATAAACACGTGGACAGTTCATAAAAATGAGGAAAAAGATGAGAAATTAACGCTTAAACTGACAAAAAGACTAATTACAGTGCCTTGCAAAAGCATTCGGCCCCCTTGAACCTGTCAACATTTTGCCACATTTCAGGCTTCAAACATAAAGATATAAAATTAAAATTTTTTGTCATGAATCAACAACAAGTGGGACACAATCGTGAAGTGGAACGAAATTTATTGGATAATTTAAACTTTTTTAACCAATAAAAAACTGAAAAGTGGGGCGTGCAATATTATTCGGCCCCTTTACTTTCAGTGCAGCAAACTCACTCCAGAAGTTCAGTGAGGATCTTTGAATGATCCAATGTTGTCCTAAATGACTTATGATGATGATAAATAGAATGCACCTGTGTGTAATCAAGTCTCCGTATAAATGCACCTGCTCTTTGATAGTCTCAGGGTTCTGTTTAAAGCGCAGAGAGAACCATGAAGACAAAGGAACACACTAGGCAGGTCCGAGATACTGTTGTGGAGAAGTTTAAAGCCAGATTTTGGATACAAAAAGATTTCCCAAGCTTTAAACGTCTCAAGGAGCACTGTGCAAGCAATTATATTGAAATGGAAGGAGTATCAGACCACTGCAAATCTACCAAGACCCGGCCGTCCCTCCAAACTTTCATCTCAAACAAGGAGAAGACTGATCAGAGATGCAGCCAAGAGGCCCATGATCACCCTGGATGAACTGCAGATAACTACAGTTGAGGTGGGAGAGTCTGTCCATAGGACAACAATCAGTCGTGCACTGCACAAATCTGGCCTTTATGGAAGAGTGGCCATTTCTCAAAGATATCCATAAAAAATCTTGTTTAAAGTTTGCCACACGCCACCTGGGAGACACACCAAACATGTGGAAGAAGGTGCTCTGGTCAGATGAAACCAAAATGGAACTTTTTGGCCACAATGCAAAACGATATGTTTGGCGTCAAAGCAACACAGCTCATCACCCTGAACACACCATCCCCACTGTCAAACATGGTGGTGGCGGCATCATGGTTTGGGCCTGCTTTTCTTCAGCAGGGACAGGGAAGATGGCTAAAATTGATGGGAAGATGGATGGAGCCAAATACAGGACCATTCTGGAAGAAAACCTGTTGGAGTCTGCAAAAGACCTGAGACTGGGACGGAGATTTATCTTCCAACAGGACAATGATCCAAAACATAAAGCCAAATCTACAATGGAATGGTTCACAAATAGACGTATCCAGGTGTTAGAATGGCCAAGTCAAAGTCCAGACCTGAATCCAATCGAGAATCTGTGGAAAGAGCTGAAGACTGCTGTTCACAAACGCTCTCCATCCAACCTCACTGAGCTCGAGCAGTTTTGCAAGGAAGAATGGGAAAGAATTCCAGTCTCTTGATGTGCAAAACTGATGGAGACATACCCCAAGCGACTTGCAGCTGTAATTGCGGCAAAAGGTGGCGCTACAAAGTATTAGCGCGAGGGGGCCGAATAATATTGCACACCCCACTTTTCAGTTTTTTATTTGTTAAAAAAGTTTAAATTATCCAATAAATTTCGTTCCACTTCACAATTGTGTCCCACTTGTTGTTGATTCTTGATAAAAAATTTATTATTTATATCTTTATGTTTGAAGCCTGAAATGTGGCGAAATGTTGAAAGGTTCAAGGGGGCCAAATACTTTCGCAAGGCACTGTATATGTGTTCATGAACTGCACGTTTGCAACCGCCACAGAGCAGCTCAATCATGTAAAATAGAAAACATGTTCATTTGACAATAAAAATATAAATTATGCTTATTTTTTTAATGGCAACTTTTTATGTTTGAATATAGTTTTTCATGTAAGATTCTTCTACTAGTTTTAAGATAATAATACTTCATAATCTTATTAGAGAAAAAGTCTGAGCAGTTTTTAAGCTTGTAGAATTTTTTCTTATTTCCAGACAACTTTTCTTGTTTGGATAAAATAAGTTTGTTATGCTACATTTTAAGAAAAAAATTCTTAAAAATGTTTAAAAAAATATTAAATAAAACTTGAAATGTATGTTTTTCAAGTAGAATCAAGTCATTTGGGGCTAGTATTTTCTTATTTTCAGAGATCTTGACAAGTCATATTTTCTTGTTCTTTGGCAGATCATTGTTCTTACCTGGATTTTTTCCAGGTACGTCAAGAACTAGCAAAATTAAGTATTTTTTCATTCATTCATAATTAAATCTGTAGCTGAGTGCGTAACTGTATCAAAAGTACCCTGTCTGTAGGTTTGTGGTTCAACATTTCTTTTTTACCTGCAGTGTTCCTGAGGTTGGCGAGCAGGTCTGGTCCACTCATCATGGTGTCGCAGCCCACCTGAACACACAAAATACACAAAACACACATCAACACACACACACACACACACTCAAAAACATGAGCAACTTTTTTTCTTGGGGGCTTCGATTAAGATGAAGAGATGCTTTCTTGGTGCCATAGTGGGGAAATGTCAGTGTTGCACCAGTCACAGAACAGTAGGAATGAGGAGCACACAGCAAGATAAAGAAACTATAACTCTGTACTAAATAAAATAACATAAAAATCTCTAACCCTCGCTTCCATCATCACGTGTGGAGAGAATGGAATAATATTTCAACTCTGAACATTGTAAAGAAATTTGCGTGACCTTGGTCTGTAAAACGTGCTATATAAATAAACAATACTTAAAATGTAGCTCTGAGACTTGTGACAGCCTGTACAACAATGAAAACTTCCCAACCTTTCATTGGTGGAGGCAATGTTACTTAAAAGGCTGATTCAAAGCTGGAAAAAGGAAGTTAAAAAAATATATGTTTGCTTCTATCACTATTTAAAAGTATACGGGCCGGACGCCTATAGAGAAAATTAAATAAAAATAACATTTTGGCTTAACGTTATATTTAATGTTCATACTGTTTTCTTGAGTAATACTTGGCGGGCCGCATTCTGTCCACAGGCCGCCAGTTGATGATCCGTGATCTACACTAATTGTCCTCCTGATTGTCAATCATTCTGGTGATATGCGAGACAGGTTTTAAAAGGCTGAAGTGCATTCGTAAATGACATTGTTTGTTGTTCATCAGATTATTATTGTGGGGGAGGGAAATATATACAGAGCACTAAGAGGAGCGCCCTCAGAGCTCGCTGGGGTTTAGGACACAGGGACAGCAGGGAGAGATCTTATGCACATTTATTGTAACAAGAAAATAAATGTTTGAATGGAACTTTTGGATTTTCCTTGGTCTTCCTTCCTGGTCAAATTTGTATTATGCAACCAGGCGTCCTTTCCTAAAATGCAGGATAATCCTCCTATTTACCTTTAAGAGCCAGGGCTGGTCCCTTGTTATGGGTTTGGCTTCCATAATGACATAATGACTGACCTGCACTGGATTAGCCGGCAGCTGGCTCATGAACTGTGTCTTGTAGGGGTAGTCCAGCATGGCCATGAGGGTGAAGGCGTTCCGGAGCAGACCGTTCAGCTGATGCATGTCCTGGGGCGTGGAGGGCGTGGCACACAGGCCAAACTTCTGCTGGACTAAACTGTAGTCTGACCAAAGACAAGAATACTATATCATCAGTCAGGACTTTGCAGAACCAGGTTTGCATCTCAACAGCTCCACCAACAAGAGGAATGCCAGTATTGCGTTGCCAGTATTGCGTTTCCAGCCGTCCCAAGACAATCGCTGCATTCTTGTGTAACTCTTGTGTCCATGCTGAGCTCCAGTGTGAGTGAGTGACAGAGCGATCAAAGCAGCTCAGAGTCTGTGATCAATAAGGCCATGCACGCGCTGAGGTAAAGGCAGTAAAAGGCCACATCTGCAGCGCTCATGTCTGACGGAGACTCGGACAAACTCCACCCAGACTGAGAGAGATAAGAGTTCACCCATGGGCCATCAGGAGGAGAAGGACTCTTCAGCATGTCGGGGAATTTCAACTGTTATGCTTTCTTCTATCGGTTTGTCTGTTAAGAAAATACAGACGATGATGACCCCCAGGACAGCATAGTTAAAAGTGGTTCAAATATTTTGAGACTAGGCGTAGAGCCGCTGCTCCTCCACATCGAGAGGAACCAGTTGAGGCGACTCGGTGTATGTTTTTTACAACATGGCATTGTAAAGCGGAACCTGAGTCCTGGTTTAAGCTACAGTTGTGGGGTAGTGCACAGAGGTGGTTAACTTTGTGACCCACAGATATCCTCCAGTCTGAGATATTTCAGTTGTTCCCCTTTAAAAGACGACATAATGTGTGACTCATAAAAAATTGAAATTTCCCCACTGTGGGACGAATAAAGGAATTCTTATCTTATTATTATAAATCTATTATTGATGGAGAATTTTGAACCTGGTGAATCTGAATCACATCAAACTGGGACCTAAAAACAGCAGAAATGGTGCCATCTGTTTTTCAGAGCTGCACCTCATTTAAAAACATGAGCCGAACGGAACTGAAGTCACCGTTTCAGAACTAGCTTGAATCCTTCTGCTACATTAACTCAAGACCCGTTTGGAGCAGAGGGAGTAGGGATGTAAATCGGCGACCGTTTAACCGGTGGTTGACCGTCACAGCGTTAACCGGTCAAAGCTGTCGGTTAAAAAAAGAGAAAAAGAGGAGAGGGGAGGTCTCTTAATAACGCTATTTTAAGCCCTATTTGCACGGTGTGACGAGCGGGTCTGTATCTAGCTGTGTGCGCCAATGTATTATAAACTCCGGGACGACTCTCACGCTGCACGAGCCACATATGCGCGCACACACACACACACGGACGCACGCACGCACGCACGCACGCACACACACATACACACACTTTCCCCCTCTCCATACGTAACATCCACACGCATCATCTCTCCCCTCTGTTACCGTCAAAGTTGCACACTGGCGCGGGTCAGAACTACATTGGAGCTTACATTTACACATACACACACACATACACACACACATACATACACACACACATACACACCGGTCTGTCGCGCTCCTCTGTGTCACGGAGCCCAAAGGATTCGCGCAAACACACGGCTCCAGTCAAACCACATGGAACATGTTTGTGTTTATGGTCCTCGGGATCAGCTCCACACACATCACTTGTATTTAAACTTTTGTGAAGACCTGTGAGACGCGGCTCGTCACTCGCTGCTCTGACCATGTGAACGAGCCGTCGTTTGCTGCTAGAAAGTTTTGGTATTAACCCGCAGCACAGCAGAATGGGAAGATTAAAAAAGCAGTTCTCTGTGCGCAAAGGTGCCGGAGCTGTTGCGGGTTTGGGCGCCGCTGTCTCAACTCTGATCCAGTAGAACGCAGAGCTGCACTTATGAAAAGTACGTGGCTCGAAATGGCTGTTATTTCAAAGAACGTGGACTATTTTAAACTACGCGGTTAACCGGTTTCAACCGGTTAATGAGGCTCGGTAGTCGGTCATGAAAATTCATAGTTTTTTACATCCCTAAGAGGGAGTGTAACTATTTAGAGCGTTTGAAATCTCCATTCTGATCAGAGACTGTGGCTGCAGACTCCTGCATCAGCCCCGTTTGTTAATATAGTTTTATTGACCTTGATAGATCTTATAATCTCCACCTGTAATCCCACAGTCACATTCATTCCCCCAGACTTAATGTGTATTTAGCAGTCAGGGAAACTGGAGCACCCGGAGGGATTGCAATGTGCTGATTGCAACAACAAAAAGTGCAAATTAAATCTGATAGTAGTCACTTTTTGCATTGTAGGGCTGCACGGCTAACAAATATATCAAAAATTGTCAACATTTTGTAAAAAGTATCTTAATCCGAGCACATTTTGACTGCTTTAAAAGATTTTCTCAAGAGAAATAAAATAAAGCAAAAGTTCTTGAAAGACCATGAGACTAAATGGTTTTGTCCCATTGGAAAATCTTGTCAGTCAGGATGTAATTAAATAAAGAAAAAATAAACCTTTTCTGCAGTGTAGTGCCTGTGTCATGTTCCCCTCAGCTCACCCTTGTTATCTGCGAGCTCCTTCAGCTGTGCAAAGGCTCCCCTCACGGAGTCCCTGCACTCAGCGCTGCAGCCCTGGAAATCCTGCAGCAGACACAAAGTATGGATGTATAGACCGTGATCAGCTTATCTTTTGGATAAATAGTATTAGAAAGATACTGTATCGATCAGTCAGACAGAAGACAGTATCGGGCTGTAGACTGCGTTCATTCACCGCGGTCACGTCTCTGAAGAACTGTCGTGGATCTCCCAGTCCCGCGGTGGACAGGATGGGGGCGCTGGCGGCCAGTGCTCCTGCTACGACGTTGGGATACTTCAGCCTCATGTAGACCGACAGCATTCCTCCGTAACTGAAAAAGGGACATTTCATTGAAAATTTTATTTTGACTGGGGCTGTGGACTCAGGCTGGGACTCTGACTACTTTGCGTCACAAAACAGAACAGAATCAATCATGTGCCCGACGTGACATAAACATGCAGCACTTATACTACAGTAGTGCAGCTCTCCCCTATGTCCTGTAAGTAAGTATTTAGTCTCATTTAGGTTGCCAGTTTGTTAGGTAATATAATTACATGCATTTTCCTCAATAACGCAATACACTACTACGTAACTATTTTTGTAATTTCGTCACAGTATCCAACACTGGTTGTCCTAAAGAAATGACACATTACCTTCCTCCAAACACGATGACGGGACAGAGCAAGGCCACCAGCTCCTGCTTCAGCTCTTGGATCATCAGGGCGTAGTCGGCCAGAGCCTGCTCCACGGTCAGCAGACCCACCTCCGGGATGTGGAACGAGTCCTCTCCAAACGGCAGAGACTTGCCGTAGTATCTCTGCAAACAATCACAACAATCAAGTCATATCCATCTGCTCTGAAAAGACGAGAACACGAGACAAATGTATGATGTAAGATAGAAGAGAAAGTGACTCTCTCGAGCAGCAGTAGTAAGTAAGTAATCATTATTTATATAGCGCCTTTCACAGACCAGAGTCACAAAGCGGTTTACAATTGTTATTACTTTTGGGCAATTGTCCTCTCACTCCACACAGAGATGGGAGCGGGGTCGCCAGTACAGGAGGCGCATGCCAGATCTATTGTGCATGTTTTTAGTGGTAGGGGAAACCGGAGTACCCGGAGGAAACCTACGCAGACACGGGGAGAACATGCAAACTCCACTCAGAAAGGCCGGGATTCGAACCCAGGACCTTCTGGCTGAGAGGCGAGAGTGCTATCCACTCAGCCACCGTGCCGCCAAGTAACAGCGAGTGTTTGTGCAGTTGCAAAAATGTGTATTCCTGGAGCAACAATCTTCAACATGCAAAACTGCAAAACTTATAAAATATATGTGGCTTTTTTTTTATTGCCTCGTAAGTAACAGGAAGTCCCACTGTTGGCTCAGTGCAACAGTCAAGGAAGAGAAGTAAAGATTAGATTAAGGCATAATAAAAATCAGCATACACATCTAAGGTGTAAAAATAAATAATAAATAAAATTTCTGGGACTCCTGGTCTACAGACTCGCCTGGACAAATGTGAGAACAAAGTTGCTGACATTAGTGGATAGAGGTCAAAACAACTTTTTTGATGGAATATTGTAACATGGTTAAAAGCTCAGAGAAATAAAGAATCATTTAATCAGGGATCCCCGAGTGGCCACCAAAGTTTGATTCTGGATAATACGTTATGATCTACATCTATTCAAAGATAAGTTTATATGAAAACACACAACCACAGCATTTACATGATCCTCAACAGTGAACCTGAATTCAGTACGTAATATTCATTAGTAAACATTATTATAAACAGTCTATGACACTTTGGTCTCGTTGGGCTTCAATTTGTTCAAAGAATTATATAGCTAATAGACCGTGGTTCAGTTGGTAGAGCACTGGCCTTTGGTCCTGAAGGTCGTGGGTTCAAGCCCAACACAAGACCTACTTCACGACTCCCATGATGTCTGCTGCCGTTGTGTCCTTGGGCAAGACACTTAACCCCACTTTGCCTGAAGCCCCCACTGAAAAGATCACACACCCTCTCCCCCGACCCAGAAATATAAAGGGAAGAAAACGGACGGATGGATCATATAATGTATGATATAATGATTTCAGTTTTGGTCTTTGTTCTAATGTTCTAAGCACAAATGTTTCCTCTGAGAAGACGGTGCAGTTTGAAACATAGAGCTATATTTATAAATGACCCAAGCTTTAAATATAGATCAACTCAAAAAGAGCATTGTCCCAATGACTCACAGCACTGATGAGCAGCTCATTCAGCTTTTTATAGATAACAACGAGATCCTCCAGAGGGAAGAGGGCAAAGGCCAGAGCAACACACTGGGATAAGATTAAGAAGAAGAGATCCCACAGTGGGGGAATGTCAGTGTTGCATCAAAGTAGGAATGAGGAATATTATCATGAATATTAAGTAAAGTACTGCCCATTCCCAAACAATAACATTTCTATCTTTAGCTTAATAATCTTTATTCAACCAGCAAAGTGCCACTGAGATAACAGCATCTCTTATCCAGGAGCGGCCTGGCTGCAGAGAGGTGGGCAGGAGGTGGATTGAACCAAGGATCTTCTGTTGTGAAGCAAACACTAACCACTGCACCCTTAATAAAGAAACAACATATAAAATAAATAAAAAGTATAGACATATGAAAGTGTAGACATATGAAAGTGTAGACATATGAAAGTGTAGACATATGGAAGTATAGACATATGTTGTTATCTCACGTGTTCTGCAAAGATGACCAGCGCCCCCTGCTGAGCCGCCAGTTCAATGATGAACCCAGAGTTCAAGGCAAAATCCCAGATGTCTCCTTCGTTCCCGGTGTAGAAGAATATTGGGCCATAGCCCGTCTTCCAGTATTTATCTTAAGGAGAAAAACAAAAGACATGTTTGTACAAGGTCATTTTTAACAGGTCACACTCACAGAAATATTTTTAACGTGCAATTTAGCGACAAAAAAACTGACACGAGTGAGACCGGCTCAATACTAGACCCGAACTCCCAAAGCAGTCAATTTGGCTTTTAGTTTTGGAAACGTGCAATTGCTTGTGTACATTTGTAGTCTTCATAACTTTGTGACTTTTTCTGTTTCTAAATGTAGGTTATTTCTTTATCATAATTTTTATGAAATTATTTTTGAAGTGTTGGTTACCATAGCAACATACTGTCCTAAGCAGGCCTCTGCTCAGGACGTTTTATGACTCCGTGGTAGCATCTGGCATTTACTACGCTGCCGTGTGCTGGGCCCCGGGCAGCACAGAGCGGGACAGAAACAGACAAGCTGGTCAGGAGGGCCAGCTCCACTCTGGGCTGCTCCCTGGACTCTGTGGAGGAGGTGAGGGACAGTAGGGTGCTAGTCAAAGCCACCTCCATCATGAACAATACCTCCCACTCACTGCACAGGACTGTAGAGGAGCTGAGGAGCTCCTTCAGTGGAAGACTGAGGCACCCTCAGTGTAGGAAGGAGCGCTACCACAGGGCCTTTATCCCCACCGCTGTCAGACTGTACAATAAGTCACTTTAAGTCACTGTATAAGACTGAAAAAAAAATACCTGCACTACTACTATTGACACTATATCTGATTGCCACTTTAAATTGCCACTTTTATTGTACATATATAAACTGCATGTAACATGTTTGCACAATTCCTCCTTTTGCACAATCTGAGTGTTCTATCCATGCCAAACGTGACATTCTTTATTTATCCCACAAGGAGAAATTTACATATCTTATCTTATCTTACTGGCAGAACTTAGCATTAGTTTTTATGCAGTATTTCAGTAAGAAGTGAGTAAAAGGAAATAACCTTATATATGACTTTTAATAAATCTGGTGAAAAATTAAATCTTTTTTGTGTGAATATTTCAGAATTCCATTGGTTTGAATGGAAGCAGTCAAAATGACAGCTCTGGGAGTTAATAGTAGTTTCTGGGAGTCCTAGATTTGAGGGAAAGTATTTCTTATTTGTATGAGTCCCCAGATAACAGGTCAACATGCACACATCATATTTGACGCTTTCTGGGAAAAAAAAGTAATTCAAGAATAATTAATGATCTTTGATATTTACTGTATGTACACAATTTTATGGCTTATTAACCAAACAGAGAGCAAGAACAGTCTCATTTAGGTTGCCAGTTTGTTAGGTTTGAAAGGAAGTTTTTATTCACAGAAAGATAGAACCACACATCTTTACATGAAACCAGGTACACATATACAGTTTTTAACATTCTTCCAAGGGCTGGGTCCAAATCAAACGTATTCAATGAATCAACATGAAGAAGATGACATAGTCTGGGATCGTGTCTTACATTCCGACAGAAGACATGTTTTATTGTCGATGGTAGAGACAGCACGAACAAAGCACACGAGCACAGAAACAATAGAATGCAAGTGTATTATACAGAGCGGAGGCATGGAGACCTCCAATCAGCAGCTTCCACGGTGTGCTTGTAGCTTGGCCTTCAGATAGACAAAACAAGGGAAAAGTACTGGCTTCTGCACATTGATAGAATGATGAGTTTAACCTTAACAAAAGTTGCTTCAAAGTGTTATGAAATCTCACATTCCCCCCTCTGGTCACACATTCACGTGTGACCATCAGGGTCGATAAACAGCAACATAACATCATGACTCAATACTTCAAAAACTCATAAACTCGGTACTTCACTCGGTACCTCAAAAAACTCAGAACTCGGAATACTTCAAAAACTCATAAAACATGTTCAGATCTTTCATAAAACTTGTCAACAATCTTCAGTAAAATACCAAACTTCATCAGTCGAGGGTTCCAGATATTGCTTTGAAAACAGTCTCTCCCACTTCTCCGTGTTGGTTTCTTCAGGCTGCATTTGTGTCGAGCCATGAATTCTTCTGTGACGTGTCTTTCAATCACACGTTTCAGCTTCAGTGTCCAGATTCAGAAATCCAATTCAGTCCAAATTATGTCCAAATTCAGATATCCAATTGTTCCAAATCATGTCCAAATTGTGTAATCCAGATTGTTCCAAATGATGTCCATGCAAAAGAGGACGATGGTGTTGTCCATGTCTCAGCAGCTCACAGCAGGCCTGAGTGGAATCAGGGGCTGTGCAGATTGTCCATGTGCTGATCAAGATGCATGGTTTCTCTTGAGGTTTCTCAGTTTTGGCTTTAAAAAAAAAACACTTTTTGTGTAAAAAAAAAGTCTTCTGTTCTGTAGATGTTACAGACAAGGCCCGCATCCTTCCACCACCTGAAGAAGATGACATAGTCTGGGATCGTGTCTTACATTCCGACAGAAGACATGTTTTATTGTCGATGGTAGAGACAGCACGAACAAAGCACACGAGCACAGAAACAATAGAATGCAAGTGTATTATACAGAGCGGAGGCATGGAGACCTCCAATCAACAGCTTCCACGGTGTGCTTGTAGCTTGGCCTTCAGATAGACAAAACAAGGGAAAAGTACTGGCTTCTGCACATTGATAGAATGATGAGTTTAACCTTAACAAAAGTTGCTTCAAAGTGTTATGAAATCTCACAAACATTTTTGGAAATGTGAGAAATCAAGTTTGAAATTGATGTGGTCGATGTTTCTTCTAGTCTCTTTAGTTTTAGCTTTAACTGAGCTGAGCAAAGGCACAACATTGATTATAGACGAGAGGGTGTGAGAGGGTGTGTAGTAAACTCACCGGTGATGAGGTAGCGCTGTCTGAACGTGCCGTTGCCCATGCTGTTAAAGTTAAAGTGGTCCAGTATTTGAGTGAAGTATTTCTCTGTGAACGGTAGGTCTTTGCTGGGTACATGGTGCAGAGTGGACTGTGAACACACAAGATATTATTCAAAAGTCAATGGAAAAGACTCAGAGTGGCCATTCATTTATAGTTTTGTCACTAATAAAAGTTGAGCTCTTTATGGACCAATAACTGTTCTCGGTCTCTGGTTTTATCGTTTGATTTTCTAACATGTTTATATCCAATTGTCTGATTTTCAAATATGCTGAAACAAAAAAGTAGAGTAAGTAAATATCAGTGCATGCCAAAATGTGCTTTTCTAAAGTTCTAAAATTGCAATAAAACTTGTACCAAACTTGGGTGCTCAAACTTTTCTAGTAAGAGGGCAACTTGTCCAGAGGCCGACAACATTATTCTCAAACGGCTTTGACTGGATTCAGGCTGTTCTGAGATTTAAAATGGGGTCTGAAATGTCCATATTGATTCACACCACAGCTACATGAACGCCATTTATGGAATTGAGTCTCATTATCAATAACAAATGTCAGTATATACATTATAAAGTTAACGACTGAATGTTAAAAGTTTCCAATTTTTACAACAAGGATCTTTTTATTTATAGCACATTTTACAGACCAATGTCATGTGAAGTGCTTTACAATGTTCAGAGTTCCGATATTTTTCCATTCACTCCACATGGAAACCATACTCCACACACGGTGATAACAGAAGAACCAACACCATCCATTCACTCACTTCATCACATTATACATATAGAACAGGTTTTTAGCGGTAGGGGAAACCGGAGCACCTGGAGGAAACCTACGTAGACAGGTTGAGAACATTCAAACCCCACGCAGAAAGGCCTGGAGGTGAAATCGAATGTGAAACCTGAAACAAGCTTTAGCCGTTGACCTATTGGTGGAGCTGAAGTTGGCTGGATGACACGGCGAAAGTACCTCGATGTCGGCAGAAAACTATTGTCACGTGTATGAATATTAATATTAATACTATGTGGTAATTAATAAACGTGTAGCAAACAATTCAACAGTTCGTCAAGCTCGCGTAAATGCACATCTGTTTTTTAGACAAGTTTCGGGGAAAAAACTCACTACATAAATCAATCGCTGCATGAATTAAAATCATGATTACCACCACCTGCTTGTTTTCACCCTTTTATTTTCCAAACAAGACTAAGCAATAGCTGTGCTTAATCCTAATAACAAACTTTATAGCGAAATATAGTGTTGTCTATAATGTTAAGTTAATATCGAAAGTGTGTTGGGGAAAAACCTGATTACCTTATTCAAGCTGTGGAACGGCAGCGCGTGCACCGCCAAGCACAGAAGCAGGAATGGCGCAAACACAGCCGCAGTCCTGCTCATTCTGCACAAAAACTGCTGATCTGACTGCGGGGATAAAAAGATAAACGATAATCTATTCCCTCGAGTCAGGACCATTGACTGTATGTCAGGACACATCCAACACACTGCGCATGCGCCTGAACCACTCTCACATGACCAATGTTGTGATCTAGGATGCGTTTGGGTGCAACGGGAAATAAGAATATTCTTAGGGTTTTCCGCACAATTCATTTTATTAGATTATAATCTTATAATAGATCCATGATTATAATTAGTAAGATTTAAGAAACAAAGAGTTAAGTACGCAGCTGTGGCGCCCCCTGCAGGTTAAATCCGTAGTTTATCACCACCATGTATCGAGTGAATGAATAATGCTTTGAGTGTCCAAAAAACACTTTAGAAAACTGAGGCATTATCATTATTTAAAGGTGTTTCTCTTTGAATAATGTTTAAACTTTACACAAATCGTGCATGTCTAAAAAGTTGACTGTGATACAAACAGTTACTGAGCGAGAGACGTTTACTTTTTAATGTCAGTAATAAGTTTCAACAAAACTTCATCCATGAACACTTCCCTATTGTGGAATAGCATTAAATGTTGCTTTTGTATTTGTGTTACCTAATCTCCTAAAGTCTATATATGCTATAATATGGTTAAACAATGTAGTGTGTTTTGGGGTTATGAGAAAAAAATTAGCATTTGTCTCTAAATGTTGTAATGTAGTCTTCAACATGTTGCTGATACTTTAATCATAAGTTATTCTGATTTCCTGAATATTTTCCCACACACGCTCCTGCTTCCTTGTCCTGGGATAAAGGTTATAGCTCTTAAGTGAACTGCAGAGATATGTATAGGAGTTTCCTCAAAGCAGCACAAGGTTAAAACCACACCCGGAATTACCCACAGTCAGCTGACAATGGAGAAACAGAATCACACTGGACCTGTGTAAACACGATTACTCATGAGGGATTATTTGATATCAGTAAAGAGACATCATACAGGGAAGTGTAGAGGAGACAGAGGAAGTGTTTAGGACTCTTGTCAGAACAGAGTTTATGGACTCATTACAGTAACTGCATTGAGTTTTATTCTGAGTTTGACTAAGAATGCATCATAAACTGCATCTATCACAGTGATTTGAGAACGCTTTAAGATATCATTTTTTTCCTTTGGCTGTCAGACTACAACAGACCTGTGTGGGTTTTCTGATACTGGACACCTGAATTTCTCCAACGGGGGATCAATAAAGTATATATCTAATCATCCTTAAATCATATTGAGTTCATTTAAAACAGTCGTCTGTCAGCTTTGTTTTGCTGCACCAGCTGCTAAGTCTGACGATTTCCTCTCCTTCAGTCTTCACTGATGGAGTTTGTAGACCAGAGAGATTTGTTCAAAAGGTGGAGAGGGCGGTTCTTTCCTAAAATGTGGGAAAATCCCCCTATTTACCCTCGACACTAGAACTCCCAGAGCAATTTGACAGATTTTACTGATCCCCTGTAGGAGAAATTCAGGAGTCTAGTAGCAGCAGAAACACATGCATCCATGCAAACAAAACAAATTAATAGATATTTCAAAACATTTGCTAACAATATTGAAATGCACTAGCACTTTTGATTACAACAGCAGAGGTGGTGCAACCGCTGTTTGGGTAATTACTCAGCACGTGCACATTTTTGGTTGTCATGATTTTATGACTGTTTCTAATGTCTTTAGATTATGAAATCAATTTTTATTTTTGAAATGTGGATAATGTAATGTAAATTTATCCATTGTGAAATCACTTAAGTTTATCCTAACTTACAGTATCTTAGTTGTACCTTTAGCTCCATTAATTTCAACGTAAAAAAAATCAAATGTACCCATTTTCTGATGCTTGGTAACCGACATTTTTATCATAACTTTTAGCATGAGCAGTTTTAGCACACATTAAAAGTGAGTAAAGGTAGAAACATACAAAGATTTATCAGAATCCTATTGGTTTGAATGTTAGCAGTCAAAATGAGGGCCCTGGGAGTTCCAGTAGTTTCAGAATTCTGGGATTTCTAACTTTGTTTCCTTCTACCATCCAGAATTGTCTGAATACTCTCACTCAAAAGTCTGGAGCGCTGGTGTGTCTGTGGTCTGGCTCTGCAGGGAGAGGGAGAACCGGGCCCTGCACCTGTCCCGTCTGCACCATAGATTGTCTGCACCTGTCCCACCTGCTCCGGAATGTGGACTTCCTGGTCCCGGCTCCAGGCGGGGCCTGTAGTCACACATATACTTCCCTGTAATAGAGCCATAACAGACACACACCCACAACACGGAGCTGGAGACGGACCGCAGACATGACGGACGGCAGGAAGAGGTACTGTAGGAGGCCCCTGGATGACAGACTATACCCCTAATCCGAATCCTAACTTTATTCAACCCTGTAACCCTTTGTTGAGAGAAAGCGGCTGATCTACAACAGATTTGAATAAGGATTTTCATCTTTTGCCTATGTCTGGTATTTAGCAAATATTCAACATAATTTATGTTCATGTTGGCCCCTCAATGTGATCTTGAGGATATTGACTTTGCCATTTGTGGAATGCTTTAAATCTCACCTAAATGATGTTAACACTTTTAACACATGCCTTTTACTTTCATTTTATTTTATATTTATGTTTTTAATTATCAATTTTAATTAATGGATGTCTTTTATTGTAGTAGTTGTAGGAGTGGAAGTAGTAATAGTTTCTGTAGTAGTAGTATATAATAGTTGCAGTAGAAGTGTATATAGTTGTAGTAGCAGAAGTAGTAGTTTAAAGAGTATCAGTAGTAGTACTAGTAGTATTTGCAGTAGTTGCTGTAATAGTAATTAGCAGCTGGAGTGTATAGAGTACCTGTAGAGTTTCACAAGCGTAACATTTGTATTGTTGAGACATGAATGTGATCTAAATGATGAGTTATACAGTATTGCACAAATAAGAATGTAGTATTGTGGAAGGCTAACACAAACAATAGTCACACCTGAACAACAGGAATAGAAGGAAATTCTGAAGAAAAAGTGATTCCCAGAAGTCCTCAACAATAGGATCAGACGGACTGTTGACATACTTTTCAAGTCTATAGGAGCCAGAGCGAATTAGAGCAAAACTTTGTCCATTAGCATTTTCCTATTGAGCTTCATTGAGCGAGCAGGTTAGCATTGTCCATCTGTATACAGCCTGTGTGTCCTGTACCTGCAGCTGTGGCTCTGTGTGTCCTGTACCTGCAGCTTTGGCTCTGTGTGTCCTGTACCTGCAGCTGTGGCTCTGTGTGTCCTGTACCTGCAGCTGTGGCTCTGTGTGTCCTGTACCTGCAGCTGTGGCTCTGTGTGTCCTGTACCTGCAGCTGTGGCTCTGTGTGTCCTGTACCTGCAGCTGTGGCTCTGTGTGTCCTGTACCTGCAGCTGTGGCTCTGTGTGTCCTGTACCTGCAGCTTTGGCTCTGTGTGTCCTGTACCTGCAGCTGTGGCTCTGTGTGTCCTGTACCTGCAGCTGTGGCTCTGTGTGTCCTGTACCTGCAGCTGTGGTTCTGTGTGTCCTGTACCTGCAGCTGTGGCTCTATGTGTCCTGTACCTGCAGCTGTGGCTCTGTGTGTCCTGTACCTGCAGCTGTGGCTCTGTGTGTCCTGTACCTGCAGCTGTGGCTCTGTGTGTCCTGTACCTGCAGCTGTGGCTCTATGTGTCCTGTACCTGCAGCTGTGGCTCTGTGTGTCCTGTACCTGCAGCTGTGGCTCTGTGTGTCCTGTACCTGCAGCTGTGGCTCTGTGTGTCCTGTACCTGCAGCTGTGGCTCTATGTGTTCTTTGTCTGGTTAATACTGTGATGGGAGACCTCTGGGAACACCTGGTGCCACAGTGGGGCGGCTGCAGCTGTAAAGTGCCAAAACTGTTGTGTCCTTAGGCAAGACACACACACTGCCTAGAATGAGTCAGGTGTGTGAATGGTTGGCACATACTGGTTGCCTCACTTCAAACAGTGGGCCCCAGGGCAGCTGTTACTTCAGTTGTAGTTTATTGCCACATTATTATCATCATCATCATTATCATTATTATTATTATTATTGTGATAAGATAAGATACACTTTATTGATCTCACAATGGAGAAATAACATGGATCCCTTGCCTCGCTAACCCCAAGAATCAATGAGCTTAAACAAGTGTCATCCAGCCAACTTCAGCTCCATCACCATAACCATGCTGTACCTTGTGGTGAAGCTGATCACGGCCCCCACTCTCTGGAACTCTCTCCCACAACAACTTTTTATTGTAGTTTCTTATGAACCTGTCTCTTTGTAAAGAGTCTTTGAGTGTCCAAAGAAAGCACTATATAAGTACAATGTATTATGATTAATATCATTAGAACTACAGGTGAAACTCGGAACATCAAAACATTAGTCAAAAGTTAATTTATGTCTTTAATTCCACTTAAAATATATGCTACACTCAATACACAGAGAGTAATGCTAATCCTTTGGTTTAATATTGATGATTATGACTTCACAGCAAGAAGGTCCTGGCTTCGACTCCCCCTCTTTCTTAGTGCAGTTTAGATTCTCTCCTTGTCTTGAAGGTTTCCTCTGGGTTCTCCGGTTTCTCCTTCCATTAAAAAAATATGCAATAGGTCTGAATGTAGTGAGTGAATGGAAGGGGATGGTCAGATTGGATCCACCACACTGTAAACCCTAACTTCAATCGTACTTCAGTTATCAAAGCTATTCTAAATAGATTTTTCCCAGTAAGTGAATATTACTCATTTATTGTTAGTTTATTGAAAGCTTGCCTATATCACTCAGGATTTTCTTTGAATTGAACTGTTCAAGTAAGCCTCACTTTTGACATTTTAACGTGTAGAGTCTTAAATGAGACAGGTGTGAAACTGACAGGGTGGCCCGGTGGTTGAGTGGGTAGCACCATTGCCTCTAAACTACTAGGTTGTGAGTTCAAATCCCGGTCTGAACATGAGTTGAGATTTAATATTTATCACAATCACCTGAATTTACTTGGTAATACCAAGTAAAGGATGTACTGGAGGAATTCAAGTGAAGTTAATATGCAAGGTTTTTTCAAGTAAACTTTACTTGTCAGGGTTTACAGTGCAGAGTGCCCGGCGTCTCGCTTTGGTCATCAGTGGAAAATATGAAAGTGACTGGTACAGCGCTTTGTGAAATGCGCTATTTAAATTAAGATTGCGTGACTACTTTACAGCTGCATTATTGGTTTCTCTCTGGTTTCTCTCTCTGTGTGCTCTCTCTGGTTGCTCTCTCTGGTCGCTCTCTCTGGTCTCTCTTGACTCTCTCTGGTCGCTTTCTCTAGTCTCTCTCTGGTCTCACTCTGGACTCTCTCTCTGGTCTCTCTCTCTGGTCGCTCCCTCATGTCTCTCTCTGGTCTCTTTCTCTTGTCTCTCTCTGGTCTCACTCTGGTCTCACTCTGGTCTCACTCTGGACTCTCTCTCTGGTCTCTCTCTCTGGTCGCTCCCTCATGTCTCTCTCTGGTCTCTTTCTCTTGTCTCTCTCTGGTCTCACTCTGGTCTCACTCTGGTCTCACTCTGGTCTCTCTCTGGTCTCTCTCTCTGGTCGCTCCCTCATGTCTCTCTCTGGTCTCTTTCTCTTGTCTCTCTGGTCTCTCTCTGGTCGGTCTCTCTGGATGCTCTCTCTGGGTGCTCTCTCTGGGTGCTCTCTCTGGGTGCTCTCTCTGGGTGCTCTCTCTGGGTGCTCTCTCTGGTCGCTCTCTCTTGTCTCTCTCTGCTCTCTTTCTCTCTGGTCGCTCTCTCTGGTCGCTCTCTGGTCGCTCTCCCTGGTCTCTCTTGGGTCTCTCTTGACTCTCTCTGGTCACTCTCTCTAATCCCTTCCTCGGTGTGTGTTCCACCGCAGTATGCTGTACTCGGAGTTCCTGCAGCTTTGGGCCTCGGCGGTGCGCCTGGTGGACACTCGGGACTGGGAGGGCTGTCTGTCCACACTGGAGCAGATCACTCAGCCCACGGCACGCACCCTCTTCAACATGTCCTCCGCCCACCTGGCTCTGGGACGTCCCGACCTGGCACGCAACGTATGCCCTCCTCTCATTAGACCACCATTTGTACACTCACTGATGCAAACTCATATGCTACTCCATATGACACATGGGAAAAAACATACACATTTCTGACTCTATACACATGGGGCCAAAATTACAATGGGGTACATCTTTTTTAAATTTATTTCTGAGGTCATGTTATAGAAAAGTTCCAAAAAGTACTTTAAAAATGGTTTGGGGCAGAACACATGCTATGTTAGGAGTGGACTGACTTAGTGTGACTTCAACATAGAGAAGAGCCGCCAATTTCCTTATTGGGCATTTGTAACAGGAGCAGACGTGTTGCTAAGACGGTTGCTAAGGTGGAGTTCCCCCGGTGAATTAAGGAATGCATCTGATTGGTCCATCCTATCTGGATTTACAAAGACATTGACACAATATAAACACCTGGATTGCAGAAAAAACTTATGAAAAAAAGACTAAATTCTAATCCTAAAGCATATCTATTATAATATTCCACTTGCATTTTACATAAATTATGCCAAATTGTGGGGGATTATCAGCAGGACGTGGTCAAAGAAGTAAAAAGTCAATGGTTATTTTTTGTTTTCAATGTAATACAATGATTTAAAATAATATTTTCTAGGCTCTAGACCTGGCTCTGGTGAAGGATGAGCACCTCGCTGTGGGATTCTTTCAAAGATCAACTGTGATGATACTGTTGGAACGGTAGGGGGCAGTATTTGTGTGTGTTTGTGTGATGAGTCTGTGCGTGTTTATGTGGTGTGTGTGTCCCTGTGACTAGTACGTGTATCTATGTGTATGTATTTGTTTAAGTGGTGTGTGTGTGTTTGTGTGTGTATGTTGACCTTGTATGTCACTCGATGTTTAAAGCTGGGGTACCTAAAATTGTTGTCACTGTTAGACTGATATGAACTGATATTGACACACGCTTCCATTTATTGTGGTTTGAAAGTTAGGTGCATGAGCTGTAATGCTTTTTGCGTTTGTGTGTTGTGCCGTGGAGCAGGCTGGAGGAGGCTCTGTCCGACTGCATCTGGGCTCAGAAACACATGAGAGGAAACTCGGTCATCGACTACAAGCAGCTGGGCCTGAGGTTCAAGCTCTACAGCTGGCAGGTCTCTGTGAATCCTGGAGTTTATAATGTGATATTGTCCAGGATTCGTCTCTCTGGGTTCTCTCTGGTCGCTCTCTCTTGTCTCTTTCTGGTGGCTCTCTCTGGACTCTCTCACTGGTCTCTCTCCAGTCTCTCTCTGGTCCCTCTCTGTGGTCTCTCTCTGGTTGCTCTCTCTGGTCTCTCTTTCTGGTCGCTCTCTCTGGTCTTTCTCTGATCTCTCTCTATGGTCTCTTTTTCTGGTCTTTCTCTGGTTTCTCTCTGGACTCTCTCACTGGTCACTCTCTCTAGTCTCTCTCTGGTCTCTCTCTGGTCTCTCTTTGGACTCTCTCACTGATCGCTCTCTGGTCTTTCTCTGGTCTCTCTCTGGTCTCTCTCACTGGGCTCACTCTCTAATCTCTCTCTGGTCTCTCTCTGGTCTTTCTCTGGTCTCTCTCACCGGTCTCTCTTTGGTCCCTCTCTCTCTGGTCTTTCTCTGTTCTCTCCCTGGTCTCTCTCTCGTCTCTTTCTCTGGTCGCTTCCTGGTTTCTCTCTCTAGTCCTCTCGATGGTCACTCTCTCTGGTCTTTCTCTGGTCTCTTTCTCTGGTCTCTCGCTGGTCGCTCTCTCTGATCTTTCTCTGGTCTCTTTCGCTGGTCTCTCTCTGGTCTCTCTCTCTTTGGTCTCTGATCCCTGTATCGAAATTCTAACCTCCAAAACGTGGCTAAAGCAAAGACATGTCTGGCTGTGTGTGCAAACTGTCTTCTTTAAGGGTCCCATCATAGACTGTATACAGAAGGACAATGCTAATGCTCTAGCTCATGGCGAAGTTTTTCTCAATCTGTTCTGAAGATGGCTCGCAGATTTTCAGCCGAAACATTTTAACAAGGTAATACATCTAAACTTGTCTTTCAAAAGAACCAAAAAAAGCGTCCTCTAGCTCAGTAACTGACGATTTTGGGCTTAACATTCCATTGCTCTCTCTGATCCTGGTGTTTATATAGCAACATTGTATTTGTAAATCCAAATATGAGCCAGGATTGACTAATCAGACGCATTCGCTCGTGGGGGAAACTCCAGTTAGCTTTAGCAACAGTCTTAGCAATGGTGCAAAGCTAATGCCGCAGAAGAAATCCCCTCATAAGGAACTGGGCTTCATCTTGCTTATGTTCAAAACAGCCTCTTCCGGTGGATTATGATGATGTCAGTGTCATGTGTTTCTCTTGCAAATCAAGGCATCTGGTTAATCCTCATATTATGGAAGCCCGTTTCCGCCATGTAAAAAAAAAAAAAGCCTACAGAAAGTCAACATTTTGACTTTAAAACTCAAAATTTCGACTTTAAAACTCAAAATTTTGACTTTAAAAGTCAAAATTTCGACTTTAAAAGTCAAAATTACGACTTTTAAAAGTCAAAATTTCGACTTTAAAAGTCAAAATTACGAGTTTTCAACTGCGCATGTGCAGTTGAAAACTCGTATGTGTTGTTGTCTGGAACGGTCTCTGGTCATCCCTGTTATAGATCCATGACCATGGGTCATCCTCTACCTGCAGATTATGTTAAGATTTTTCCTACAGACAGTGACCACATCCATGAAGTAGCAGCAATAATGTTGTGGCAGTAATCGCGTTAAAATGCAAACGGTCTTTCCGATTATGATTAGAATCCGCTTCAGAAGCCTCTATTTAGTTTATCCTAAACGGACTGTGGAAGATTAATAATAAAACACATGTGGCTGTTCAAAGTCATTGAGCATCAACTGGTGACATCTGGTCAGTATCACGGCTATCGATGGATGCACCAGAAATGCACTGAATGATATTGTGACTGACAGAGAGACCGTTCGAGATTACAGGACAGTGAGGGAGGTCCGCAGACAGAGGCAGGAGAACCACAGACAGAGGCAGGAGAACCACAGTCACGGGCACTGACAATATTACCCTTTTGGAATTGCGATCAGTGCATTGAAGAGTATGTGACGTGTTTGCGTGCACGCGGGGGTAAAGTTGTTGGCGTATGAGCAAGAACACAGAGACCAACAGGGAATAAGTGCCTTGTCTGATTGCCCACGACTCTTTAAGCAACAATCCGGAGAAATAACTCCGCAGATAACAGTGAGGGTATTTGAAAAGGGAGTTAAACTATTATAGATGCATGAATAAAACCCCGTACTCAACACGTAGAAAGCACATCATTTCAGCCATGGAAATACTCGCTCCGTGTGGACCCCTCTCAGCGTCATCGTCTGGTCAGACGATGATTGGATTGGAATCATGCAGATTGGATTGGAATGTCTCGATGGCTCATTTTCCTTTGATTTATTATAAAAACGTATTGCTCACATTATTTGTTACTATGTCGAAATAAGAAGTCATTTAATTTAAATGTTGTATATATGTAAATTGAATTTAACATAAATAAATAAAAAATTGCGTCCTACGACCGCGGCCTGGGGCTTAAACAGGAAAGTTTTACAGAATCAATCAAACAACATTATTTCTGGCTACTTCAAGGATGCAGTGGTCACTGTAGGCAATATCTTCACATAATCTGCAGGTGAAGGATGTCCAGAGACCGTTCCAGACATCAACACATACGAGTTTTCAACTGCACATGCGCAGTTGAAAACTCGTAATTTTGACTTTTAAAGTCGAAATTTTGACTTTTAAAGTCTTAATTTTGACTTTTAAAGTCGAAATTTTGACTTTTAAAGTCGTAATTTTGACTTTTAAAGTCGAAATTTTGACTTTTAAAAGTCGTAATTTTGAGTTTTAAACTCAACATTTTGACTTTCTGTTTGCTTTTTTTTTTTTTACATGGCGGAAACGGGCTTCCATATCATATGGCTCGATCAAATCTGGATTTAGAAAGACAGTATCAAGTCATAAACCACAGATTTTTTAAACCAAAAATGTTGAGTGTGACACAAACAGTTACTGAGTGAGAGGGATTTATTTTTACATGTAAGTCAAAGAGCCAGCGAGAGCACTTCCCTATTGCGCTTTGTTGAGCTAGCAGGTTAGCATTGTCCATCTGTGTACAGTCTGTGTCCTCTGTGTGGCGGAGCTTTGTCTGTGTACTATTAGCTCAGCCATTATCCAGCTGAATTCACTATTCTTGAATGATAGTATAATGCTTCCATGTACCAGTTTAAGTCTCCACCTGCCGCACTCCCGTCACACACCACGTCTCATGGAAAGTGTCATTTACCTCAACATTTACCTCAAGATTATTTATCCAAGAGCATAGTTTTCCCAGGGTCACAAAATAACCTGTAATAACTACAGTGACTTGTTGTGAAAACCTCTTTGCAAACAGAGCTGCATTTTGTGTGCTTTAATGAAAGTTAAAAGTACATGATAAGAACAAGCATTTGCAAATGGAGAAAGCTTCTTGTCCGTCCCGATGCACAATGGAATTCACACAAGCTTTATCAGAATGATCCGGTCCCTCATCGGCTTATCGCCACAGGAAGAAACCTCTACACTGATTACTTCAAAATAGGTAACTCAAGGTATGAAGGAGAGAGGAACAAGGCGTGTTAGGAGGGTCGAAAGAACAGGACATTCCATGCAAGATCACTTCATCCACATGGGGGAAACAGTTACATCAAAGGAGATGGTCAATCACTGTCTAATAACTAAACCCACTCACAAACTGCATCTTTAACTTACTCAAACATCCTCCCAAATACCTTCCTGCCATAAAACAAAGCCCTCTAAATCATTTATTAACCATCACAATCCACCCACTATGCTTAAACCATGTTCAAGTCATTTTTTCACCATTACACTTTACTTTACTTTGGATGTGATGGTGGGAAGACCATCAATAGGATTTCTACTTCTAGTTGACATTGATGCAATGTAGTCGCAGAATTGTAAGACCCATGACACGCTGAAGGGATTCTAGATAGCCCTACTCTACTCTATTTTACTCTACTCAGCTTTAGTCTTCTCGAATTTACTTGACATAGCTGTACTTTAATCTTTCCACTGGCCCACTTTTGAAAATACCAGGTAGTTTTTTGTGCCGACTTGGTTCCATCCAGGCTGAGCTGCTATTAAAGTGTTCAGAGATTGCCAACAACTCGGCAACGGAAAAAGCAGAAAAAAATTAGAATTGGAACATGCATGAAATTTTAAATGTAAAAAAGGAAAAATCCAATTTGTGTAATTACACAGTAATGACAAAATGAGACTCAAGTGTCAGAAAACATGACCCCCGCTCCTACTGCCTCAATGCTCAATTCAGAAACAGTTTAAAGAATCTGCAGCTTTTTGTTTTGGGATTTTCTCCAAATGTAATTTCCAACTTCTACCAATAAATGTCAGTATAGTTTCTCTCCATTATACATGGCTTTCCATATTATTGTCAAACTTTACAAAGTTTGCCAACAACAGATAAGAGAATCAAACAGTTAGAAAACAGGAAATGGCAAACACATTGTTCCATCGGGAGCGGGATGACCAATGTTGTCGAAAAATGTTAACAATGCAATGTCCAGACCCTTCTTTATCGGCAAGGAACCACTTTTAAAATAATTATGGAAAAACCCTTATGGTGGCCCATTTTAAGAGAGACATCCTCTCCTACAGATGGACGGGCTGTAGAACCAGGACTGAGGCTGTAGCTCCAGGACTGAGGCTGTAGAACCAGGACTGAGGCTGTGGAACCAGGACTGAGGCTGTAGAACCAGGACTGAGGCTGTAGATCCAGGACTGAGGCTGTAGAACGAGGACTGAGGCTGTAGATCCAGGACTGAGGCTGTAGAACCAGGACTTAGGCTGTAGATCCAGGACTGAGGCTGTAGACCCAGGACTGAGGCTGTAGAACCAGGACTTAGGCTGAAGATCCAGGACTGAGGCTGTAGCTCCAGGACTGAGGCTGTAGAACCTAAACATGCCCAGTGAATGTGCCATAAGGAAACTGCAATATTGTCTTTGTGCTCCAAACATTGACCAAGCCACCAATCATATTTTATTGTCACTGAACATCACTGAACTGAAAAAGACTCTTCAGATACAAATGGTTTAGTGTTTTCGGCAAAAGTCTCTTGATTGTGTTTAAAGGCCAGAATGAACACAAAGAATGCGCGCTATGTACTCCAGATAGTGTCCGCCTCACACAGTCACACCTGCAGGGAACAAAGACACATTCAAGTCATGTTTCACAAGGCTGCATACCTGTCAGCACTCACTCACTCACACACACACACACACACAAAAACAAGTCTTCAAAAGTGTCCTCAGAAGAGCACACACAATCAGCCTTCACAACCAATATTTCAATTTTGCATTAAATTAAAATATTGAGAATCAAAAACATCCCTCGTTATTTGTTTTTTCAATGTTGGTTTTATTTAGAAAATCAAAAGAACGAATGATACACGGATTCACTTCAACCATGCAATGGCACAAATGTAGTTTTCTGGATGATGATGATGGATAAAATATGCATGCCCAGCTCTACAGGATCAGTAGATACAGACGAGAAAAACTATTCATAGGCAAGGCAAGGCAAGGCAAGGCAAGTTTGTTTGTATAGCACAATTCTTACGCAAGGCAATTCAAAGTGCTGAACAAAACAAGAAAGCATTTAAATCATAAATAATCACAGTACATTAAAAAGAAAGATAAAAATATAAAATCCCTCAGTTGTATGCACAGCTAAACAGAACTGTTTTTAACCTGGTTTTAAACATTGTCAGAGAGGAGGCCTGTCTCACATCTTCAGGAAGATTTGCAGCATGAATCTGAAAAGCAGCCTCCCCATGTTTAGTTCTGACTCTGGGCTCTAACAGGAGTCCAGTCCCTGTGCTCCTCAGTGTCCGGGCTGGTTCGTATGGTACTAACATGTCACTAATATATTTTGGTGCAAGGCCATAGAGAGACTTGTACACAAGCAGAGCTGTTTTAAAGTCTATTCTCTGAGCCACAGGAAGCCAGTGCAGAGACTTGAGGACCGGACTAATGTGGTCGTACTTCCTGGTTCTAGTCAGGACTCGAGCTGCTGCATTTTGAATGTACTGCAGCTGTTTTACAGCCTGTTTGGACAGACCTGTGAGCAGGCCATTGCAGTAGTCTAACCTACTGGAGACAAATGCATGGATAAGAATGGTAGAAAGCTGCTGATGTTACTGATTTGATGTGGCTATTAAAATTAAAGTCTGAGTCCAGTATTACCTCTAGATTTCTGACCTTGTTTGAAGGTTTTAGGGAGAGAGACTGTAGGTGACAGATGACGCTCTCTCTTTGTTTCTGGGGACCAAAGAACAATCATTTCAGTTTTGTCTGCGTTTAGCTGAAGGAAGTTGTTTTGCATCCACTCACTGATCTGTTGGATACAGTGAAGGAGTGAGTCCACTGGTCCATGTTCTCCTGCAGTCAGTGAGACATAGATCTGAGTGTCGTCTGCATAATTGTGATAGGACACTTTGTTTCTGCGTATTAACTGACCTAACGGCAGCATGTAGAGATTGAACAGAAGAGGTCCCAGGATCGACCCCTGTGGTACTCCACAGGTCAGGGCCATATGATCTGAGACACAGTTTCCAATCTCCACAAAGTACTTCCTGTCTTTAAGGTAAGACCTAAACCAACTTAGGGCGGTGCCAGCGACGCCAACCCAGTCCTCTAGTCTCTGTAAGATCTCATGGTCGACGGTGTCAAAGGCAGCACTCAGATCTAACAAGATTAAGATTGAGACTTTGCCTGCGTCAGTGTTCAGCCGGATATTGTTTGTAACCTTGACGAGAGCAGTCTCAGTGCTGTGGTGGGGTCTAAAGCCGGACTGAAACATATCAAATGAATTGTTGATTATAAGAAATCTAGTAAGCTGTAGGTAGACAACTTTTTCAAGGACTTTCCCCATAAATGGCAGATTTGAGATGGGACGATAGTTGTTAAGTACAGTGGCATCCAGACTGCTCTTTTTTAGCAGGGGCCTGATGACTGCCGTTTTCAGGGCCTTTGGGAATATTCCAGAATGAAGGGACATGTTTACTATCTGTGTGAGTGAAGGTAACATACCCTATTCATTTTTGGCAATCTGGCACATACTGAGGAACGATACAAATTGGTTTTTGAGGGCCTAGGTGGTTGTGCATAGTATTTGGATGTGTGTAGTGTGTTCAGGTGTATGTTACATGAGTCAGGACTGAGGCTGTAGATCCAGAACTGAGGCTGTAGATCTGGTTTTGGCCTGGTTTATTACATGGAATATTGGTAACATCCAGCTGGTATAATCACGCGAGACAAACGTGTTCCTCCTGACCCTGTGTGTCCAGGTCCTGTACAATGCTGCAGTGGTCTACTCTCGGATGGGACAGTGGGACCAGGCCCTGGAGGTGCTGGAGACCGTGTCCAAGGAGAGGACTGAAGGGAAGGGGCCCAATGTGGAGAGGGCAATGGGCAATGTGAAGGTATACATTCACACCTCTCCTCTTCAGACCTAGAAACCCACAGACACAATACAATTTACATATGCTATACATTGTGTTTACAAGCAGACTTTTTTTTTATAGAGACATAATGAGGGGAGGAGTAGGGGGTGGAGCAAAGATGAGGAGTGTCTCTGTGTGTGTGTGTGTGTGGTGAACATCTGTGTGTGTGAGCAAATTAGCCACGGCTGTAAATGTTGTCGTGTTTCACATGTGGATTGTGCACACTTGTGCCTACCAAATAAAAATAAAACTCCCACTCTCTGATAATTTCTGGTGTATGTGATGTGACAGAAAGGAGAGGTTCTGGCCCCACTGCTGATCCCTGAGGGGGTGGTGTTTCGTCCAAACAAACGAGAGGTGGACCAGCTCAAAGAAAGAGACTTCTTGGGAAAGGCTAAGGTACAAATTATTCAAGAACATTTAAACTGTATAAACATAATTCAATCTGGAGAGACTCCAACAAACAAAACAAGGGATTTATAACAATTGTATATTGGTTGGCACTACATAAATTAGTACATATGACTCTGAAGACAATATTTGCGAGATTACATTATTATTATCGACAGCTGAAAGTGATCACTCGGAAAAGGGGGAAGGCGCTTCTAAGCTCTTGCTTTGGCCTGCTCCTTTTGAATTTTTTATAACAGTGTAATCATGTAAGGATGCAAACTAAATTGCTCAAATGAATAAATAAATAAACCTAACAAAATTTGGTGCTTAGACCCCGGCAGAGCACAGCATGATGATTGCAGAAGAAGAAATCAAGATACAGATTATGAGCTGAAATCTAGCAGAAGGGTGAAGTCCAGCCGACGACGCGGAGATGGGGAGGAGGAGAGTTGCAATATGAATGAAAGCTGCTGCTTGTGTGAAGCTTTCTTGCAATACGAAACTTGATGCAAGGCGATGCTTGGTTGCTTCCAGGTGAGCGTTGGCAGTGTAGCAGCTGAGTATGATCGACTGATACTGTTGGCGTAAAGCTACAGCTGGAGGACTTTGAGCGCAGTGATCTTAGTTCTTCTTCCTCTCTTCCAGTCTGAATTAGTGCCTTAGCTCAACAGTACTGATAGAATCTGGAATAGGGAGCTCCCCGTTTGGTAGGAGTGGATGTGTGAAAAGGAATATTTACTCAGAAAGACATGGAACATAAACAGCGTGAGCCAAAGTCTCCTCAACCTTTCTCTGAGAAACAGTCTGTGAAGAACAGTTGTCACATTTGGCTTCATGACCAGCGGAGGATTTAGAAGCATGAGTAGCCCCTGGAGCTGATTTTACCAGTTAGGTCCATTTTGTTAGTATCACTTATGGCTTTGTTTCCTCCGACAGTCGCTTTCTGATAAGCACAGCGAATTCACACCTGAGTCTGAACCGGAGTTCACTTTGGGACTCAGTGCTTCTCAAGTATCTTCTTCCCTTACATCTTTAGATCAGCTCAGTAGTTACACTCCCAGCCAAAAAAATTTAAATTGTGGGCCCCCGAGCATTCCGTTTTTGCGGTATGTACTGGAACAGGATTCCACATCCTCTTTCTCTGCTCCGTTCTGACTGTGGGGGAAATGATGGCGTCCTTGAATGTCTGCGGGTCCAGATCCTGCATGTGCGCTCCAAAGCTCTGCTCCCTTAGAAACAGACCTGGGTTATGGGAGGCTAAGGACGTTTCCATATCCTCCCTGAGTCTCCTCCTGAAGCTCATCCAAAACTTACAATATTAACTAACAGTAATGACAAAAGGCCATCCTCATCTCATTACATGCAATTAGAAACAATAGTCATTTGCATACTTTTAAGAATGAGCCCTGTGAGTCACAGGACCACTTTTTACCTGAATCTTTCAACTTTTGTAGGTCATTCACTCTATGATCCCCAATGACGACTTTGGAGGATTTGAACCTTTAAGATTACAGGTAAGAAAACACACAGACAGTATTATTTATAAAAGATATAAAAGACAATTTAAGGGAATATTTTCTCTTTAAATAGAAACCTGGATTTTATGAACCAAAGGGTCAAGGCGCTCCGTAAGTATCTCCTTTCATTCACTGTATTGCGCAAACTTCCAGGCAACACAACAACATGTAGCTTGGGTTCGATCAAAGTATAGTATAAAGTATGTCTTCTTCGAAAAAAAGAATCACATTTTATTTTTCCCTCGACGGGTTCAGTGAATGCGCATATGAAGCTGGTGGAGTTCGGTACCTCAAACAAGGTTAAGAACCACTGATGTAAATGGACCCAGGAAAAAACTTCTTTGGAAAGGGAAAGATGAATTCGTAAGGGACTTTGAAGAGGGCTGTTGATCATCTTTTTCTATCCAGTAACAGTGGGACATACAGTAAGTGATGAATCGGCCCCTGCAATGTTTATTAAAACCTACGTTTTTCAGTGTAGTTTAATATATCTGGAGGGAAAAAGCTACATAAATCCTGGGTTCGGATTTTTTTCTGTCATGCCACAAGTGAACTGAGCGTGCCACTGTAATGACAGGGTGTGACCACAGGGGGCATTTGGGTTTACAGTCCTCCAGCATAGCAGAAACACACAGAGAAAGACACACACACATAGATAGAGACAGATCGACAGACACACAGACATACATACACAAACACACACAGACAGACGCACAGAGATAGACACAGAGAAGAAAGGCATACACACACACCTACACTGACACTGACACAGACACTGACACAGAGAAAAAAGACACACACACTGAAACAGATAGACACAGAGAAAAAAGGCATACACACACACCTACACAGACACTGACACAGAAAAAAAAGGCATACACACACACCTACACAGACACTGACACAGAGATAGACACAGAGAGACAGATAGACACACACTCAGAAACAGCCTGTTTCCCACTGCCTTTCGGCCCCTTAAACAATCCCTCATGTACCTCTCCTATGTTGTTGTGTCATGTTTGTTCTGAGTGTGTCTCCCCTGTGATGTCACTGACACTTTGAGCTGCGATTCGTTTTTCTTCCAAGGAGGCAAATCCCACCAACTTGTCCTGTGGCCTATATGGTAAATGTTTCAGATTCTTTGATATCTTGAGATTTCAGTGTGTCATGTGACTTTGGCAGAGATTCTCGGTACATGCGAGTCAAGGCACCGCACATGTCACGTGGTGCAGGACAGCTCACGGTTCCAGGGGGCGCCATTGTCTTCCTGTTCGGAGAAGAGGACAGAGACGGCATGACTTCTGTTATCTATGATGGCCAGGTGAGACCATAGACTCTAAATATTAAGGTGAGACGCTTGTTTGTACTCTTTGGAACAACTTACCAGATGTATTTCAATTAAGATTCAGTTGAAAAAGTTTATAAAGGGAAGTACGGGGAAGAAAGAGAGTGATGCCCACAGAGCAAAGGAATGGTTGAGAGTCTGGTGAAGGAAAGGAGGTTCTCAGTTACACTTTCTCCTGCTGCTGCTAGTGTTGTGTCTAAACGCTGCAGCTCAAGTACTGACTAGAGCCAGGAAGTACCATCGCGTCAGTCCAGTCCTCAGTAAGTAAGTAAATACATAAGTAAGTAATCTTTATTTATATACCGCATTTCACAGACCGGAGTCACAAAGTGGTTTAGAATTGTTATTTTTGGACATTTGTCCTCTCACTCCACAAAGATGGGAGCGGGGTCGCCAGTATGGGAGGCGCATGCACAGTCCTATTGGTCAGGTCTCGGCACTGGCTTCCTGTGGCTCAGAGAATAGACTTTAAAGCTGCTTTCAGACCGCCAACGCTGGAACGCTGAAGCCTCGCTCACCAGACGCACATTCTCTAGTTTTCAGATGCAGGGGTCTTCAGACCAGAAGTCCTGGCGCGCGCCGGAAGTGGCGGTAGTAGCCGGCTGGCTTTGATGCTAACAGAGTTCAGCTAGCGGCTTCTTGTGTAAAGTTCTTCTCCAATAATGCAGCTTTGCAGAGGGTCTGTGTTCAGAGACCTTCTACAGACTTTATGTAACAGTAGTATGTGTTCACGGAGGTGCGCAATAAGTTTATTTTATTATTAAACGGTACTTCCGCATCGGCGAACACGCTCTAAGCAGTTGCATAAAGTCACATGTTAACAAGCACTATATCCCCCATTGTCAACCCTGGTTTAGTCCTGATGTAGCTCCTGGTTTGGCTGTATTTTCAGTCTGCTCGCTCAGACCGCTAAGGTTCCCGTGACCACTTTGCAGCTCTCTGATTGGTTGCTGCACGAGCGTCCCGAGAAAAGGTTGAGCAATGTTTATCTCCTGCACCTCCCCTTCGACTTTGCCGCGTCTCTACTGAGCAGTCCGTGCGTGCATTCCGAGATGCACGTGCATTTTGACGCTCAAACACGCGTCACCATTGACTTTGCATTGAAAGCCGACGCAACGCATGATCCGGTCTGAACGCGGCATGAAGCAGCTCTGCTTGTGTCCAAGTCTCTCCAAGTACCTTTTTCAATATACATAAGTACAATAGGTATGAATGTAATGAGAGAGTGAATGGATGGTGTTGGTTGGGGGCTTTCATGCTCCAGTGTGTCTGGCGTCTCACTTCCGTCATCCCCGTGTGAAGTGAAGGACACAATATCTGAGCTCTGACCATTGTAAATGACTTTTGGGTGACCTTGGTCTGTAAAAATGTGTTAGATAAATATATTACTTACCGACTTACATTTGTGACATGTTGGTGCCATAGGAACTAACTTGCACTCTGAGAAGCACAGAGACTGGACTCCTGTTGGTGCCCAGAATCAGGACAGCAAGGCAGCATTTAAGTTTAATGCAGCTAAAATCTTTAACAGTCTTTTTAAAAATGAGAGGCTTCTACTCTTAACAATGTTCAAATTCAGGTAAAAAAAATACTTTTGTTTTGATGCAACAACTTAAGGACTCTATCTTCAATCTTTTTTATGGACTGTGATTATATATGATTTTAAATCCGTTTTTAATTATAATTTCTTTGGTTAAGCACTTTGAGTTGCCTTGAGTATGAACTGTATTTTAAAAATATAATATACTTCCCTTGCTTTCATTGTAGGCATGTAGGCTCCAAACCTAAGACGTAGAATGTTATGCAATTGCCAAGTCAGTAACAATTCTACTAAGCAGCATTTCACAGCTAAAGAGAAAAATGAATTGCAACCAAGTTTGCGGTGGCGTATAGAGTCCAAATCATCAGCCCAATATCGATGACCCTGACTGTTCCACCTCTGCTATAACTTTGAAATTGCTTTTCATTGCAGAGAGGACTTGTGCCTGTGTCAGTGCTGGAGCCAGTGGATGTCCGCTCGACCAAAGGCAAAAGAGACAACGTAATGTTGAACTACTTATTGAGTTCAAATGTGTTGTCTGGAGCAAGGAGGGCACAGTGGGAGATTTAGGTGTTCAATTTTCAACTGCAGTTCTCCCCTGTTAGCTCAAATACAATTCCCTGGTGAGAGCTCTACGCCTGCAGGGATTTGTTTGTGATGTATGACGGTTACACAAGGGTCTGCTTTGAGTTTTATTAAATATGTCTACACCTTAAGACTGATACAACCTTATATATTAACATTTTGGGCACTTGAGAATTGGTTTGTCATAATTCACTCACATCTGAGCTGAACATAAATTAAATTATTGTGAATACCCAACTAGTCCAGATATTAACAATTGGTTACAAGTGGCGAGCTAGCCAGGAGTCAAACCTAGAATCTTTTGATATTACCACTAAGCCAGTTAAACTCTTGTTGTAATTTGTTGTTTTGCAGAGAATTCCAAATGGTATCCCTCTTCCCCCTGAACTGCAGCCTCCCACACGGCCTCAGGTCACACCCACCCCGATACCGCCCCCTAGAGGTACAACTGGGACTCTTTTAAAAATCAGGGTTGAGGGTTATTCCCATAATGTTGGTCTTACTCTGGATTTATGGTGAAAAATCTGACCTCATGGACAAAACTTTTCCAGAATGTAATACTAAGCCTTGCCTTTATATTCACTTTTTAACTATATTTTGTCAAATTATGTTCTTCACAACTGTGTTCCTTCAGTTTGATTGCGCTGTGTTAGATTCAGATCTAAACCTACGCAAAACAGGAGGTCATTTCACACTTTTACCACTGGACAGGAGTGTTGCCCATTCTAGTGTGTATAAACCAAGCCCAGGGTTTCCAAAATGTCTGCCCATTTAAATCCATGGACAGATAATATCACACATCCATTGTTGTTTTCTGATCCGATGACCTTTGCCAAGTCCCAATCCACTTCCGTTGCCGTGATACGCATGCATCTTCCTGATGACATAGGATGTCAATAGGCTAAAATCAATCTAAGGAAATACACGGACATTTCGCAAAGTCAATAATCACAAGGAACTGGTGGCTTTTTGCAGCTTTACAGGACATCAAGAAGGTCCTATAAGTTCGATTCCACCTCCAGATAGGGCCTTTCTGTGTGGAGTTGGCATGTTGTCTCTAGGTGCTCCGGTTTTTCCAGGTGAGGAGAAAGAAAGAATATGATATCACACAGACAGAGCAAGCCCCAGATAAACAATACGTGGATTGTTTATCGTGGTTGGAATTAATAATGGCTGGATCTAAGTATGGACACAGATGGTTTCAGGTTCCTATTGTGAGATCTAAGGCGTCGCGCACAAACACTGACGGAAGAGAAAACTAAAACATCTCTGAGTCTGGATTTTCTACGATGCATCAGGCCAAGGATGCTAAAGCTAGGTACTAGCACCACGAGTGCACCACGTCATGAGCTTTTATTAAACCTACACAGACATGGAAAGCGACACTGCAATAACCACAAACCCTATAAACGACATTAGTCGCCTCACATTGGAGTTTCGTGAGAGGGACCGTGCCACTATTGCAGACCTCCGTAAAGAAGTCCTTCGCCTCACTGCAGAGCTGCAGGATAAACAATCACTCGTGTCCAAACTTTTTGATGTCGCTGGCGGGCAGCACTCACGACTTATGTCACTGAGCGCTGCATACTGTGACACTGTCGTGTGGGAGAGGTCTGTCAGCTCTGGACCCTCCTGTTCTACACCTAAGCACCCGGTTCCGAATGAGGAACCCGCGAACTGCGAGGAGCCATCCAGCGCCGTGGCCCATGTCCTAAGCCTGTCAAACCGCTATGCAGCCCTCTCCACTGACATCCCAGCCCCCTCAGCAGAACCTCTGGACTCTGCAGCGTACTCTGCCGTTCGTGGATCTAAGTCCACTGCGAGAAAAACGCTCCTAAAGGAAGCCGTCCTCAGACGAAAGAGTGGTCATTCCCCTTCTCTGACCCCAGTGCATCGCCACCGCTTACCTTCACCGGGTCAGCAGCAGCGACCCGAGCCTGCTCCTCTCGCCGCTCCAGCGTCCCCGAGCACACAGCGTGGGTTGCCCGGAGCTGAGAATCAACACCCCCGCTCCCCTCCATGTGTTCAGCAGCGCCCTGGTTCGGACTCATCCCTGGATGAGCCCGCTGGTTCCGGCCATGGACACCGAGCGCCCTCTCCGCGGCTACGTCCACTCTTCGCCCCGACTACTTTGATTGTTGGAGATTCCATCGTGAGACACGTCCGCTTTTTTAACGCGGTCACTCAGTGTTTTCCCGGAGCCACTGTTCCAGACCTGCTCATCCGTCTCCCTCCTCTGCTTCAGTCCCTGCCTGATACCATTTCAAAGGTAATCGTGCATGTGGGGATCAACGACATGAAGCTGCAGCAGTCCGAGGTCACAAAGAAGCATTTTATGGATCTATTCCGCCTCCTCCAGTCCTCCGGGTTGTGTGTTTTTATCTCTGGTCCAGTCCCGACTGTAAACCGGGGAGACTGCTTGTACAGTCGCGTTGTGGCGCTGAATATGTGGCTCCAGTCTACATGCAGCATTTTTAACTTTGTTTTTGTGAACAACTTTGGCCTGTTCTGGAAGCGTCACGTGGCCTATCGTCCAGACGGTTTGCACCCGAACAGATACGGTACCAGTTTATTGATGGACTTTTTACGCCATGTTGTTCAGTGCTCCCCGAGGGGGGCGTGACTGTTTACATCCGAGGCCTCTCGGCCCCCACTACCACCTTCCTCCTCCACTCCAGCACCGGGTGAGTACTGTGGTGCAAACACTGACCCCTGTCCGTCTGGCAGTGTAATACCAGTCTTGCCACTGAACGGTACTTACTCAGTTATGCATCTGGAACTTAACAAAGTAAAACAGAGTTCACTTTTTAAACCAATAGAGACCTTGTGTGTTCCTCGCACCGGCTCAGAAATGTGTTTTAATTTGAATAAACACAAATATAACAGAAGGACAGCAGTTAGACGGTCCAACTCAGGAAATCTAATTCCAATTCTTTGTAATCAATCAACTAAACCCACTGACACTGATATTATTTTTAACCTTGCTCTGCTTAATGTCAGATCACTATGCAATAAATCCTTTTTAATTAATAATTTTATCTGTTCTTATGATCTTGACTTTATGTTTATGACTGAAACTTGGCTTGACCATAATACAGAAAATGCAGTCTTAATAGAAACAACACCACCAAATTTCAAATTTGAATCAGAAATTCGAGAAAATAAAAGAGGAGGAGGCATAGCAGCAGTTTTTAAAGATTGTATTGTCTCCCATAGAGTACCTCTTGGGAAATTTTCCTCATTTGAGTATGTCTCTTTTAAAATAGAACAAAAACAATCTTCTATTCTTATTATTGTTGTGTACAAGCCGCCACAGTCATGTCATAGTTTCACTGATCATTTCACCGAGTTGCTTTCAGTTGTGTGCACAGACTTTGATAGTTTAGTCGTCATAGGTGATTTTAAAGGCGCTATACCCGTTTCTACAATGTTTGAATGTTTAGCACCGCCCCCCAACTCGCTCACAGGCTTCTCATTTCCCCTACGCTCTCATAACACGGAGCCACCTAGTTTTATTTGCGATCTGATACATATGCTAACATTAGCATTAGCGCAACTTGTAAGCTGTACAACAATCACCGATGAAATGGCACTAAAGCAACGCACTGCTAACACAATATATAAGTAAAAGAATACCATTAGTTTTGCGTCCGGATGTATTAATTTAAACATTAGAATATATTCTAATATTTAATTATAATTTATTATACAGCTCCTCACAGCAGCAGAACACTCCATTGACTTGAATGCAATTCTTCCGATAATTTCTTCTTGATAACAGAACTCTCAATCCAATAATGACCGCAGCCCCAATGCAATCTCGGTTTGTAATTCAGGTGTGTAAAATACTGCCATTACTTTGCAAGTACAACAAGCTATCAGCGCCTGTCACTACATTGTGCAGTTTTTCTGCACACTTGTCTGTGTAGAGAAGCTAGCGGAGCTAGCCACGCTCGATAAACAAATACATATCTATCAATCAACACCATTAAACGTCAATCGGACAATACAGTATACATAGACATCCTTAACACACGTGCACGGACGATTTCAGAATTTGCTGTCAACGTTTTCATGACAAAAATACTGTTTTAAAGTGACAAAAAGTGATCGCGAAAAACCCGGAAGTTACCATGAAACAGCTAGCTAGCTTAGCTGTTACCTGCCTAGCACGTCCCGGTGAAACCTTTGGGAGCTAACTATTTTATTCGCAGTCATTAAATACATTTCTAATTATAAGGGTTGTCTAAAATTTGTTCAAATATGTATATATTTTTTATTTTAGAATTATATTCGAATTTTGAAGTTGAAGCCCTGGTGTTAAGCAGCGCTGTAGAGGCTAGAGGACGCAGGCTGGTCACTGCTCGTTCTGTGAGCGGAGGAGAAAGAGCGGCCCGCTCAGACTCTACTCAGCACTTTTCACTGCTTGAATTTCATACACAGTGGAATCAATGACCTCAAGTTTTCAATTAAATTATGTATTATGATACAACTTGTATGTAGTAAAAAGCATTTTTATGAACTACTTAGAAAAAAAATCGGGTATAGCTTCTTTAATATACATGTAGATAACGTTAATGATAGATACGTGAAAGAGCTGAGCTCTGTGCTGGAAACCTTTGGTCTCACTCAGCATGTGAGTGGCCCCACCCATAGCAGAGGACACACTCTCGATCTGCTAATTACTAAAGGGGTTAATATCTCAAATGTAAATGTGGCCAATGTTGCTCTGTCAGATCATTTCTGTGTATTTTTTGATATGTGTCTCAATAGTAAAGCACGAGCTGAATCCTCAATTGTTAGAAGAAGAAGACACATAAACAAAAGTACAGGAGAACTTTTCATGGGGATGATAAACTTTGATAACACGTTGTGTTCTACTGTGGATGAATTACTTAACTCTGTCACCTCTAGTGTTTTGGATGTTCTGGACACGATTGCTCCTGTAAAGGTCAAAATTGTTACAAATAAGCAAAAGGCGCCATGGACAAAAGCAGACTCTGTCAGGGCACAGAAGAGAGAGTGCCGGAGAGCCGAGCGGAAGTGGCGAAAGTCAAATCTCCAAGTTGACCATGAGATCTTCAAAGATGCATTGTGCAAGTTCAACAGTGTGCTACGTAGAACGAGGGAAACTTATTTTTCCGAAACAATCGAAGGTTGCAGTAACAATCTACGCGTTCTGTTCTCAACAGTAAATAAATTGACAAATCCCCCTGTTAAGATGCCATAAGAGCTTACCTCCAAAACCAAATGTAATGAGTTTGCAGAGTTTTTTAATGACAAAGTCCAAGGCATCAAAAATGCCATCACCTCCACAGTAGAAATTACAATCCAACAGCCAGTGAAGCTTTTTGGGCTGACACACTTTACACCAGTACAAAATGAAACTGTCCGAATGATTATTACAAGTCTGAGTTCTTCTACATGCAGCCTGGATGTATTACCTTCTAGATTTCTTAAATCTGTTCTGAGCAGTCTTTTACCTTCACTCACGCATATAGTAAATATGTCTCTTGAATCTGGAACATTCCCAATGGCCCTGAAAACGGCAGTCATCAGACCCCTCCTAAAAAAGAGGAGTCTGGATGCCTCGGCACTTAAAAGTTATCGGCCCATTTCAAATCTGCCTTTCATGGGTAAAATTCTAGAAAAAGTTGTCTATCAACAACTAACAGAATTTTTAATAATCAATCACTCTTTTGATATGTTCCAGTCTGGTTTTAGACCCCACCACAGCACAGAGACTGCTCTAGTGAAGGTAACGAATGACATCAGACTTAACACTGACGCAGGAAAAGTCTCAGTTCTTATTATCCTGTTAGATTTAAGTGCTGCTTTCGACACTGTCGATCATGGTATCCTCATTCAGAGACTTGAGGACTGGGTTGGTGTTTCTGGTACAGCCCTAAGCTGGTTTATGTCCTACCTACAGGACAGAAAGTATTTTGTGGAGATCGGAAACTGTATCTCAGACCATCTGGCCCTAACCTGCGGAGTGCCACAGGGATCAATCCTGGGGCCTCTCCTGTTTAATATTTACATGCTGCCTCTGGGTAGGTTAATACACAGTAATAACGTGTCCTATCACAATTATGCTGACGATACTCAGGTCTATGTGTCCCTGACAGCAGGAGAACATGGACCAGTGGACTCGCTCCTTCACTGTATCCAACAAATCAGTGATTGGATGCAAAATAACTTTCTCCAGCTAAACACAGAAAAAACTGAAATTATTGTTTTCGGACCTCAAAAACAAAGAGAGAGCGTTATCTGCCACCTCCAGTCTCTCTCCCTAAAACCCTCAACTCAGGTCAGAAATCTAGGAGTAATAATGGACTCAGACTTAAATTTCAATAGCCACATATCATCTGTGACATCATCAGCTTACTTCCACCTAAGAAACATTGCTAAAATTAAAAACATTGTGTCTAAAGCAGACTTGGAGATTCTTATCCACGCATTTGTCTCCAGTCGATTGGACTACTGCAATGGCTTGTTCACAGGTCTCTCTAAACAAGCGGTAAAACAGCTGCAGTACATCCAAAATGCTGCAGCTCGAGTCCTGACTAGAACCAGGAAGTACGACCACATTAGTCCGGTCCTCAGGTCTCTGCACTGGCTTCCTGTGGCTCAGAGAATAGATTTTAAAGCAGCTTTACTTGTGTACAAGTCTGTCCATGGCCTCGCACCAGGGTACATCCGCGACATGTTGGTGCCATATGAACCAACTCGGGCTCTGAGGAGCACAGGGACTGGACTTCTGTTAGTGCCAAGAGTCGGAACTAGACATGGGGAGGCTGCGTTTCAGATTCATGCAGCTAGAGTCTGGAACAGTCTTCCCGAGAGTGTGAGACAGGCGTCTACTCTAGCAGTTTTTAAAACTGAACTGAAAACAGTTCTTTTTAGCTGTGCATACAAGTGAATGATTTTATATTTGTTTTTATCTTTAATCTTTTTAATGCGCTATGATTATTTATGATTATTTATGATTGTAATCCCTTGTGTGATTTTAATGTTTTACGGTTTTTAACTACTTGTGTGATTTTATATATCTTGTGCTCTTAATCTGTCTTTTTATGTTTACTTAAATTCTAATGTTTGATGATTTATGCATGATGTTATATGGGTTGTGAGGCGCTTTGCGTTGCCTTGTGTAGGAAAGGCGCTCTACAAATAAATGTTGATTGACCAAAAAGTGGACGAAGAAAGCTTTGAATACCATACTGCGAGACATCTTTACAAGACTAAATCCATCCCTTTTCCTCCTCTTTATCTGTTGGGCTGCTTGTATCCGTGATCTTGTCCTTTCGGTCATTCCCCAAACCTCATGACCATGTGTTGTATTTGTTTGCTTGTATTTCCCCTATCACTGATCAACATTTTTACAGCTGGCCGTTCAGAACCCTCTCCTCCGCCCTACACCACTGCCCCCAGTTCTCCTCTGCCAGAGCCAGACAGCACAGAGAACCAGGTAACTCACTGTGCTCTTCAATACTTCAACACTGACATCATATTCAAACTTATCAAGGGTTTAGGCGTTTGTTTTTCCAGTACATATTTCTGCTCTTACTCTCTCAAATGGAAGCAGCAACTGTTTGTTTTACTGTAAAGTTATACTGTAGGGAAGTGTGTCCTCTGCATTTGCCCCATCCTTCATTGCCGCTAGGGCCTCTGTCAGTAGCAGTGGTTGAGGTAGTAACAACATCTCCAGATTTTGATGCTCTTGGTCAGGAGCAGAGCTGGAGGATTTATTGTACATGTTGAGATAGGAGCCCCCCGGAGGAAACCTACATATACACAGAAAATATGCAAACTCCAAACAGAAAGAAGAAAAACTTGTGCCTTTATACTTTATACCAAGGGTGTCGCACTCTCTTAAATAAACATATATAATACTGTTCTTTAACTAGAGTCGGCGCCGTCACTTCAGCTTTATCTGATCTATTTATAACAGGTTGGTGACGTCTTGGGTTGAATAAATGCGGTTAGAGGCCTGTGGGTGGTTGTCTGGTACGTTCTGAATAACTCACTGAGACACACAAGGACAAAACATATTCAATGTATTTTCATGTTCTGAGTTTCTGATCACAAGTCACCTCCAAACTCAAATAAAGGAACTGCTGAAAAGCCAAGAAGTGAGAAAGAAAGACATCTCTCAGTTTGTAGGTGGGTGGATAGAAGTGTGGTTTCTACACCAGGCCTGTGTTTAAAGATGAAATAACTATTGAAGTTTGAATCTAAATGTGTCTGAGAACTCAAGGCTAAGCAGTTGTAAGAGAATCAGAGAAACACAGGAAATGCAATACACACTTAGAAGTCATTGATACATAGGAAGCAGGATGACCCATGTCTAGAAATGTTAATACATGTCCATAAATGTCCCGAATCATTGCTATTCTTAGACCCTACCGCATCGGCAAGGAACAAACTAAAAAATAATCTCAATGAGAAACCTCAGGGAGAAAGGGATTTGGCTGTAGATCCCGAACTCAGGCTTCAAATATAAGATAAAATGTATTGAGAAATGTAAAACCAAACTGTTTTGAGTTTTCCGATGTGGATTTTTACTACAGTTACAATACATTTAATTTGAGTTATTGAGGTTTTGAAAGTTCTGCCTCACTCAGACTCAACCTTGCGTGGCTCCCAACTGAATTGAATTTGAGACCACTGATTTATGCTGCTTTTGTCACAGGTTAAAAAGAGTCTGTTGAGGGGGTGTGATCAATAAAAAGGCAGCTGGGGTAAAAAGGGGATAAATATTTTTATAAAATATTTACAAAAGATCCATGAAAAAAAACGATAAAAGCCCAGAGTCACTCGTCCGTCCTCACTGGCCTCCGCTCTTCTCCTCTGTCCCGGGACCGGGCCGCAGTCCTGCCAGCCACTCGTCGACCACGGGTCACCTCCAGGCACCCGCGGGGGAGAGCCGGCACATCCCGGACGCGAGTGGGCCTAGCCGTCATGCACGCGCCTTCTGGGCTATCAACGTGCGCCCCTCGCCGGTGCCGCTCTCCCCGCTGGCCTCAGTCCCCCGTGGTCTCTGCCTGGCGGTGCTCGTCCTTGGCCCGGTCACGTGGCCTCCTCCTCTCGTCTCCGCCCTGTCTGTCTCTCGCTCTCCCGTGCTGCAGTGCCCGCCCCCAATTTAAGACAGTCTTGATTAAAAGCAGGTGTGGGTAATTAGGGGAAGTGTCCAAGGAACTGTGATTAAAATGCATGCAATAAAACCATAAAAACACACAAAACACATCACAAAAATATAAGCAGTTAAATGTCCTTATTAAAAGTTCACTTTCCCACACTTTCACACCAGATCATGCGTTGCGTCGACTTTCAACGCAAAGTCAATGGTGACGCGTGTTTGAGCGTGGAACTGCATGTGCGTCTTGGGATGCACACACGGACTGCGCGGCAGAGGCGTAGGAGCGGAAAATTGAAGCACGCAGGAGATAAATAGTGCTGAGCGCCACCGCAGGCCAGGACTTCTGGTGTGAAACCCCATGCGTCTGAAGAATGTGCACCTGGTGCGCGAGGCATCAGCGTTCCAGCGTCAGCAGTGTGAAAGCATCAGATAGAGGGGTTTCATACTGAAGCCATGACTTGATGTATGGTCCACACTTGTTCTCCTTAGCTCCAGGACTCTGTGTTGAGCTCTGAAGCGGCCTCTGAAGCGGCCTCAGTCCAGGTGAAGGTGCACTTCCTGCAGACGCTGTCGGTGCAGGTTCCCCGGGACTCCACCCACCAGGAGCTGAAGGAGAGCGTCGCACGGGCCCTTGGGCAGGCTCCGACCAACATAGGCCTCAGGTCAGCCCTCCACCTCTATGCCTTTACCTATAATTTCCCCTCCGTGGAACAAAAGGTTCTCTTATCTTATCTTATTATACACATTTTTCTTTCTTATTGTAAAATGTATACTGTATGATCTTTGAAATCATGTGACCTAAGATCTAATGATCATAATGACCCAAGAAATAATCCACTACTACCACTATCACAACCATAGCCTGTATTTAGATGAACAATGCTAACCTGCTAGCTCAACAAAGCCTAATAGGGAAGTTCAACTTCCAACTCGCTCTGGCTCCTATTGACTCACATGTAAAAGTAAACCCCTCTGGCTCAGTAACAGTTTGTGTCACACTCAAAGTAACAAAGTATTTCTCATATTCTCTGTAGATTTTCCTCATCACTACTTTTTCATACAGTTATCATGGTTAGCCTTGCTTCTAAGTTCATTCATTAATTTCTTTCACTGGGACTACCCCCTCTGTCTGCTCATCTGGGTGATTCTAAAAATACTTTTGTCTTTGTTCCAAACTTCCCCCTGGCCCTTCTCTCTGCACGGATCATGTAAGAACTGCCATTAACCGGAGACCAGTGAATCAGCCACCAGCCACAGGGGTCATGGGGGGAGATGGGAGGAAGATGGGAGGAAGATGGGAGGGAGATGGGAGGGAAACAAGAGGAATGAGAGGTCAAAGAAGGCCACACCAGCCAGAGGGCCACATGCTAAACAAACACTAAACTCCATTACAGAGCACAAAGCAGATAAAGCCAGTGGGAAATAGCAGCATTGTGATGAAGGGAAAGGAAAGAGTCCAGCCACAAGATATGCCAATCTAAAGGACTGTTAGGGGATGACGGAACCATGGATGTATGATATCATGTGGATGGTATGTGGCTGCCTAAACCCGTCTCCACATGAACTTGAGGCCACCCACGATACTGCATCAGTGTTCACTAAAACAGCTCGTCTTCAGCTGACAGGGAACCTACGGCTTTCACAAATGAGTGATGTGGGGATTTTCTTGTCATCATTAACCTTTTTTATTTTGAAATCCTCATCTTTTCTTTTAGTCTGACTGATGTAAAACTATAAATGCCAAATGTCAAAAAGTGTATTTATTTATAAGCCTCTACCAAATGGTTTCGATGCAGCTTGATGGCCAAATGGTTGAGGAAACAGTTAAAATAAAGGATAAAAGCTTAGGAATAAGACGAAAAATTTAAAGAAAGCTAGTACTGCCTAGTTGCCAAACGTTTTGGCGATATATACTTCCGCCTTTGTTAGAGGTGACACACAGACCATCAACAGAGATGAGGGGGCTTTCACCTTGGCTCACACTTGGGATTCACTTCTCCAGAGACCACAGCACTGCAGGAGGCGCGCTCAGTCTGACAGACCTGTGAGATCTGTCAGACTGGCCGGAACCGGCAACAACAGCTGATAAGAGACACGTCACCCCATGTGGTAATTAAGCAGTACTAACTTTCTTTACATTTTTTGTCTTATTAAAAACACTTCCTAAGCCTTACTGATAGTAATACCACCATGTACCCCTTCTTACAGTGTATAATAATTCATTTTACTTCAAATATTGAAACATTTATGATATTCAAATATGCTTTACATGGCATTTGACAAACCGACGTACGTACGTATACACACACACACACACACACACACACACATTAGACTCATGCTTAGTGCTGTGTCTTGTGTTCTGTCCCAGGTGGAGATCTCATGGCTCTCGAGTTCTGCTGCCTCTGGACCAGGACTGTGGCTCTCCTCTGCTTCAGCTGGAGGAGTCTGGGAAAGTCCATCTGTGGTGCCAGGTTTGACATCTTATTCAGTCTAGTGTAAACTTCAGGGTTACAAACTGTTCACCGACCTCCTCCTGGTGGTTCATAGTTCTTGTTCCCGTAGAGAGCAGGAACTGGGGACCACTTTTGCCTTCTGTGGTGCTTTTTACAAAATGCCTGCAGGAAAATGTCCAAAACGCACATGCACATGCGTTAGCCGGCACCAGCCCCATTTATTAACGAGTACCTTCTGAAGTCCACAGCGGCTGAACTAGACTGGTCCAAAAAAAATTATCTCCTCAGCATTGACACACAGCCGCCTTTTGGAGCATTCAGTAAAGCCGTTTTCAAGAGGAAACAAGACGTCATACAAAAGCATTGGGTAATTCTTATTCCTGGTACACCCCCACCGGGCCGGGGTGAGATTGCATTATGTCAGCGGTCGTGCTCATGGACTTTTTGGAGCCGTGGGTCGCCCCCACTAGCTGAGAGACACTGTCCCTCCAACGTGCCCTGGTCTTCCCTGGGGTCTGATCCACCTCATGTGAACATTACCCAAAGCTCATGACCAGAGGGCAGGGCACCATTTTCCAGTCGAGCCATTTATCTAAGCGCTTAAAAATAAAACACATATTGCACGTGTGGCCCTAATGCATATTTTGTCTCTTTCTTCTTCTCATTGTGTTACACAACTCACTGAACTGTGTTTTTTACCGTCCTGGTAGAAAGAGGATCCCCTGCAGAACCGTACCATCCTGTACCAGATGGTGGCGCTCTATGACTACACTGCCCAGGGCCCCGAAGACCTGGAGTTCAGTGAGGGAGACACCATAGACATCCTGGGGGAAGGTGAGACGCCAGCCTCAGATTACACACACACACACCCACACATACATGTTTTTGCTACATGGTGAGGACCAAATTTTTTGGTGTGTTTAGGACCTACCGCGTGGGGTCCTCACTTTGAACAAGAATTTAAGGCATGTCTTAAGTCATAAAAAAATGATATAAAGACAGATAATTTTTTTGGACTGTGGTCTTCCTGAAATCATGTTAATCATCACAATTCATTTTTATTTTTTTTGTCCGATTTTTCTATTCTCCTGGGGACCTCATACCATAAACCACCAGCGGGTGTCACTATTAAAAAAACCTTGTTTTAGTGATGCCTAGTGGGGACCTTTCTTCACACATGAACAGAACTATTACAAATGTATATGAAAGCTTTTCATTTTGATGAAAAGATCCTGCTGAAGAAGGTAAACATTAATAACATTCATAAGTAAGCTGAATTTTAAGAAAGATGGGTATCATATTTTTATTAACTTCGTATTGAATTGAGTGTATCTCCATCTTGACTATTTACTGTAATTATGTATTGATTAATGATCTGTGCACCTAAGACTAATAAACAAAGTTTAAATAATATATCTTTTTTATTATTATTCTTAGCAACATGTGCATATTATTTTCTGCATAATCATGAAATTATGTTGAATTGATAGTATCACTATGAACTAAAACTAATGAGGTATAAGATTCAGCCCACTGCTTAATGCACATTTTGGTGCATGAATGAGAGCATGGATGAGTGGATCCTTGATTTAAGCGCTTTGAGTGTCTAACAAAGGTAGAAAAGTGTTATATAGATGTAACCATTCTCTTTTATTAACTTGTTTTCTGAAAATACCACAAGATGTATGGAAAACAAATCACAACATCTGTAAACTGCACAGCAAACTAGGCAAGGAGAGAGGAGAGGAGACAAGGAGAGAGGAGAGGTGACAAGGAGAGAGGAGGAGACAAGGAGAGAGGAGGAGACAAGGAGAGGAGGAGACAAGGAGAGAGGAGAGAAAACAAGGAGAGTCAACAAGGAGGAGACAAGGAGAGAGGAGAGAAAACAAGGAGAGAGGAGAGGTGACAAGGAGAGAGGAGGAGACAAGGAGAGGAGGAGAAAGGAGAGAGGAGAGAAAACAAGGAGAGTCAACAAGGAGGAGACAAGGAGAGAGGAGAGAAAACAAGGAGAGAGGAGAGGTGACAAGGAGAGAGGAGGAGACAAGGAGAGAGGAGGAGACAAGGAGAGAGGAGGAGACAAGGAGAGAGGAGGAGACAAGGAGAGGAGGAGACAAGGAGAGAGGAGAGAAAACAAGGAGAGTCAACAAGGAGGAGACAAGGAGAGAGGAGAGAAAACAAGGAGAGAGGAGAGGTGACAAGGAGAGAGGAGGAGACAAGGAGAGGAGGAGACAAGGAGAGAGGAGAGAAAACAAGGAGAGTCAACAAGGAGGAGACAAGGAGAGAGGAGAGAAAACAAGGAGAGAGGAGAGGTGACAAGGAGAGAGGAGGAGACAAGGAGAGAGGAGGAGACAAGGAGAGAGGAGGAGACAAGGAGAGAGGAGGAGACAAGGAGAGGAGAGGTGACAAGGAGAGAGGAGGAGACAAGGAGAGAGGAGGAGACAAGGAGAGAGGAGGAGACAAGGAGAGAGGAGGAGACAAGGAGAGAGGAGAGGTGACAAGGAGAGGAGAGGAGACAAGGAGAGGAGAGGAGACAAGGAGAGAGGAGAGGTGACAAGGAGAGAGGAGGAGACATGGAGAGAGGAGAGGTGACAAGGAGAGGAGCGGAGACAAGGAGAGAGGAGGAGACAAGGAGAGAGGAGAGGTGACAAGGAGAGAGGAGGAGACATGGAGAGAGGAGAGGTGACAAGGAGAGGAGCGGAGACAAGGAGAGAGGAGGAGACAAGGAGAGAGGAGAGGTGACAAGGAGAGAGGAGAGGTGACAAGGAGAGGAGGGACAAGGAGAGAGGAGAGGTGACAAGGAGAGAGGAGGAGACAGGAGAGAGGAGGAGACAAGGAGAGAGGAGAGGTGACAAGGAGAGAGGAGAGGTGACAAGGAGAGAGGAGAGGTGACAAGGAGAGGAGAGGAGACATGGAGAGAGGAGAGCAGACAAGGAGAAAGGAGAGTGTTTGTTATGCTAATGCTAATTAGCATTAGCATTAGCATTAGTAGTAGACTAGTAGTAGTAGTAGTAGTAGTAGTGATAGTAGCAGTATCAGTAGCATTAGCATTAGCAGTAGACTACTAAAAAAACAGAAATTCCTTCTTAGTCATTTTCAAATACATTTAGAGTCCACTGACCACTGGATCTCTAATTTTACAATAATAATATAAATGGCATCAGCAGGATTCGAACCCGCGAGCATTGGATCACCATCCCTTCACCTTAACCACTCTACCAACAGCGGACCCACATTATGTTGGATATTGACTCGGGGGTCATGATTAGGATTTAAGGGAATCTGTTCCGAAGGTCGCACAGGCACAAACCACACCTCTACGGAATCGGCTCGGCCAGCTGAACGCAACGGTGTAAAGCTTTTGACCCTGCAATGTTCAGCCGCGGCGCTAGGGGGCGACGAATTTTTTAAAAAATGCGCCTCGTTAAGTCTAATTACTCGGCCAAACGAGGTCGTACAACGATAACGGAGGTGTCCTTGGAAAGCCCTAGATGTGACGAGTCACATATATGAGCTGCAGCAAGGTGGCGCTGTCCTCCAACCAAAATCAGGACTTTCCTGGATTTTCCTGGCCACCGAGACCCTCCTCTTTTAAAAAGCGGGTGGCCGAGCCAGTTGAAACTTTGGATTAATGTTCAGCCTGTACGTAGAAGGGTGCGTACCAAGTTTCGACTAGTTTGGATGAAATTTGAACTTTTAACAAGCCTCCAAGCACTTTTTGGGCCTTCAAAAGCCTAACCTTAAAGGGGAGGTGTACCAACATTTCAACTTTGGACTACCAGCCTCATTTTTGACTATGTTACACAGCAGGCTATTCTGAGCTCGAATATGTAGGCGCCCGCTCAAACCGACCAATAGGAAGCAAAGTAGCCAACCGAGTGTCCGAGTGGGTTGAAACTTTAGATTCTCGGTCGGACGGGGTTGAAATGGGCGTGTGCCGAATTTGGACTCGTTTCCATTAAATTTGAAGCCGTGATGAGCTTAATTAGCGTGAGATTTTTTACCGAACGAAGGCCCGCCCACCGAGAACCGTAAGGCCCCCGGAGTCTACCCTACACCGTTGGACTCGTCTCGTGGCCCTCTACCACATATCCAAAATTCAGGCGTCTAACCCCTTCGGAAGTCCGAGTGACCGTTTTTGGACCAGAAGCTAAAGACGGTCTCAGGACCGTATACCCTTACCCTACCCTAAAAAGCTAGGCGATCAAAGGCCAAAACCTGTTCCGAAGGTCGCACAGGCACAAATCAGACCTCTACGGAACCGGCTCGGCCAGCCGAACGCAACGGTGTACGGCTTTTGTCCCTGCCATGTTCCACCGCGGAGCTAGGGGGCGACAACCGTTTGAAACCGCTCCCCTCGTTAAGTGTTATAACTCGGCCAAACGAGGTCGTAGAGCGATGATAGAGGTATTGTTGGAAAGCCCTTCATGTGACGAGTCACATATATGAGCTGCAGCAAGGTCCGCCAAAATTCAAAATTCATTCACCGATTGTAGGGCCGTTTCAAAAGATACAAAGTTATTAGTATTTTCCCAGGTATCGCAACGACACAGGCTATGACCTGTCGAAATTGTAGAGCTCTAGCAGCAACTTTGCGCAAAAGTGTGGGAATTAGAACTGGCCCCTATTTTTCCCGCTATCCCAGCGACACAGGCTATGACCTGTCCAAATGGTAGAGCTCTAGATCTAACTTTGCGCAAAACTTGGGAATAAGAACTTGCCCTTCATTGAGCGTGTCCAGCTGGTGTCAGAGACACCGCTGTGTGAGTGGAGACCCAAAAACCCATTAAGTTAGCATTAGCATTAGCATTAGCATCACCATTGACATCACCATTAACATTAGCTTTAACATTAACATTAGCATTAGCATTAGCATTAGCATTAGCATCACCCTTTGACATCACCATTAACATTAGCTTTAACATTAACATTAGCATTAGCATTAGCATTAGCATCACCATTGACATCACCATTAACATTAGCTTTAACACTAACATTAGCATTAGCATTAGCATTAGCATTAGCATCACCATTGGCATCACCATTGACATCACCATTAACATTAGCATTAGCATTAGCATCACCATTGGCATCACCATTGGCATCACCATTGACATCACCATTAACATTAGCTTTAACATAACAATTAACGTTAGCATTAGCATTGGCATCACCATTAGCATTAGCATTAGCATCACCAGTAGACCAATAGTAGTAGTAGTAGTAGTGTAGTAGTAGTAATAGTAGCATTAGCGTGGACATTAGCATGGTTAGCATCTTTATCGGTAATATTGAATAACATATAAATGTGGAAGCTCCCTTATACTTCCAGATTTAATGGACGTACATATAAATCTGGAAGAAAAACTTGGAAGTAAGCGATTTCAATGCAAAGTCAATGGGAAAATCAGGATGATGAATTCAGGAGTAAAAAGTGCCTCTACTCAGCACTTTTTACTCCTGAATTCATCACATCTGAATCAATGAGCTCACGTTTTACATTCAATTACGTATTATAATACAACTTGAATGTAGTAACTTGGCGTGACGCTCGCTCTCCTCCAATCACACAACGAGGCTGCGTTAGCCTCTATAGCGCTAACACAGAGGCATGTTAGCATAGGTGGCTATAACTCCTCTGGCAGTAACTGCAGACACAGCAAAACAGCCCAAACCACACAACAGTGAGGAAGAGAAGAGGAACTAAAGCTCGAATATCTACGCTCGGACTATCTCTGTTCAAACTACGTTTGGACGGGAAACTAGCGGTAATCTTTCAGTGATATATTTTGTTACTTTTGTACCATTTTATTAGTGATTATTGTACAGCTTACAAGAACTTGCGCTCATGCTAATGTTAGCATACATACCAGATCGCAAATAAAACTAGACTGAGAGAGCGTAAGGGAAATGAGAAGCCTGTGAGCAAGTTGGGGGTGGTCCTAAACATTAAAACCTTGCAGAAACGCGTATAGTTCCTTTAATTCACCTGTTCCTCCAGCTCTAGGAGGCAACTTCTGTTGTGTGATTTTGGACTATTCAAAACCATTGATTGATTGAAAACTAAAAATGCAAGGAATCATGACAAACTGTGATTAACAAATCTTACAAATTCTTGAACAATAAAACCCAAAAATACCACTTTAGATCATTGCAAATAGTATTGATACAGGTACATAATTTTTTTATTCATTGTTACAGCTTTAGTTGAATGGAAGACCAAATTAGATTTTGGATTTTGGATTTCGATTTAACTGCCTTAGGATACCCGTGTCTATTTCCTTCCTTTTTACTGCCCATTCAGCATCTTCAGTAGTTTGTTAACCTGTTCACTCACAGTGGCACTAAAAGAACAACTCAGAATCTGATTGTCATCCGTTGACCATGACTACACCACTGGTTTGGTCATTGGTGGGAGCCCCAAACACGTCTTTACTCCAGGCGGTGTCTGGGTCATCTTCCGGATGGCTCTGTAGATGTTGGACACAGAAACCTGAGTCCTCCTTGTCGATTTGGCTTTCTAAACCTCTTCCTCATGTCCCTGCTGCCCTTTGCTGTGTTTTGATCCTCCAGCCAGCAGTGTTCATTGTGTCCATTAAAATACTTTATCAAAACTTTAGTAAATATAATTTGTAGGTGACTAAAATTAGACTAAAAATAGTTTTTGAGTAGAAAGCTGTGACTAAAATGTCCAGATGATTTTATCTCCTTAAATGTAACTAAATACAAACATGGGAGGAGAAACAAGAAGCAGAGGAATGTGATTAAATGTAATTATAATGAATTATTATCATTATTATGTTATGGAACATAGTCATCTAAATTTACGTACAATTTCAAGTCAACTAAAACTAGATTTACTTGATGTCTCTTGACATAACTGGGTTTTCACCATCCACACCTGCGTCCAGTTATTTGATCTACGATGTTTGTGTTTAGTCATGACTGAGAACCTACATTGTTTCATATAGATGCATATGTTTATTGAAATTGTGGACTCTTGATAGTGCAATTAATATTGCTGGACTACTGACATTAGTACATTTAAGTTTTCCAATTATATAGCGACACAATTGCTCCATAATAATTCAGTGTACTTCTATATTCATCGGTTAAAGAATATGTCAATATGTCGAATATTGCTTTTAAAATGCTAGTTTTCATTGTTGATTTGTTTAATTTTGTAATTATTATAAAATATGCTGAAAATTGGGGGTTCAAAAGTTTTATTATCATTATAATTATGTTTAGTAACATCATCATCATTGTTATAATAATCATTCTTATCATAGATGTTATAATTAAATCCTGTGTATTTTTGGTGAAACAAAGTGCCTGTAGAGTGAACACACGCAACAAAAACAACAAAACTTGGTGGGGACTGCAATACTTATATTGACCTTTAGGGGCCGATACTGAGTCCACACACACAACAAGAACACCTAACCTGGTGAGGACTGCAATAATGTGTGTGACCTCCAGGGGCGCAGGGAAATATACACACCTGACATTTTGTCATGAAAATGGGCCCAAAGGGGACTTGTTAGAAAATACCTCCAGGCACCATTAGAGGGTGTTGTGAAGCCTGTAATGGTGCTTTGCCCGTGGGGACCTCATTTTTGGTCCCCACGGGGACACAGGTCCCCACTAGTCTGTGTGCAGTCAGGTTGAGGTCCCCACGATGTAGCAAAAACAAACGCACACACACACACACACACACACACACACACACACACACACTGGCAGCTATTTCTAAATTTCCACATTATTCAAAACACTAAATATTTAATAAAGAATAGTTGTGTGGCAATTAAGATTAAGAGATCCTTTATTAGTCCCACAGTAGGGAGCAACATGAAGGTCTGGGACACAGTGACAGTAAAGTGACAGTAACACGTGTGATTTCATTTTGCACATTCTGACATTATCAAAGTGAAGAAAAGTGCCAGTTAATCAAGTTAATCAAATTAATCAATTACAAAAAGCATTGATTACATTTTTTGTTGGATTGATTAATTAATTAAATTCATTTTGGTAGAGGCAACGCAACTTTCTCCATTTAGCACAGTTCATACACAAGGAAGCTCTAAGTGCTTAACAAAACAAGATAGAAACCGTCATACAAACCTTTAAAATCAAAAATAATCATAAAGAGTGACGATTCAGTCCTTACAGGCACAGCTAAACAGAACTGTTTTTGGCCTGGATTTGAACAGGAGAGGAGAAGTCAGAGGAGAAGCCTGTCTCACAGTTTCAGGAAAACTGTTCCAGATTTTAGCTGCATACATCTGCCTCCTGACTCTGGGCACCTGCAGGAGGCCAGTCCCTACACCTGAGTTTATTCAAATGGCACTAATATGTCATGGGCCCTAAATATCCTTATCACAGTCGTCTCTGAGGACTTTACAAAGTTGTGGATTCCTTAACAACAGATCAGTGAATCAAACACAAATATCTCAAACACAGGAAATGCACAAATAACAGAAACTACGTCAATCCCCAGCTTCCGAGCGTTCGTAAACTTTGTAAATAAGGCTCAGGACATGGAGTACATAGTGGCTGTGGTGGTTTGTTTTCATCCTGAGATTATCTTAAGTGGTGTTTATAGGGAGACGCTGAAACAGTAAAACGTCAGAATTTTACGTTTCGTTTACATGAAGACGGTGTTTCAGTTGAAAACTCAAGCATTGAGAAGCAGCCTCCAGAACAGCACACATCTTTTTCTTCACAGTCGCAGGAAGATGAAGGTGTTAATTCTCTGCCTGCTATGACCTCCACTTCCCCGCACGTACATTTGGAAACAACAATGGCGGCGGGTTCACTAACTAGCTAAGTATGCTTTGCGCGTTACGTAAGGAGAATTTCTCTTCTACGTCTGTCCAAACGAAACCATGCACAGTTGCAGTTTCAGTTTGTTCTCAGCTGCTGCTCATGTCCAAATGTACGAGTGGGGAAAAGAAGATCATAGCACGCAGAGAATTCTCACCTTTTTCTTCATGTGGGTGTGAAAGAGTCCCCACTAAGCAGCGTATCTGTTCTGTTCCACTCTGGAGGCTGTTTCTCAACTCATACGTTTTCACCCTCCTGAAACACCGTCTCCATGTAAACAGGAGGCCAAACCGATACCCAACTCAAACGTTTTACTGTTGCAGCTTCTCCGTCTAAACGGGGCCTTACTCGCTCACTGAGACTGCTGTGTAGGTTCTGAAGGCTGAGGTGAGAATTGTAGGAGCTGTGTCTTGAATGCTGTGTTGTGCTGTTCTCCTGCAGTGAACGAGGAATGGCTGGAGGGGCACACTGGGGGGAACGTGGGCATATTTCCTGGATGTTTTGCCTACAGAGAGAACACAAAGATTCTGCAGAACACCCAGCTGTAGGACCAAAGCACGTTATCTCTGCAGAAGCCCAACTGTACATCTGTTCTTTGAGGGTGTGAGCACATCGGAGAGGCCTTTTTGTTACACTTTTTAATTGTAATTGTTGGTAATAAATAAATCCTACATGTCAGTCCTGTTCTTTGTTCTTTATTGATACAAAAATATACACAAAAACACCAATTTCCAACCTCAAGCAATCCTATCCCAACCTTCTAAAGTTGGTTAAGATCACATACAAACACAAAATTATAAAGATTGTGATAAAAACCCCCAATAATAAACAATGACATGAACCCCAGATGGACATTTAGAACGCAAAAAAAAGTATAAATGATATATAAACAAACAGATGCAAAACCTTTATGAAGTACGACAAAATGTGTTTTTGAAATGTTTGTGTATTTTGGTTGGGACTGTGTGTATTAATGAACAGCAGTGCCAGAGTGTTTGTTGTTCTAAAATCCATCTGACCTCTCATGCGGCCTCATTAGTCAATTTCAACGTCGTAAGTATGTATTTCTGTGTGATGGAACTTCTAAATACAGACCCTAAGGAATTCACTAAAAGATCTTGTCTGCCAGAGTCTTTCTGGAGCAAAAACAGGACACAACGTGCCAAAGAAGACAAGTGTTGATGCTGATGTAGCAGTGTGGTCTACTGTCCACCTGTTTTTATTTACTTAGCAGAGGTGAGCAGTGTATAAAAAGGGCTGACGTTGTCGGACCAACCCTCGCTCACCTCTGACGTCAACAACCTGTGCCGCAGGTACTGACTGTCTTCAAACTGCTGGATCCACTGGATCATGTGTGGGACATGGCCTTTTAATGCACCTGTTTTATTGCATGATTTTGTTTTTATTATTAATGCATGATTTTATTGGATTTGCTTTTATCATAATGCAAGAGCTTTTGTAAAGTTCTTTGTAACTGTGCTGTGCGATGGAGTGCCGGCCCCACCCACTTGTCTGTCATATGCGCACCTGTGGCGTATCAAGGACAATTGATGAAGATTGAAAAGTGCTGGGAGGACAGACACGAAAGGAGGAAGGCAGAAACAAGCAGAACAGGACGGGGGACGGCAGGCGCGGGCCTGGTGGCCCCATGGCAAAGATGCGCGAAGGAAGGAAAGGGAAAAGGCACAAGAGCCACAGAGAGCAGCGGGGCGAGCCACAGAGCGCAGCGGGGCGAGCCACAGAGCGCAGCGGGACCAGTTGGCCAGCCACTCAAGGCCTGAACTACTTCACCTGAGCGGCCGTTTAGATAGCCGCTCAGGCCCGGTGAGTGGCACCAGAAGGGGCGGGGGTTTCCGGGGCCAACAATCCTCCCACTGGCTTCTTGGGTTCTTGTTCCCTCAGGAGCGGCGAGAGGTGCTGGTATCGAGGCCCAGGGTGTTGCGCTTGAGGAGATGGGAGCACCAGGACCGTCCACTGCAGCGGCTTTTAATCTCTTTTTGCACTGACTGGTTTATGGCACTCGCCTGCTCATTTTAACATTTTTTTTATTGTAATAAATCTTTTTATCGTATCACCTGGTTTATTTAAGGCTATGCTCACACTCAGAGAGCAGCTGTCCTCCTGTGGACTCACCACCTGCAGAGGGTCAGTGAGGGGCTGGTGCTATGAGACTTGGGTGGCATCTCTGACTGTCACCCCCCTGACCCAGAAATGGATTAAAGGGAAGAAAATGGATGGATGGATGGACCTGGTTTATTTTGCACTGCTCACTCCAGTGATTTATACCTGTGTTTTAAAATAGGTCCTAGGTCCTTAACCTAGGTGGCGTTGCTGACCTTTTTAACTTGGCGAATTGTAATTTGGTTTTATGATAAATTAATTTATTCCTTCCCTCGGTCACAGAATCTGGCGTTCGCTGGCAGGATCACAGGTTCGTGAGCAGTGTTTTAAACCAGAGTTTTTTATTTTTGGAAGCTTTTAACATACATTTTTAATCATGATGATGATGCCAGTTTATCTAGGGGCTCCATGGGTGCCTAAAATTGGAAGGTTGTGATAGAAATTTAAAGTGTTTGGAATGCAGAAAGCAAATGCAGGGTTTTGGACAGCCCAAAGGAGAGGAGTCTGGGATTGTGATTTGGAGACTGACCCGAGTTGGACCCACAGGGAGGGACTACTGTGGCCTGGTCGAGGCCCTTGACGAGCCGAACGCAGTTTCCTGTACCAAGCGGATGGCTCGGATGTTCATGGTGCCTGTGACGTTGCTTGACCCCAGCAACAATGGAGAAATGGACGTTGGGCTGGTATGAGGCAGCAGGACATGAAACTGAGACCTTGGACATGAAAATGCCCTTCTGGTGAGCGAGTGTATGTGTGATGGTGAGGAAGACCATGGTAAAGTCTGGAGTTCGTGTCAATAGGAGCCCTAACTGATTTGTAGCCTATGCTGAGGCTAGAGTCAGGCTGAAAAAACTTGCATTGCTCCCTCCATTGACCATTGAAGCTTAGCTTGAAGCGTAAGAACCGTCCTGGATGTTGTGTTACCAGTTGTAGCTGTTGTTCCCGAGAAAGGGCCCACTTGATCCGTATGCAGCACCAAAGGACTGAGCCCCGCCCGTAACAGAGACTAGAATAAACAGTGATCCAGGGACTGGCACCCATAAAGTGTAGGGGGATGTGGGACATGGCCTTTTAATGCACCTGTTTTATTGCATGATTGTTTTTATTATTAATGCATGATTTTATTGGATTTGCTTTTATCATAATGCAAGAGCTTTTGTAAAGTTCTTTGTAACTGTGCTGTGCGATGGAGTGCAGCCCCCACCCACTTGTCTGTCATATGCGCACCTGTGGCGTATCAAGGACAATTGATGAAGATTGAAAAGTGCTGGGAGGACAGACACGAAAGGAGGAAGGCAGAAACAAGCAGAACAGGACGGGGGACGGCAGGCGCGGGCCTGGTGGCCCCATGGCAAAGATGCGCGAAGGAAGGAAAGGGAAAAGGCACAAGAGCCACAGAGAGCAGCGGGGCGAGCCACAGAGAGCAGCGGGGCGAGCCACAGAGCGCAGCGGGGCGAGCCACAGAGCGCAGCGGGGCGAGCCACAGAGCGCAGCGGGGCGAGCCACAGAGCGCAGCGGGACCAGTTGGCCAGCCACTCAAGGCCTGAACTACTTCACCTGAGCGGCCGTTTAGATAGCCGCTCAGGCCCGGTGAGTGGCACCAGAAGGGGCGGGGGTTTCCGGGGCCAACAATCCTCCCACTGGCTTCTTGGGTTCTTGTTCCCTCAGGAGCGGCGAGAGGTGCTGGTCTCGAGGCCCAGGGTGTTGCGCTTGAGGAGATGGGAGCACCAGGACCGTCCACTGCAGCGGCTTTTAATCTCTTTTTGCACTGACTGGTTTTATGGCACTCGCCTGCTCATTTTAACATTTTTTTTATTGTAATAAATCTTGTTATCGTATCACCTGGTTTATTTTGCACTGCTCACTCCAGTGATTTTATACCTGTGTTTTAAAATAGGTCCTAGGTCCTTAACCTAGGTGGCGTTGCTGACCTTTTTAACTTGGCGAATTGTAATTTGGTTTTATGATAAATTAATTTATTCCTTCCCTCGGTCACACATGAGCTTGCGTGTGGTTTGGCGCATCGATTGGTACTTATTATTTGCAGTTTGAGCGTCCGGGAGGCCGGCCCTCTGGGTCTTTCCACTCGTTGTGACGAGATGCATAGAGTAAAAGGATGAATGTAAGTTGTGATAGCGTAGTGGTGGGGGGGGTGAGCGCGTTATGGAGAGTAACCTCGACTAATACTTTCAGGATCAGCACGAGCCTCTTCTTCTCCCCTTCATGTTCCATGCATGTGTGAACGTTTGTGTGGACCAATGATGTGTACGGATCAAGAGTGTGCCTGGCATAACGCCATGTCTGACGCAGATACTTATTTTAACTTAAACTTAACTCAATTAAATTATAATAAATTATGTTTTCTATAAGTTATTGTCTCTGTCCTCAATGTCCTCCGAACCTGTGTCCTTTTATTTTTGCGGGAGAAATTGGGTTTCCCTATACCTTACATAAAGAGGGTGGCGTTGCAATTGGTGTGAGGTAGTGAAAAAGTATCTAGTGGTAGTAAGACGACCGCACCGGACCCTCGATGCTACACTGAGGGAAATTCGAGCTGGTTCCTCCTCAAGGACTCTTCCGTCCCTCCCTGGTGTTTGTGAAGAGTTTATTAAGAGCAATAATGAGAGAGAGACTGAGCTGTCTTGGGTTCGAATCCCGGTCAGAACATTTCGTTTCTGAGTGGGGTTTGCATATTATACCTGTGTCTGCATATGTTGCCCCCGGGTGCTCCGGTTCTCCCTACCACTAAAAACATGCACAATAGGCATGAATGTAATGAGTGTGGAGGGAATGGAACAATCTCTGACCTCTGGGTGACCTTGATCTGTATAATGCACAATGAATTAATAAAAAATAAAGTATTCAGTCTGGTATTCCTTGCATCATTGACTGACTGAAAAACTCAAAATTGAGGAGCCACTCTACTGTAACTATTCCACAGGTTGGAGTTTTGAGACGAGACCTGGGGAAGTTCAACAACTGTTTTTCTTACTTCACTGATCTGACAGGAGAATACAGAGATAACAGCCCTGTCAGAGACCAGGGAGAGACCAGAGAGAGACCAGTGAGACCAGACACATACCAGAGAGAGACCAGTGAGACCAGAGAGAGACCAGAGACTTCAGGTTCCCTTCTTTACTGTTCCCTGAGGTTATTGACAAATTCGGATCCTCCTGGTCATTACGGCCGGAACACTGTGTTCCCGGTCATCAATGAAGGAAGGAATTTCTATGCCTTATTTACGGTATCAAGAGGAAGGACTGAAGGACTATATGTTTGTCCTTCTAGACCAATGGAAGCTCTCTTCTCCTGATTTTCTAATCTAATTGGGATTTCCTCAGAGGTATCTGCTGCTGTGATTTTGGGCATTCCAAAATAAATAGATTTGAATTGAGATACATGTCTAAGGTCAAAACACTGTTGGAAAATTCATGCATTTAGAATGAAGCCTGATAATAAGTGGCTCACTGCACATAAGAGTCCCAGTGGCACTTGTGAAGACGCCGTGTGATTGGACAATCTGATTGACTTCCTATAAGCTCTGCAAAGATGGCTAATTGAACCGGCTCCTTCCATCTCTTGCTGTGGAGAGGGAAAAAAAATCCAAATTACTCCAATCTTTGTCCAATAATGAGATGTGTGAGTTATTCTTGCCAGGCCTAAGCTCTCCGCTTTCTTTCTAAATTACCCCTTTTAAAATAACATGGATTGATACGGTGCATTACACAACTGCCCTGGAGGAGGGTCTGCTTCTTACTTGCCTTACAAAAGTATTCATACACCATGACATTTGTCTTGTTTTAAAATACGTAACAAACTGTTTGTAATATAAAAAAACAATAAGCCTCGTGAATCGATTTGATAATAATAATGCATGGATTTTATCCAGCAATTTGGACATTGCTGGATTGCTGGACATTCAAATACGCTTCATGGGTCATTATTCATTCACTTCATAGATGACGGTGAATGAATAAGGACCATGCAGCCACAGCTGCCCTGGGGCGCACTATGGCATTGGGCCTTCCTACCACCAACCATTTACTCACTCACCAGGCACATTCTAGGCAATGTGGGTGAAGTGTCTTAAGCCTGGTTCACACGAGACAATTTTAAAATTGTCGACCGATTTTTTTCTCCGTGTGAGACCCCACACACGGAGATAAAAAATCACGGGTCTAACCACTTTGGTCGTACAGTGTGTGGCGCGCAGCCACACGGCAGAATCACGCAAACCACACACGAACCGATTTCACCCCCGAGCATTCACAGGTCACCGGAAATCTCACAACATCGCTCGAGATCAAGCGTGACTTCAGAGTAAACAGAGTGTGCGGGCTCTATAGTCCGCTTCACGCAGCCTATAGAGACTCTCGTCTGACCACAGCAGCCACAGAGACACCATGAGGACAAACACATACATGAGGATTTTACTGCTCTACAGTTCTCTGGCCCGTGCTGTCTGTGCTGTTCAACAATACAGTTTGTACGGACTACCTGTGAACGCATCACACACACTGCTAGACATGAAACTTTACATACGCGCAAACCAACAAGCACGGCTGCAGTAACGGCTGCATCACCACGTCTGTACTGTATTAGGACAGAGTGCAAAGTAAACGTACAAACACAACCCATCAGTCTGATCATTTAGTGTACTAATCCCGTCCGAATAGGGCTTATGCCAACACTACTTGTGCAGCAGGTCCTTGTCATTTCGGTGATGATATTCTTTACACGACACGTCATACATACATTCACGGTGTTGCCAGAGGTCAACTAGTGCCTCCATCTCTGATGTCCACCGAACTTTCTGGTGCGCCATGCCGGTGACTGTTTTTTTTTTTTACGGTGTTTCCTCGCCGCCTCTTCTCGTCTTCTGATTGGCTACACGCCGCAGTCATGGCAACGCGCTCGTCTGTCCTCGGGGGACACCACACAAGAAGAGAAATCGGGCCAAAACAATCCAACATGTTGGATATCCCCAATATTGAGATCGGAGCAGTCCCGAAGTCCTTCCGAGCGACGAGCACAGTCTTAACACACCACACACGGCAGGAAAATCCATCAGATTTTTTGTTACGATATTCGGAGCGTTCTTACGATTGTCGTAGGGGTAAATCGGGTCCAAAATCGGCCCAATTATCCTGCCGTGTGAACCAGGCTTTACCCAAGGACACAACGACACGTTGGCACTTTTCAAGCGCAGCCGCCCCACTGAATCAATCAATCAATCAAAGTTGATTTGTAGAGCGCCTTTCATACACAGGACAACACAAAGCCTTCACAGTCCACATCACCCAAGGCACTGTAGCACCTGGTGTTCCCATAGCTCTCCCATCACTGTACTTACCAGGGCCTGCCCTCCATAGCTTCGAAGCACTTATGGGATCTGGCTTTCACCAGTAGATGGGAATGCAAAACTGGAAAACGGTTGATAAGGGACAGAAAGGATGTGTTTTCGTTCCACAGGTGCTACTAATATCTTTGCTTTCACCATGTCCTCACAAGTTTGAAGAAGGAACCATGGAGGACCACAGATATGTAAAAGCACTACCCGAGAAATAATCATTTGGGAAAATAATTAGGCAGAAATCTGGAAACCGGCGTCATAGCAGCAAAGTGTCAACATTGTAACCACACGCACCGAAAGACAGCATTAACACAACAGGAGGCACATTGTGTAGTTTGTACACAACAGACTCACACGTGAACAATACTAAACTTTCTTCACAGCGACAGTGATGAGAACAAGGCATAATCTGCAACACAGTCTCGGATGTACTGACCTGCTCCGAGTCTACTACTATGTCAGAAGTTTCAACAAAACGTATTCAGGGACAAGCCTCAAATATGCAAAATACCCAGAATCAGAACAGACAGAGTTTAATGTTCTTTTTTCTTACTGTGATAGCAAAAGCTATTAATAATCTGAGATTTTTAGCCACAGTTTTGTCGCAGCTGTGCATGTCCTGGCTTCTCTGATCAGTGAGTTTAATCTCCCACAGACGTCCCATTCCTCCGTCTCTTCTCTTCACACCATGTTTGTAAAACCTTAGAGCCTCTGTGCAGTGGGTGCCACTTCAGAACGAGGGCTGTTTACATTTCAGTTTACATTGTATTGCTATAATGTCAAGTGACCAAGACGTAAGGAGAATGACTGGGAGTTGGGGACCACTGTCAAAGACAGTTTTAAAGTTTTTTTAAAGTTGTTTTAAAGTAAATGAAAGTTGTGACTGCAGTGATCTCCCAATTGGAATAACCAAAACAATACATACAAAAAGTGGCTGAATAATCAAATGACCATAAACTGAAAACTGGATATTTTTTACTTAATGTAAGAGATTTTGGGAGTTATTTGACACTGTTTTTGTTTTGTTTGTCGCAAGGGACTTAATTAATAGGCCATTTTGTGCTGTGTGCTGTCCAAGTAACTCAATCCATCTGATTGATCTTGCTGTCTCCTGTATGTATGTGAGACTCTGACAGGTGGACTTTGTGAGGTCTGTTCTAAAGATAGCCCGCTCCTTCCTCCATGTTCGTGCATTGACTGTCATTAACAAAAGCCAGGAGGCAAAATGTCATGTGCTTTTAGCGCTGCACTCAAAGGCACCTCCGCAGCCCATTCACACGCCTTCTGAAACTCTGTAATTATGGTTCGGCTCGACTCCCACCTGCAGCGGTCTGCGCCCCCTGCATTGGTCTGCGCCACCTGCACCGCGGCACCGAGAGCAAAGCAGGTCTGTGCACAGTATGTGGCTGGATGACAGGTCATGTAACCGAACCCAAAGACAGTAATGAAAATATTATGCAAAGGTTTTATATAGTGCTTTTTTGGACACTCAAAGATGCTTCACAGGTCAATATTCTTTCACTACATGATAAACTACCACTGTAGCCACAACTGCCCTGGGGCACACTGACAGAAGTGAGGTTTCCACCATCTCTATTTACAAGAGATCTACTCTACTCTACTCTACACTACTCTAGTCTAATCTGGTTGAGTTTTCATTAGGCTTTAGTATCTGGTATCCAAGTAACCTACCAACAACAAATCATTACTGGTGGAAACGCTCCCAATTGGGGTCGAGTAGAGTAGAGAAGAGTAGAGAAGGGTAGAGAAGAGAAGAGTAGAGAAGGGTAGAGATGGCCAGAGTAGAGTAGAGAAGGCTAGAGTAGAGTAGAGTAGAGAAGAGTAGAGAAGGGTAGAGAAGGCCAGAGTAGAGTAGAGAAGGCTAGAGTAGAGTAGAGTAGAGAAGAGTAGAGAAGGGTAGAGAAGGCCAGAGTAGAGTAGAGAAGGCTAGAGTAGAGTAGAGAAGGCTAGAGTAGAGAAGAGTAGAGAAGGGCAGAGAAGAACAGAGTAGGGCTGGTGGACACAGGGCTGATTCCTGATTTGAATAATTTTTTAGTTCATGAATATGAAAATAATTAGGGTTTAAATTATATTAGGGTTATATTACTACTACGGTTGGTTTCATGATAAGAGTTTATAAAAGTCGTAAATGGGAAAAAGATAAAAGAGACACAGCCCAGAAAACGGTAAATATCTGTGACCTGTTATAACTGTGAAGATAAACAGTGAATGAGAGTTATCTTTTAATGTTTTAGTTCTCATGTTGTAGAGGTGTAGGACAGTGGACATACATTAACACACACTCACAGCTCCAGAGACTCGGACTTGACTTGGACTTGAGTGTCCTTGGACTCGGACTTGACTTGGACTTGAGGATTGAGAGACTCAGACTTGACTTGGACTGAAGGGTCCAGAGACTCGGATTTGACATGGACTTTACGGTCCAGAGACTCGGACTTGACATGGACTTGAGGGTCCAGAGACTCGGACTTGACTTGGACTTGAGGGGCCAGAGACTCGAACTTGACTTGGACTTGAGGGGCCAGAGACTCAGACTTGACTTGGACTTGCAGGCCCAGAAACTTGACATTGGACCAAAATTTTGGCCAAATGTTGTCATTGGAAAGTCTCCATTGGTTTAAGATTTGGAAAGTGCAGACTGTTGCCATAGCGACGCTCTGAGGTTTCCTAACTGCAGGCTTTAACTGTTGCACTGTTGGACACTTGTCTGAGGTGAGTGTTTGTAAATCATGATGTAGTTTTTGTTTTTATTCCTGAAATGACTTTCACTTTGTGTGAATAGAGCTATAAACTGATATCTGAGTTAAGATTTCACAAAGTTATCAGATTACAAACGACAGATCAGAGCATCAAACTTTTCAGACACAGGAAACACAGTAATTATTAGGAGCCATTGGTCCAGGGAGTGGGATCATCGCCGTCCTAGACCCTCCTGCATCAGCGAAGAACCACTCAAAAACCCAGTGGGAAAGAGAGGCCCACATTGAGAAAGCGATCCAGTCACAGGAGCAGGTTCAGAGGTCCCATCACCATGCCAGACTCAGACTTGAGGGTCCAGGGACTCAGACTGGACTTGGACTTGAGGGTCCTGTGACTTGGGACTTGACTTGGACTTGAGGGTCCATAGACTCGGATTTGACTTGGACTTGAGGATTGAGAGACTCAGACTTGACTTGGACTGAAGGGTCCAGAGACTCGAACTTGACATCAACTTTAGGGTCCAGAGACTCGGACTTGACATGGACTTGAGGGTCCAGAGACTTGGACTTGACTTGGACTTGCAGGTCCAGAGACTCGGACTTTGGACCAAAAGTTTTGGTCAAATGTTGTCATCGGAAAGTCTCCATTGGTTTAAGATTCGGCAAGTGCAGACTGTTGCCATAGCGACGCTCTGAGGTTTCCTAACTGCAGGCTTTAACTGTTGCACTGTTGGACACTTGTCTGAGGTGAGTGTTTGTAAATCATGATGTAGTTTTTGTTTTTATTCCTGAAATGACTTTCACTTTGTGTGATTGAAGCTTTATACTGATATCTGAGTTAAGATTTCACAAAGTTATCAATTTCAAACAACAGTTCAGACACAGTAGCTAATTATTAGGAGCCATTGGTCCAGGGAGTGGGATCATCACTGTCCTTAGACCCTCCTGCATCAGCAAAGAACCACTCAAAAACCCAGTAGGAAAGAGAGGCCTGGCCACATTGAGAAAGCGATCCGGTCACAGGAGCAGGTTCAGAGGTCCCATCACCATACCATACAGCAGGAGAGAGGAGAGGATTGTGCTGTTACCATACATCTCCTCACTATACAGAAGTGAAAGTGCCAGGACAATGTTTTAAACCATGTTAGATAGATAGAGCGATAGATAGATACTTTATTGATCCCCATAGGAGAAATTCAGGTGTCCAGTAGCAGCAAAAAAAAAAAAAAAAAAAATTGATCATTCTTTTTTAAGCAACAGCCCTTCAGGTCACAGCAGCAGAGATGTTGTTGTGATTTTAACTGTTTTAAAGCCTGTATGTGTGAGTGTGTGTTCTTTCTACAGCTGACTGCGTCTAGAGGAAGTGACATTTACTCAAAAACAATGGAACTCACACTTGGAGCTTCTGCTGAGGCGGCAGAAGTGCTGAGGAGGACTGCGACGGACAATGCCCCTAATATAAGGTTTGGAAAAATTCTTCTGGTTTCAGAACTCTATTACTATTCGGAAATGACATTGGAAATGGGCTAAAACGTGCCACAAAGAAATACAATATAAAATAAGATTTCCCTGAATAACAATAATGTCGTAGAAAATGTAGAAATCTAGAAGCTCTTTAATTCCACACAAGGATAAAAACATGATTTATTTGAATGTGTGTGACCTGTTGTCAGGGCAACCCAGGAGCAGACCGACCACCTTGGCCCCAGACCGTGGCTCACAGAGGACACTAGAGCGAGGATGCGCTCTCTCCTGGAGGTACTCTCTCTTCACAGTCATGTGTACTCTATGGAGGTTCTCTCGCCTATAGGTACTCTCTCCTGGCTGGAGGTTCTCTCTCCTGGAGGTTCTCTCTCCTGGCTGGAGGTTCTCTCTCCTGGATGTTCTCTCTCCTGGAGGTGCTCTCTCCTGGCTGGAGGTTCTCTCTCCTGGAGGTGCTCTCTCCTGGCTGGAGGTTCTCTCTCCTGGCTGGATGTTCTTTCTCCTGGAGGTTCTCTCTCCTGGCTGGGGGTTCTTTCTCCTGGCTGGAGGTTCTTTCTCCTGGCTGGATGTTCTCTCTCCTGACTGGAGGTTCTCTCTCCTGGAGGTGCTCTCTCCTGGCTGTAGGTTCTCTCTCCTGGAGGTGCTCTCTCCTCACACAGTCAGCCTGGTGTGTGATGGTAACAGGTCTCTGGTCTGCAGGCCAGAGAGCGGCAGTATGTGGCTGTGGTGCACACGCAAACACAGGAGCTCCAAGAGCTTCTGCTGAAAGTGAAGGAGGATGAACGCGCTCTGATTGAGACGCTCCGGAATCGGCAGGAACAACAGCAGAAGGTTAGTGCTTTAAACACACGTCACGCAGACATTAAAGCTGCTCTCCCTACCTTGCAAACATCAAACATTGTAACGAGGAATGCACCGACGCCATACTAGTATCGCATCAGCGCTGTTGGGAAATGCTACTGGATCTGGGATTATTGCTTTCAGTTGATGTAATACAACTTTATTTTAGTTCTAACTTTCACTCAAACACGTTGTTTTGTCGTTACTTAGTCAAACACGATTGGACAAATTATTCTGTGTTATGAGGTTTTCTTGTCTGTATAGTTAAAGTCACAGTATCAGACATACAGAAGCTGAATCGACACTGGTGTTTCATCAGGGGCTTAAGGCAACCTTGGGTTTAGTTTCAACGACAGCAGACATTAGTGGGAGCAGTTGGAGTAGGTCTTGTTTGGGGATCAAACCCACAACCTTCAGTTTCAAAGACCAATGCTTTACCAACTTAGCCACTGTCATCTCAACGCATCTCAGTTTGGTTCTAGACCTATTTTTTACATGCATCCAGAAAAAGATTGGGTCTTAAAACAGATAGAATAAACACACCATGTTGTCTTTATGTCTGAAAAAGAAGATTTGTAAAGATGTGAGAGAGGCCAGAAATACATGTTAAAACTAGTGATAGAAGCAAACTGATAGGAAAGTTAGGTACCCTAGCTTTAAGGAAACATCAAACATGCATAAGATACTTTTCTGAGCTTTACCAGTTTTTACAACATGTTCCTCATTAGAACAACTCCAGAACTGTATTATCAGGAACTTGTGGCATGAACCCGTAGCTCCGCCCCTTCTTTCTAAAAGCCTCTGTCTCAGTCATGTAATTGTATGATGTCATCGAACACACATCGAACACTGCCCTGAGTCTGATATTGGAGACCCGTGGTTTGGGCGTTGACTGCGGCCATGGTGGACCGAAGCTATTATTTGACATTCTAAAAAAAAATCTGAAAGTAAATAAGGTTACCCATGATCAAAAACCATGCATATGTCTTGTTTATAGTCCGACCCTCGGTGTGTGCCTTCTCTGACAGAATGAAGACCAACCAACTTCGCCCTCGGAGCCGGAGACGCCGCTCTGGGAACGCTGTCAGGAAGTGGAGGTGCAAAACACGTAAGACCACACTCATGACTCAGCACTTTTTCACTCCTGTGTTTTCTTATGACATTTTTAGGAATATGTTCAGTCAAAGAAGCAGGAGTACATGAAGAAGTTTATGATGATGGGGAAAGCCATGGGTGCCACATCCACTGCGGCCGATTGCAGAGCCATCCAGGTACTGTGTGCTCTATAAGAATATGGATTTCAAATTACGACTCAATTTAAGCCCGATTTCCACCAGCCCAGCTTGGCTCTACTCTACTCAACTCCACTCTACTGTACTCTACTCCGATTGGGCCTCATGTATGAAACGTGCGTACGGCCAAATCAGGGTGTAAATGAGGCGTACGCCAACAATTTACACTTTTTGGCATTTATCAATCTGGACGTGAGCGTACGGTACGCACAGAATTTACACCAAGTCAGTAGGTGGTGTAAATGTGTACGCTCATTTCAACCTTCATTACAACACATCAAAATACGCATGAATTTTGATATCATTGAGCATCATGTTTCTAAATTTGAATTTGTGCATCTCTGGAAACACTCACATTTAGAAAAAATCATAGTTCAAGATGAGGACCATCTTCTGTTTCTTCGTTTTTAAATCTGACTTATGTGTGTATTTTTTTCCTCTGTATATTTTTTATTTTTAATGTGAAGCGCTTTGTGATCCTGCTCTGTGAAGGCGCTTTACAAATACACCTGGCTTACTTACTTAATGTATGAGTGTGACCATCTATTTCTGTGGCAGACCCTGCGTAATTACGCATGGCTATTTGTTTTGTCTCATTGACCTCTGGCAAAGCAAGCTGCGTTTCTTAATCACGCAGCAATGGCAGAGAAAAGCGTTTTTTTTGTCGGAACGGGCGCAGTGCTCACTGCCCGTCCCACCGTGAGACTCATACGGATCCTTTCTCTCTCATCACTCCATTGCATTCACAAGAAGATGTCGCTGATGCTTGACCCAGATGAAAGCCACCGCTGAGATATTAATATTCTTTCATTCATTCATTCTTTCATTCATTCATTCATTCATTCATTCATTCATTCATTCATTCATTCATTCATGCATTCATTTCTAAAGAGATGAGTGCTGCAGTGGGTCTAGACACTAGGGAAAAAACGCGTATATATAATATAGCGGGGTTTTCTTTTAGTTGGTTTTTTTGTCAAAATAATACAATAAAACTCAATATAAACTCAGTGCGTGTCACCAACAGGCCTTCTGAAGTTCAAACTAGACTTTCTGTCCGGCTTCCATCCTGAGCTGTCGTAAAAACGGGGCATTTTCTGAATATTTCTAGGCGTGGCTTTCATAATTACGCTGATTTTCACCGCAGCATTTATCAACAGCCGCGGCCGCGTACGCTCACATCTGTGCGTATCTCACACGTTCATAAATCCTGCGTTGAGTCTGGGAATATACACCAAAAATATACACCCTTTTCTGCACAACTTTCACCTAAATTTCTCCTACGGGGGATCAAAAAAGTATCTATCCATCTATCTATCTAATTGAGGGCCACTGGGAGCATTTCTACTGGCCCTGTGCAACTGGTACCAGGTCCTTGTTAAGTCCCTCCAGGTCGAGCCAGTACTAAAGTCTTCTAACTGACAGTGACTGTGAGTTAGTGCTGCTGGAAGCCATGGTTACCAAGGATACCAAAGCATATGGGAAAGACAACCAGGTTGGGCGGCACGGTGGCTGAGTGGATAGCACGCTTCTCAGCAAGAAGGTCCTAGGTTTGCACAAATGCCCACAATTGTAAAGCGCTTTGTGACTGGTCTGTGAAAGGTGCTATATAAATAAAGATTACTTACTCACTTAGGTTGAGCAAAGCCAAGATGGTTTGGTGGAAACGGGCTGTAAACATTGCATTAAAATGTTTGTCATACTTTTTAATGGGTTTGTGTGTGTGTGTGTGTGTGTGTGTGTCTGTGCATGTGTGTGTGTTTTAACTATAGGCTCAGCTGAAAAGATACAATGATAATGAGGTGCAAAAGGTAGAAGGTGCAAGGTTTAAGAAACATATCCCCAACGTGAGAAAACAAATATCCAGGTGAGTGTGTTGTATGTTGCGTCTCTGTGTGTGTGTGTGTGTATGCGTGCGTGCGTGCATGTGTGTGTATGCTGGTATGTGTGTGCGCGTGAGTTTGTGTGTGTTTATGTCTGTGAATAATTGCTGATGGTCAGAGGGGTAGTCTGTCCCAGGGCAGCCGTGGCCACAGTAGTATTGAGGATTGTATAAGAGGATTGTTATTGTGTGTTGTCACCTGGACTCGACTCTGACTGGGTTTCCTACTGTTTCAGCCTCAGGACTCAGACTGAAGAAATGCAAATTGCCATTAAAAAACAAAATGAAAGTTTGGAGAATAAGAAGAAGCGTCTGAAACGTTTAGTTCAGAACCGGGAAAACCACCAGAAGAGGAGCGTGTGAGTCTCAGACAGGAACAACACAATCAGCTCCGAAACATGATCTTGAGATTTTAAAATGTGAAATCGTTGTGAGTATTGCATATAAGGATAAACATAAAACAATGAATGTATCTGTGACCCTTTAACTTTAACTGTGCTCCTTTGGACAAACGTGTTCATCTCATGTTGTAAAGTTGGAATGCAGTAAATAACAAATGTTGATGAATCAGCAAAGAACTTCTTTTTCAATTTTCTGTCTAAAAGATCTGATTTATAAAGATGTGAAGTCAAAAATACATGGATGCACGTCTACAGCCTCGGTCCTGGGTCTACAGCCTCAGTCCTGGATCTACAGCCTCAGTCCTGGGTCTACAGCCTCAGTCCTGGATCTACAGCCTCAGTCCTGGATCTACAGCCTCAGTCCTGGATCTACAGCCTCAGTCCTGGATCTACAGCCTCAGTCCTGGGTCTACAACCTCGGTCCTGGGTCTACAGCCTCAGTCCTGGATCTACAGCCTCAGTCCTGGGTCTACAGCCTCGGTCTTGGGTCTACAGCCTCAGTCCTGGATCTACAGCCTCAGTCTTGGATCTACAGCCTCAGTCCTGGATCTACAGCCTCAGTCCTGGGTCTACAGTCTGGGTCTTGGATCTACAGCCTCAGTCTTGGATCTAGAGCCTCAGTCTTGGATCTACAGCCTCAGTCCTGGGTCTACAGCCTGGGTCTTGGATCTACAGCCTCAGTCTTGGATCTACAGCCTCAGTCTTGGATCTACAGCCTGAGTCTTGGATCTACAGCCTCAGTCTTGGGTCTACAGCCTCAGTCCTGGATCTACAGCCTCAGTCCTGGGTTTACAGCCTCAGTCCTGGATCTACAGCCTCAGTCCTGGGTCTACAGCCTGAGTCTTGGATCTACAGCCTCAGTCCTGGGTTTACAGCCTCAGTCCTGGATCTACAGCCTCAGTCCTGGGTCTACAGCCTGAGTCTTGGATCTACAGCCTCAGTCTTGGATCTACAGCCTCAGACCTCACTTTGTCTGTCAATATGGGCATCCAAGAGTTCCTCACTTTATTTTCCATTCCCATTTTTGAGTGGCCCCTTGCCGATGCAGGAACGACAGCGAGGATTCTGGACCTTTCTATAGTGGTCATCCCCGCTCCCTTTGGACCTATTGTTCCTATATGTTTATTAATATTGCATTTCCTGTCATATTCTCTCACCTGTTTCTTTTACAGCATCATTTGAAATCCACTGTCTTTTTATTGTTTCAGCCAACGTGCTCTTCTTGGCGCCATACAGTATGAGCGCATGTGGCTCACACAAGAGGAGGAGGCCAGGGAGCTGCTGGAGAGGGCTCAGAACCTGGACCAGTGGATCTATGAGCATGTCCTGCACCAGCCCCGGGAGAACCCATGGGTTTTTCCAAAGCCCGGGAGGTACAGACCCTGCTGCTGCCATGCAATTGTTTTAAAATCAAACTGTGGTGAAGAAAAGCTCCTGCACTCACTCTCCGTAATGTTATTTCAAAGTCATCTTAAAATCAGTTTCAGCTAACTTAGCATCATTAAACATCCAGAGGTATTAACAATTTCCCTGAATTTTAAATATTACATGTTATTTCTAGCTTTTTAACATAAGTTCTTCAGTAAAATCTATACAGAGAAGCAAGTATGAGGGTAAACTGCTGTCTGCCTGTAACTCTCTTTGCTACCACCAGAAGGAGATGTTTGATTTGTTTTTTCCAAATTTGAAATTTGTAAATGGATTCAAACACACAAATGCAACTATAAAGAACTCAATTCACTTGTGAAGCGACCCAGCTAATGTATGGCTTCTACTATTGTTTTAAAAGACCAAAAACTACTAGTGTGTAATACTGTATGACTGGTTTGTGTGTGTTATAAACATACACAAGAGAGAAAGAAGAGAGAGAAGTTTCTGACCAGGAGGGGTGCGTCATGTGGTAAAGACAGACACATTGATTTGATTTGACTGAGCAGACATCTTAGGTCGCGGGGTTTGGGGTATTTATGCTGTCGTTAAAAAGTGTTGAAAGTGCTGAAATCATTTGAAGGTGCATGTTTCAAATCAAACATTACACAAAAGGAATCCTGTGTCTATCACAAGACGCAGGACCATTTCACAAAAGGGTCACACCAGAACAGCTGAGGGATGCCCCTGTAGGTAGAAAGTCAGATTCTAGTTTTAGTCCAGAGCTCATTTCTCTGTGATTTCTGGAACAATTCACACAACACAAAAACTGTCACAGAGTTCCACACCATCTCTGTCAGAACTGATCAACTTTGGTCTTGTTATTCCCTCATAAAAATGTCTAGAAATGGTGACAATATTCACAAAAACAGGACAAGATATAAGTGAATAATGACTCTACACTAAAATAAAATAAAACAAAATGTAACTTTTGCATGATAAAGAAGAAAGTTCAAAATATCTAACTGTAACATAATAGATAATCAAGATTTTAATACAACATCTCAGACTTTAGCACAAAAAAAAGAAAAAAAAAAAGTCTAATATCTCTAGCTTTTGCATAATATAAAAGTAAGTCCAAAATCTCTGACTTAAGCGTAATGGATAATCAAGAATTGAATAAAAAAATAATAAAGAAGCAAGTATAAAAATACAGTATATTCTAGTGTAATAAATATGTAGTTTGTATGTTTACATCTGTACATGTTAGCACATTTATGACAAATCATTATTGAACAGAGTAAAGTAGAATGAGAATAATAAAGCGGATCTTTGAATCCAAGCTACTGTCCGTTAGAGTTGTATTGGCACAACCTGAAACCTAACGATAACCTCTGTATCTTCTCACAGCTGCCAGGATCCAGGGGCCGGTGAAAAGAACATTGTGGAGGCCCCCAGCTCTGTGCCTCGACTCATCCAGATACTGTGTGAAGAAGCAGTGAGTCAAAGTCCTTCTGTGACTTGGGGCAAAGACATCACACTTTCAAGTTACCTTTTGTGTTGGAATGCTACTACTCGAGTAACTAGAGTGAGGTGTGAGTTGAGTCCAGCTCACACTCCTCCTCAGTTGGTTTGCAGCATTGCACCACTTCAGAATACACAAAGTAATCCCCCGACAGGTGGTAGTTGAAAAGGGAAATACACAAAATGAATGAAGTTGCAGATGATTGTTGCAGATGGTTGATTCACAGACACTTTTATACCCAGACGAAAATACAGTAGCTCCACTCTGCGTCTGCCACAGCACCAAGTTTGACCTTTGACCACAAAATCAAGTGGAAAATTATGACTTTCAGACGGTTCTGAGCATGTTCAAACTAAAGGGTACAAAAGTGTGACAAAAGGTCAAAAATTAAATGTTAATAATCAGAAGATATATTATGTTTTTCATGTATCCAAATACCTCCTCTGTCCATTAGAAGTTGCTGGAACATAACTGTGTTATACATTAGTCAAGTTTCCTTTAGCAGCTCTGTTTATTTGTGTCACTGAACTGATCCTTTGATTGTTGCATATTTTCAGATCCACATTTGATGAATAGATTGTTTTTTTCTACACAGAGGAGAAACAAAGTGATTATGTTCATATAGTACACCAATTAAATGTGACATCAGACAATCATTTAAATCCTCAAGTTGGATTTTTATTTAAAAAATTCACGGAAACCATCACGGCTGTTACACATTATTCAAGCATCATTTAAAGCATCATTTGTATTGATTATTTTTCAAATATGATTCCTTTTTAAATGAAGTGATTTCCTGATGTTGTGTTAATGTTAATCTGTGTTCATCTTTGTCACTGAGGACAACACTTATTTGTCAATCTTTCCTTTTGATTTTATCCACACTATCTCTTTGATATGTCTGTGTTTGAAATATTATTTTCCAACCTATGATAGTAATTTCAGTTTTTGAGTTATGACCTTTTAAAGTGTAGATACTTTAATTAACACACCGTTCTAATAACCAGCTCAGTTTTAACATAATAGCACATAAAAGAATAGTATTTATCAGTTGCCATAGTAATCTGTCACTACAAAAATGCATGCTGTACAGTACATAAAAAGTGGTTATGATCCGGCGCTTAGACCCCGGCAGAGCACTGTGACGACTGCAGAAGGGGAAATGAAAATAGAGATTATGAGATGAAATCCTTCCGGGGCCTAAATCCTGGTGGTAGGAGCTCAGAGAAGAGTTGAAGCTGGTCTGGCTGATGAGGCGGTGATGGGGAGGAGGAGGGTTGCTGCACTATATGAAAGCTCGACGCAGGCATACTCTCTGCATCTGTACGACAAAGGACACTCTCTCTGCAGGGTTTTCTGATGGAAGTGGAGGAGGTGGTGGAGGCAAATGGACGGACGCTGGTTAAAAGAGGATACTTGCTTGAGGTAAAGTGTCGTCTGGATAAAGTCTCTCGGCTGTGACCCGCTCTCACCTGCGCCTTCTCTGTTCGCTGTAGACGCTGGGCATTACGGAAAACAACTTGGAGAAGTTTCTGCATTTCCTTCAGAATTACGAGCCGAGAGACGTGAGTGAAGCTATTCAATCTCACTGAATACTGTGGTGGAAACGAGGCACTGATCTAACAAAATCTGCTGCCGCTCAAATTATTTTCAATCATTAAGAAAAGGTTATAGCATTGATGCTCAGAGGAACCCTGGCACATTATACCTCAGTTTAAAGCTAGTATTCCCAAGAAAACAGTGCAATTTAATATTTTCTAAAATGGTAATCCATAATAAAATAATGACAAATAGTTGAATAAACCATTTGCATTTTTCCCAAGTTTGACACATGACTCTTAGTGGAACATTGTTTAGGTAAACTCATCCTGTCTTAAAGGTATATATTTTAGGAAAGATCTGCCCTCTCCACTTTTGAACAAAACTCTCGGGTCTTATTTGACGAGCACGAATCACCAGAATAATTCTTAAAGTCCATCCAGGAATAGAAAATCCTCCAATTTGCCTTTGAGTTCTTTGATTCTTCTATACCAGGGAAATGTCAAGGTAATAACACAATGTTACATTTGTCTGGTATAAAAGATCCATGTTCCTCTAAAAAATAACTGGAACATGCTGATCACCACAGGAGTCCCAGGCTCCAGGGACCGGAGCTCCTGGATCCGGTGCGCCAGGGACCGGGCCACCAGGGGCCACTGCTACGGGGGCCAGAGCTCGAGGGGGCACAGTTCCAGAGACCACAGCTCCAGGGGCCACAGCTCCAGGGGGGACAGCTCCAGGGGCCGGTTGCTCCTCAGGTCCAGCTGCAGTGACTTCTGTCCCATCAGAACAACATGAAGTCCTCCAGGCGGTCACCTCTTTCCTGAACCAGCGTCTGCGTGGGAGGTTAGCAACACTCCACACCATCAACTCATAGAAGTCCAGGCAGAGTTATCGCCATGGGACATAGGAGCCATTAGTTCATATAGAGCGGCCTGGGACCCCGACGTTTAGTCATAAGTTAAGCTGATACCCTGATGAGGCCGTGCTGTTGATGTGACGCAACGTTATTGGTGGATGACATTCCTGAATTTCAATGTAAGTCAATGGGAGTTGTTGGGACCCTCTGTTGCTTCTCTCCAGACGCAGGCGCAGGGTCACCAGCCTCCAGGTCATCAGGGATCCGGACTACTGGGACCGTGTTGGAAAGGTCATTCCCGAGGAGACCCTGCCCAAAATGGAGATGATACAGGAGCAACTCCGGCAGCGCTAGTGAGTTTGAGCCATGTTAAAGCTGGGGTTAAATTGAAGTCTCACCTTTGATGAAATAGTCTTGTAAAAGTCAAATCAGACCAAAACATCCTGTCCTTATTCTCTTATATCTGTTTTCACATCATGTACAGTATTCCTTAACCTGACTCGCCAGATCCTTTTTGCTGAGCTCCACACAAAAATCGAGGGTAACGCAAACTCCTTCAAAGTAGCAACAAATAATGAACCAATTAGGGTCACCGGGCGGTATTTCATAGATGTGACGTAGCGCCAAAGCGACTGTTTGATTAGACAACAATACCGGCAGCGAGGAGTTGTGTGTTGAGTCATGTGCTTCGATGTGATGTGAAGTAGCACGTCATTCAAGATAACGGATTGGTTTATCCAATCACATGCAATAATTTTGTTTCAAGGCCCCGCCTTCTGAAATACATCTCCTATTGAGAAATCCCATATCCGTGTGTGAAGCTCAGTGAACTACAAGGATCTGGCGAGAGTCAGATCATGTATTCCTGGCCTCTGTTTCATCCTTGTATCACCTTTTTCACATAGAAAAGTGAAAAGCCGATTAGCTTTCAGCCCAAAGAGGCACATAAAGTAAACAAAACATGTTTCTAATAAGATTATTGTGGTCTGAGATCTTCACATTTTACATTTGTGACACAGTGGATAATCTATCATCCGTCTGTCTGTCTGTCTATCCATCTCCACCCATTTATCCATCTAATATTTCTGCTGATGATTTTAGTAATCCTTCATTCACCTTTTGTCTGTCTGAAGCGTATTCTTTGTCCTGATAAACTACACACCGTACAATGAACTGTTATGTGTGCAGTGATGCCCTCAAAGAATCCTTGCGGCTCTCTAAGCAGGTCCAGAGCCTGCAGCTGGAGACCACCCAGCTGAAAATGGCCCAGATGAGACTGCAGGACCCCCAGGACCCCCAGGAGCGTTCGTGAAGAACATTCCACCAAGATGATTTCCAATAAGACGAGGCAAGGTGCAACTCAAAGTGCTGAACAAAACATGAGAGGTGCAGGGTCGAACAAGAATTCACTGTTTTTAACCTGGATTTGAACATGGTCAGAGTAGAAGCCTGTCTCACAGTTTCAGGAAGACTGTTCCAGATTTTAATGGCATACATCAGACAAGCAGTCCCCGTGTTCAGTCCTGACTCTGGCCACCAGCAGGAGGCCAGACCCTATACTCCTCAGAGTCCCAGCAGGAGGCCAGTTTAAGACGAAGCATGTTGTGCTCAGATTCTTCCTGTTGGACAAGATGTATTATTAAAAGAAAATGTTAAATGCTGTGGGTTTATGCTGTAATGTAACAAGAAAAACAAACTTTTAAAACTCTTTTCATGCTTGATGATGTTTCTTTTCTGATTTTCTATCTCAGGAGGAGGAACACTTCAGCAACTTTTCAGTCAGAAAAACTTCTGCAATCTCAGTTTTGATCTTTTTCTTTTCAGTGTACTGTTGTATTACACTTTTAATTGACTAAAAACATCTTGTAAAGAATACTTTGTGCGTTGTTTACTCTGTGGAGACATGATGAAGAAATAAAGGGATAAAAGTGTTGATTTTGATTTTCTTGTGTTTATTGTGCTAATGCGATACTAAAGCAAACCCCAGACATAAAAAACACTGGACAAAACATACAATGGTAGAATGTTATAACGTATGTGTGCGTTTGTGTGTATGTGTTTATGAGTGTGTGTGGTTATTACTTGAATAATAAAAATAACATCCATTTAACAATTTTATTCCGCTCTGTTCATTGGTGGCTCGTGGGGGCAGCAGAGACTTCCTTCAGCTCGTCTGGGGGAATCCTGAGGTGTTCCCAGTGCAGCTGAGAGACACAATTGGTCCCTCTCTACGTGGAGATGCAGTGGCTCTACTTCGACTTCCTCCTGTGTGAGCCCCTCCCCCTCTTCTTCATTGCTAAATAAAAAAAGAAAGTTATAACGACACAATAAAAAAAAAAACAGATTGACCCTTGTACGTCACAGTAGCTCATGTTCCTCTCTTTGCCTCTGTCCGTGGTGCTGAAAAACTCTTCTTCAACCTGAGCTAATTCTCCAGCTCATCTTGGCTGTTACTACCTACAAGATAAGGTAGAAGACCTTTGCACAAGCTCACTCTTGAGCAGGAATATCCTTTTATCTATGTCTGAGCCAGGCGGCGCAGTGTCACCTGCCCCAGGTCAGCTTTGTCAATGGCAGAGAGCTGCTTTAGTAGTAGAAGTAAATCTTGAGTTATAAAGGGCTTTTCACAGACCAAGATCAGAAAATGCTTTACAATTGTTTATGGGCATCTTTTCCTCTCACTCCACACTCCACGGGAGCAGGGTAGCCCTTAAACAAGAGGCCCATGCTAGACCTACTATTCTACATTTTCTTCGTAGTAAGGGAGCATCCAGAGGTAACCTACACAGACACTGGAAGAACATGCAAACTCAACTCAGAATGGCATGGAGGTGGAATCAGAATCAAAATCAGAATCAGAATCAAAATCAGAATCATTTTTATTGCCACGTAAGTAACAGGAGGTCACAGACTAGGAAATTGCTTTGGCTCAGTGCAACAGTCAAAAAGAGATAATAAAAATAAGAAAAAAAAAACACTTCTAAAGAATAAATTTAAATTTAAAATAGAGTTACAGTTACTATTTACAATATACAAGTGCACATGGTGCACACAATGTAAGGTGACAGCAGTACAGTGAAGTAAAGTGACGTATGATGGGCAGTAAAGTGACTTTATAAAGGGCGGGGGGACAGGTTAAGAAGTGTTCAAGAGTCCAACAGCAGAGGGGAAGAAACTGTTCTTGTGGCGGGAGGTTCTAGTCCTGAAGGACCGCAGCCTCCTGCCTGAGGGGAGTGGATGGAATAGTCCATGTGCAGGGTGAGAAGGGTCGGCTGTGATACGACCAGCCCGGCCTCGAGCTCGGGCGACGTACAGGTCCTGCAGCGATGGAAGGCTGCGGCCGATCACTTCCTCTGCAGAGCGCACAATGCGCTGCAGTCTCTGTTTGTCCCTGACTGTGGCTCCAGCGAACCACACGGTGATGGAGGAGGTGAGGATGGACTCGATGATAGCCGTGTAGAACTGCACCAACATCTGTGCAGGCAGCTTGGCTTTCCTGAGGTGCCGCAGGAAGTACATCCTCTGCTGGGCCTTCTTGATGAGGGAGCTGATGGTCGGCTCCCACTTGAGGTCCTGGGTGATGGTGGTGCCCAGGAAACGGAAGGACTCCACAGAGGTGATGGGGGAGTCCATCACGGAGGGTGGGGGCGGGGGGACAGTGCTCTTCCTGAAGTCCACAATCATCTCCACTGTCTTCTGGGCGTTCAGCTCCAGGTTATTACCACTGCACCAGGACACCAGCCGGTCCACCTCCCTCCTGTAGGCGGACTCATCGTTGTTGGAGATGAGTCCAATGAGGGTGGTGTCGTCCGCAAACTTGATCAGCTTCACGGAGTCGTGGCTGGAGGTGCAGTGGTTGGTGTACAGGGAGAAGAGCAGGGGAGAAAGAACACAGCCCTGTGGGGCTCCTGTATTTATAATCCGAGAGTCCGAGACATTCTTCCCCAGACGCACTCGCTGCTTCCTGTCCGTCAGGAAGTCAGTGATCCACCTGCAGGTGGAATCGGGCACGTTGAGCTGGGAGAGCTTGTCCTGGAGCAGGGATGGCAGGATCGTGTTGAAGGCAGAGCTGAAGTCCACGAACAGGACCCTGGCGTAGGTCCCCGGGGAGTCCAGGTGCTGTAGAATGTGGTGGAGGGCCAGGTTAATGGCGTCGTCTACAGATCTGTTGGCTCTGTAGGCGAACTGCAGGGGGTCCAGGAGGGGGGAGGTGAGGGACTTGAGATGGGAGAGAACCAGGCGTTCAAAAGACTTCATGACGACAGACGTAAGTGCTACAGGTCTGTAGTCATTGAGTCCTGTGATCCTGGGCTTCTTCGGGACGGGGACAATGATGGAGGATTTGAAGCAGGCCGGGACATGGCAGGACTGCAGAGAGGTGTTGAAAATGTCCGTGAACACAGGAGTAAGCTCACTGGCGCAGTGTCTCAGAGTGGCCGGAGACACGTGGTCCGGGCCAGGAGCTTTGCGGGGGTGCATTCTCAAGAAGAGTTCTTTAATGTCTTTAGAGGCTATTGTTAGGCTGGGGGCTGAAACCCTTCTTGCACATTAACTTCTATTGAAGTAATTCTATTCATTCCAGAGAACATTTTTACTGGAATTTCATGTTTTATAATGTGAAATAATTTCTTGAGTAGAATGTGTGGATATAAAGATGTACAGTATACAGAGAACAGATGATGTAACTTTTGCTAATAAGGAATTGAATATTGAGTCTCTTTTTGACTCTCTGGCTTTTGTGTTGGCAAGTCTATACTTCCTGCACTGTACAGCCTGTCCTGGTTCTACAGCCTCAGTCCTGATTCGACTGCCTCAGTCCTGGTTCTACAGCCTCAGTCCTGATTCGACTGCCTCAGTCCTGGTTCTACAGCCTCAGTCCAGATTCTACAGCCTCAATGCAGGATTTAAGTTTAGTTCCTGGATCTTGACTTTCACAGTAACAGTTTGAAATGAAGGAGCATATTTATCAATCCAGATAAACTATGAGCACAATTTTAATGGTTTATATCTACATTTGTGCACAGATCTGTTTTCTCCAATGTCCTTATATTTTGCTCACACACAAACCCACAATAAATATTCAGCTTCGACCAGACTCGAGTTTGAGACCATTGTCCTGTATAAAACCGATGAATTATTATTATTCTATTTTATTCTGTATTTATTTTCGTAAGTGTTTTTATCATTTGCACAATGTTAGATTGTTCTTATTTATTTTCCCAGTTTGCAGCAGTAGAAGTGTCTTCTTTGAGAGCCTATAACAAAGGCTGCTCATGGCCTGAGCGAGCACAGGTCTTATACATGAACTAGATAGAGACCCTGAATATTTCATTTTCATTTTTATGATTTTATAGAAGACCTTTTGCCCCAAGCGAGCTTTGACTACACATGTGAAGCCAGGCCCGACAGGCGAGCTCACAAAAGAGAGATCAAAAACACTGAAAATGGAGAGTTCTGCATAATGTCACATCGAATCTGACTTTCAACAAGCCACTTCAGTTCATAAAAAAAAATAAAAATAATTAAATGATTGGGTTAAATATCTAAACTGCACACAGTCGAGATGGACTGGAACTCCATGGCAAATAAAGTTGTTCTGGGTTCAATTCCCCCACCAGATATGTCACCTACTCCCACTGAGGTCTACTGTTGTGTCTGTATATAGATGAACAATGCTCGGGGGAAAATGTTTTAACTTGTTCAGGCTTTTAATGACTTACACGTAAAAGTAAACTCAAAGTAAGTGCAGTAACCCTTTGTGTCACACTTACAATTTTGAGCTTAACAAAATCTTTATCTCCTCCACCATTACCCTCACATCTAGTGCTGGGAATGACACTCTTAGATTTAGTTCTGAATCTATTTTTCTTGGGGCTCAATGTATTCAACTTTTTATAGCCCATAGAAACAGTAAAAGATCAGATTTATACAGAGCTAACCTCACTCACCCACACACACATTCAGGCCCCATTGAGGGGTAGGCCAGTTAAGTGTCTTGCCCAAGGACACACAGCAGCACTCTGGTTTGATATCTGCTGATCAGACTGATACTTATGGAGATTATTGTTCATGCATTTTTCCCGCTGGCAGGTTTCTCCAAACGGGCTGTAAAACATCTGCAGTACATTCAAAACACTGCAGCTTGAGTCCTGACTAGAACCAGGAAGTACCATCACATTAGTCCAGTCCTCAGGTCTCTGCACTGGCTTCCTTCCAAAGTCTCTCTATAGCCTCGCATCAAAGTACATCTGTGACATGTTAGTGCCATATGCACCAACTCGGACTCTGAGGAACACAAGGACTGACCTCCTGCTGGTGCCCAGAGTCTGAATGGGAAGGCTTCTGTTTAGCTGTGCATACAACTGAGGGATTTCATTTCTACCCTTTTTAATATAGGGAGATTATTTTTATTTATTTATTTTAATGTATTGAATGACTGTTTCGCTGCACTTTGGGTTGACTGTGTATAAATTGTGCTATACAAATAATCTTGCCTTGTCTTGCCTTGCCTTGCGCATGATCCGAACCGCCAACCCTCCGCTCAGAGACACATGCGCTACAGAATGAGCTCCTACTGCCTTTGCTCATGTGCCCAATGGCAGCTGTGAGAGTCCGTCCCACACACGTAAGCGTCTTAAGTAATTGCTGGAGTGGGAGAGTCTGTAATCTGACAGTCTGCCCACGTTGTCCCCGGTGACGGTGACATGTCCCTCTCGTCTCTCATGAGCTTTTTGAAGACAGGGATATGCCCACATCCTCTTATTTAACCACTCCCACTGAGATCTCACACTAAACTCCAGAGAAGACAGAAGATTTTACTTATAATCCTCAACCTTGGAACTTCAATTATGTTTCATGTTAATTGTGAGATAATGTGTCTAAAATAACACATTGTATACATTATTATTAGGGATGCACCGATATCGATACCAATGTATTAGGGAGACTTATCAAGATGTTCTGCACTCGTACTCATACCATAGGACCCGATTCTGGTACCGATACCCACATTTTTAATTTACATTAGCATCACGACAGCAGACAGCTGTGCGGCACGTGTTGCCATGGTGATCTCCAAAATTTGGCGGCAAAAAAGCAAACTACTGGCAAGCAAGCTAGAGGCAAGTGCACAAGATATCGGCCAAATGGCAGTTTTTTAAAGTAAGCAAGAGTGAAAAGACTCCTGTGGACTTACCACCTGGATCAGTGAGGGGCTGGTGCTCTGTGTACTGGGTGCAGCTCTGACTGCCACCCCCCGACCCAGAAACGGATTAAGGGGAAGATAATGGATGGATGGAGAGTGAAAAGAGTAAAGAGGACTGAACGTTGTGTAAAACTGTCTTGAGGTGGGTCCAAAACAACCACGTATAACACCAGCAACATGATCAAACTCACCACCGCGCAGAGTAACCTTTGTTAGCACCGGAGCCATTTCTTTTTACCGTTTGTATGAGTGGAATATGAAAGTGGCTCTTATTGTTGATGTTAAAACAATTGTTTAGGCATTTTCTTATTGTTGAAAATGTCAGTTGTATTAGTTTTATGAATTCCCAGGGATAACACAATGCAGTAGTTGTATCGGAATTCGTCATCGGCAAGTTCTAAAATTAAGGTACTCATCTCTCAATCCCTAATTATTATTGTTCATGGTTGGCCTTGTCACTGTGGCTTGAACGATAGTCCAACTATAGCCTTGTTTCCACCACCTACTTAGTCCAACTCTACTTTAGTCTGCTCTACCCTACTCTACTCTACTTGGCACTACTCTATGTCTGTCTCCTCTCCTCTACTCTAACCCTCTGGCCAATCACTGTCAGTTACAACACTTTAGAACCATCTCTGCATGGATAGAACCAGGACCAAGAGGGACTAAAGAAGGACCTGGTACTGTTTAAACAGGGGCGGTGGAAACATTCCCTATCGGAGTAAAGTAGATAGAGAAGAGCCATGTCGGGCTGGTGGAAACAGGGCTTACCAACCAAAATGTTTTTTGGGAAACTCAGACACTTCACAGCATTATTCATTCAGTCCACATAAAGTAGTTATAAACCACCTCTGCCCTGGGGCACACTGAATATGTGCCATCGGCCTCTCCGACGACCAACCTTTTACACACACACACATGCACACACACGCACATACACGCACACACACACACACACACAAACACACATGCACACACACACCCACACACACCAGACTCATTCAAGACAATGTGGGTGAAGTTCCTTGCTTAAGGTGTTCCCGAGAGGTCTCCCATCACAGTACTAACCTTGGCTGTGTCCTGCTTAGCTTCAGGGGTCTGACAGGATGTGGCTCTGACCCTGTGACGCTGCAGCGGTCTTTAGTTCTAATGACTCATGCACAGATCTGACTTCTATAAATAGCTGTGAAAAAATCTGAGGAGCGACTTATGACCAGATCTCCCCAGAGGCCGAGGCTTATGAGTCTGATCGGCTCAAAGGCTGACAGACTCCAGCAACAGAACCAGCAACAGCTTCAGCAACAGCACCAGCAACAGCACCGCAAACCAGCACTGAAACAAGCACCAAAACGCACATCCAGCACACAGAGAAGTTTCTTGCTTCAGGTGTTCCTAGAGGTCTCCCATCACAGGACTAACCTTGGCCATGTCCTGCTTAGTTTCAAAGGTCTGCCAGGATGTGGTTCTGACCCTGTGACGCTGCAGCAATCTTTCGTTCTAATTACTCACGCACAAATCTGACTTCTATAAATACACCGTAACCAGCACCGCAACCAGCACCGCAACCAGCACCGCAACCAGCACATTGCAACCAGCACATTGCAACCAGCACCATCTGTCAGTGTGTGCCCCAGGGCAGCTGTGGCTATAGTAGTAGTTTATCACCACAGTGGGAAACTTTGAGAGTCCAGAAAAGCTTTGTATACTTAATAGGTTATATATAATCAGTGATGTATTTGACATTTTTATGGCGCCCTGAGCATCTGCCGTGAGAAAGAACCATGTGTGTCTCGTGTTCTGCACAAAAGTGTCCAACAGTCCTCCTACAGGTCACCTCTGGCAACATTTACTCTTCATATTATCATCTGGAGGTGGACGTGAGTCTATAAGGGATTTCATATTTTGAGCAGGAAAATGTGAAATATTGAAATATCTCAAACTTCACAGGATTCTGTCATTGTTGTCATTGCTGCATGTGTTTCAGCCAGCGATGCTTTGATGTTGAGTTTATGAGATACACACTCTCTCTCTTGCATGAACACACACACTCTCTCACATGCACACACACTATCTCTCACGCACATACAGACTCTCTCACTCATTCTTTCTCTCATGCACACACACATACGAACTCTCTCTCTCTCTCACACGCACGCAAGCACGCACGCACGCACACACACACACACACACACACACACTTTCTCTGTCTTTCTCTATCTCTCTTTGTCTCTCTCTGTGTGTGTCTATCTCTATTTGTCTCTGTGTCTCGCTCTTTCACACTCTCTGTGTGTCTCTCTCTCTCTCCCTCTCTGTGTGTCTCTCTCCCTGTGTGTGTGTATCTCTCTCTCTCTGTGTATGTGTATCTCTCTCTCTCTGTGTGTGTATCTCTCTCTCTCTCTGTGTGTGTCTCTATCTCGCTCTCTCTGTGTGTGTCCCTCTCGCTGTGTCTCTCTCTGTGTGTCTATCTCTCTCTCTGTGTGTCTCTCTCTCAGTGTCTCTTTCTCTCTCTGTCTCTCTCTCTCTCTCTGTGTGTTTGTGTGTCTCTCTCTCACACACTCTCTCACACACACAAACACACACACTTCACGTCACCTCCTCCGCCGCTGCGCTCTCTCCTCCAGTTGCCTCCGCGCTTCCACAGCGGACTTCGGACTTTTACGCACGGCCACAGGGAGCCACATTGGACCGGTGCTTGCGAACATGCGTCTCCCTACGACACGTACGACACGTTTACGGCGCGCTGTGGTAGAAATCCCAAAGTTCAGCAGTTAAACACGCATTTGGACTGCTTGAACTGCGCTTCACCTTTATCTAACCCAATGCGTATGTTCTGGACTCCCCCATCTCCTTCTTCTTCTTCTCCAAGTTCAAAAAGGCACCAGGACTAGGTGACGCTACGGGAAGCTCTGCTCGAGACATGCTCCCCTTCGCCGTGTCGGCATGAGCGCGGATCTAGAGCCGGTTTCGCTCTGCACGGCTCGCCTCGGCTCCGGTGGGGATGGTGGTGGTGGTGACGATGGGGGACCGGCCGGACGCGCGCTCTCGGCCAATGTGCGCCGTCTCCACAACTCGCTGAACGTGCTGCTGGATGAGGTGGAGCGAGAGCAGTTCATCCACTGTCTCAACGTGTACCACGCCAAACGGAACGTGTACGACCTGGTGCAGACGCTCAGGGTGATCCTCAGCACGGGAGCCAAAAGACAGCTGCTCCCCATGCTCCGACTGGTCATCCCGCGCTCTGACCAGCTGCTGTTTGACCAGTACACGTCCGAAGGGCTGTATCTCAAACCGGAGTTACTGGCCGTTAACGGGACAGCGGAGGGGTGCGAGGAGGGGGATGATCTGGCGCTGCAGAGGTAGGTGCTCACCCGGGGGGCAGGTTGGTTGGGGATGGTTGGTGAATCTGTTTAAATGCAAGACACACTTAAAAGTCAGAAAATAGTTTAGTAAATTAAATTCAACTACATTTCAAGTATTTGTGCATCGCCCTTTGTCACACCAGCAACTTTACAAAGTTATCAAATCACCAACAACAGATTAGAGAATCAAACACAGGAAATGCAATATACAAATAGAAGGAGTCATTGGGCCATAGGGAGAAGGATGATCATGGTCCAAAAATGTTAATGAATGACCATATATATCCGTGTCCCGGATATCATCACTATCTCTCCTGCATCAAGGAACAACTCAAAACCCCACTGGGAAAAAAGTGAGGAACCTTCACGAGGCCCACATTGAGAGAGGGGCCCGCTCCTGTAGATCCAGGACTGAGGCTGTAGATCTAGACTGTGCGGTGCAAGACTGAGGAGGGACCCCTAGTGTCCCATCATCCCGCCATGAAGCAGACAATGGAACAGCGGGTGAATAGCATTGATCAGACTACAGCTGAAGTCCTAATGATGACATAAAGTAGGAGAGAGGAGAGGATAGTGCTGGGACCATATGTCTCTCTGCTGGAGAAGCAGTATCACAGACAATCTGTGTTTTTTTGCTTAAAGTTTTAAGTTTTTCCATCTGCTAAATTAAAAAGGACTGTTTTAAGCCTGACCTTGAATGTAGAGACGGTGTCCGCTTCCTTGACGTAGATTGTCAAAATTGTGGTGCATGATTTTTTTGCTGTCTTTGTCGTATTAGAACACACATTTTTGTATACTTGCAAGAAAGAACCTTGTAAATCAATATTTGATGCTTTGGGTTCTTTTTTGCATCTGAAAACTGATGTTATAGAAGCAAAATGTTTTGAGAGTGAGGAATTAGTAACATGAAGTTAGTTCCACTATTTTTTGGTTTGAGAGTTAGACATCCCACTTCAAGTCTCTCTCTGGTCTCTCTCCGGTCTCTCTCTTCGGTCTCTCTCTGGTGTCTCTCTCTCTCCAGTCTCTCTCTGGTCTCTCTCCGTTCTCTCTCTGGTCTCTCTCTGGTCTCTGCCGGGTCTCTCTCTGTTCTCTCTCTGGTCCCTCTCTGGTCTCTCTCTGGTCTCTCTCTGGTCTCTCTCTGGTCCCTCTCCGGTCTCTCTCTGGTGTCTCTCTGGTCTCTGCCGGGTCTCTCTCTGTTCGCTCTCTGGTCTCTCTCTGGTCCCTCTCCAGTCTCTCTCTGGTCTCTCTCGGGTCTCTCTCTGGTCTCTCTCGGGTCTCTCTCTGGTCTCTCTCCAGTCTCTCTCCGGTCTCTCTCGGGTCTCTCTCTGGTCTCTCTCTGGTCTCTCTCTGGTCCCTCTCCGGTCTCTCTCTGGTGTCTCTCTGGTCTCTGCCGGGTCTCTCTCTGTTCGCTCTCTGGTCTCTCTCTGGTCCCTCTCCAGTCTCTCTCTGGTCTCTCTCGGGTCTTTCTCCAGTCTCTCTCCGGTCTCTCTCGGGTCTCTCTCTGGTCTCTCTCTTGTCTCTTTCTGGTCTCTCTCCTGTCTCTCTCTGGTCTCTCTCCTGTCTCTCTCTGGTCTCTCTCCTGTCTCTCTCTGGTCTCTTTCTGACTTATCTCTGGTCTAACCCTTATGTGTTTGTCATTATTACATTTCCTGTCTTCAAACGGATTCTTTCTCTGATTTAATTTTAGCGAATCAACAACTGAAGAGCACAGGGATATCTCAAACATGCGATACATGCAAGGCAGCCCAGGAATTTAGAGGATATAAGGAACCTCACCCACAACTATGACAGACTCTACACTTGGGGAGGGTTGGAGACTTCTGATCAAGGCCTGTTAACATAACCATTTGAAACCATTTATTTTACATGAAATGGCGCCTTATCTTTTTTAATCTCTGAAATATTGATAAGAAAATGTAACATTTCTTTCTAGGAGAGTAAACTTTCAAGGACAATGCATTACATAATAATTCCCCAATCTTTACACACAACACACATTTCTGTCATGTATTCCTATTTCCCATCCCTGTTCATAAAAGGATTTATATTTTATTGTCAAGAGTGCGTGGATTTTTTTCCTTTCTTCAATAAGTTTCCAGTGTTTTTGTCACTGCTGTAGTAGTGTGTTGTAGAATGTAAATGTTGTAGAATGTAGCGCAGGGGTGGAGACGGGAGCTACCAGTAGCTCACCAGCCCCTATCAGGTAGCTTGCTAAAGGATTTATAATAAATGTATGTGGTCCTGCAGGTATGTGGCGTGTATCCAGGAGCAGAGCAGCGGCTGCGGCGGCGGGCTCAGCTTCTGGGACTGGCCGTGTTTGGGAGAGGTGCGGAAGGTGACCCTGACTCGGGCGCGCAGCCTGGAGGGTCTGGGCTTCAGCATCAGGGGCGGGGCAGAGCACGGCGTGGGCATCTACGTGTCTCTGGTGGAACCAGAGTCCTTCGCTGAGAGGGAGGGGCTGCGGGTCGGCGACCAGATAGTGACCGTCAACAATATGATGTTTGATGGAGTGACGCACAACGAGGCTGTCAAGGTGAGGCGCTGTGTGTGTTTGTGTGGACATGACAGTCTGTGTGTGTGTGTTTATGTGGACATGACAGTCTGTGTGTGTGTGTTTATGTGGACATGACAGTCTGTGTGTGTGTGGACGTGATGTGTGGTGAGGTTTGTTATTGGGGAAGCTCTGAAGTTAAATTGACAATCTTCATTTTAATAAAATAGAAGGAATTTCCTAATGTAATAATGCCCACAAACGTAATAAAAACCAGCAGCTTTTAATAATCTCACAACGAATCCAGCTGCTGTCTCCGCATCACACAACATCTTTGGGAAGCAGCGGTGAGGAGGAGAGACGTGTATCGTTTGCTTGTTAAAGGGATCGAGTGATCTGCTTTAAGAATAATGAACATCAACAAGAACACGTTGCAGAACTCTCCTTCTCTTTAGCAGTGTTGGAATTACACAGTGATTTTCAAGGGAGTATTGTGACGCGTAAGCTGCGAGTGGTCGCATGCCGGACAGGAAGTCAAGAAACATGACAGAATATATGTACACGCATGGGATTTTGCTTGAAAGTCCAGATTTGAAAACAATAAATCATCTTTTAAAATCAAATGATCCTTTTTCCAGCAAAATACATAGCATCAAAAGAGTGTGAGTGTGTGTATGTCAGTGTGTGTGTGTGTGTGTGCATGTGTATGCAGTGTTTCCCACAGGTTTGAAGGCAATGTGTGGTGGTCGTCGGCGGGGGGGGGGGGGGGGGAGTGGGGTACAGTGGTACAGTGGTAGAGGACAATCTTGAGGTCATGAATCCAGTGAAATTAGTCGCACACCTTTTTACAGTAATAAGTTACAGTAGATCAAAAGTGACATGTTTTGACTATTTTGGAGGTATTTTGGACCAAAATGGCTACTTTACCTCAATATTTCTCAATATTTCTACAGTAAAAGTGTCTGGTCTTTGGTACAGTGGTAGAAGGCAATGTTGAGGTCATGAATCCAGTGAAATCAGTTGCACACCTTTTTACAGTGAAAAGTTACAGTAGATCAAATGTGACATGTTTTGACCATTTTTAGGCTATTTTGGACCAAAATGGCTACTTTAAATCAATATTTCTACAGTAAAAGTGTCTGGTCTTTGGTACAGTGGTAGAGGACAATCTTGAGGTCATGAATCCAGTGAAATTAGTCGCACACCTTTTTACAGTAAAAAGTTACAGTAGATCAAAAGTGACATGTTTTGACTATTTTGGAGGTATTTTGGACCAAAATGGCTACTTTACCTCAATATTTCTCAATATTTCTACAGTAAAAGTTTCTGGTCTTTGGTACAGTGGCAGAGGGCAATAATAAGGTCATGAGTCAAGTGAAATTAGTCGCACACCTTATTCCAGTAAATAGTTACAATACTTGAAAATTGCACTAGCGGACCAAATTGTGTACTTTATACATGTAAACAATAGAGTGGCTATCCTCCTGAGGACTCACAATCTGCCGGAGGAATCGTAGGGGGCTGGTGCTATGTGTGCCGGGTGGCATCTCTATAAGGTTTTAATCACAAAAACGTGTCTCCCTGACCCCAGCGCGCTTTCTGTTCGATAAAAATGGGTGACTCCGAAAGGACGTTCCGCTGTTACCGTAAGTTCTCAACAAAACGCGCACCGTCTTTTCCCCGATGCGGGCCGCATGTTCATAGAGCTGAAAGATGCGGGCCACTTTACCGCGGTAAATGAATAGACACAGCTGCTTACAGCGATGATCGCTGATGGAGACGGAGACACGCGGTGTGCACGAAGGGGAGGGGCTGTGTGTGTGTAGGTCTCTGTATGTGGGAGAGACGCGTAGCTTGAGTGAGAGTTACGAAGGGCCGCCACATTTTAAACCCCCCTCCCCGCTGTCAAATTGACCGCTGCGGCGGCACTAGACGATGCATGTTTTAAATAGCGTAACAAAAAAAATATATATATAATAATACGAAACGCAATTTGTGGCGGGCGGTCTCTAATCTGTGGCGGTGCGCCACAGATTAGTCTATGTGTGGGAAACACTGTGTATGTGTGATCGGAGGCTTTTCACTGTGATCAAATGCTTCTTGAACAGTCTTTGAGTTTGTTAGAATGCAGAGTATTCACCAGTGCTATGTAAACAGACCCAGTGATGAGCTGGAGGCGGGTCCGGCTCTGATTGGGCGTGACTTGCTTTATTTGGGCGATAAGTTTATGTTACAAATGATATATTATTTTATTGATACAATACCATCAGCCAGACGATGAGTGGAAGGAGGTGGGTTGGAGTTTGATTGACAGTGTGCATTACGGACCCTTGTTGGAGGCTGGTGGTGAGGCGCAGCTCTTCTGAATGTGTTGGACTTTACAGTACATTGGGCTGAGTGAAGTCTGGATTGTGGATAGTTCTATGTTTTCACATTCTGGGGCATTGTCTCTTTCTTTTTGTGATTTGTTGAGCTGTGAAAAATGCTTATATGGAGATGCAGCTTATAACCCATTCCACCTGCGGAGAATACAAAGGCTGTGTCCAAAAATAGCGACCTGTCAAGTGTTATCAGCCAAAACTGGACTTGTATCGGTACAGAAAAGGCTCTTCCAGACTCCAGTTACATACATTTTCTTAGGCCCTTCTGTTTCAAGCGTCTCCAGCATCTGTGCACTCATTCTCCCATGCGTTTTAAATGTCAACATGTACGTCATGAAAGGAACCAGAGGGGGCGATAGCGAGTAATCAGCAAATATCAGCAAATGAATATAACCTGTCCACAACAAAAATGACGGAGAGAAAGAGTGAACTAAACCCGCAGATGAAGAGGCCAACTCTGAGGCCGGCAGGGAGTCACTATTTGACCCTTTGGGCTGAGTACTGATTGGCTGAGTCAGGGTGGTTCTCTAATTTTTCTCTTATCTGCCTGAAAAAAGCTGATCTGAAGATGTGACAGAACCCAGAAATACACACACGTGAAAAGTGGTGAAGCAAGGACAATTCTTTTTTTTTACTGGAAAAAATCCCTAAAAAAAAAATAAGAAAAAGAAAGAAAGTAAAAAACTGCTTAAAATAAGTAAAAATATTTGCCAATAGAACAAGAAAATAGGACTTGACTATGAATTGCAAGTATTATTTACTTATTTCTTAAACCTTTTTGAGAAATATTCTTAAAATAAAGTATAACATACTTAAGATTTTACTTTTTTCAGTGTTTATATTTTGTATTATTATAAATCTACACTGGAAAAAGTAAAATCTCGGTAAGATGTTTTAACTAAAACTAACAAATTATTCTTTTTTTCTTAAATGTAATTCAAGCAAAAAAAGTTAATTTTAATAGTTTTAAGATAATAATACTTATCATCTTATTAGAACAGCCATTCCCACAGCCCCCTCAAAAATCTGACAGGTCTGCGCGGCCCCCCAAAATAATAACCAAGAAGACAACGTTAAAAATAGGCTCTTCTCGTTATTTTATTTTGGGAAAATATCCTCTGCTACAAACATGTAAACGATGCACCCCATTTTGTAGTACTAAATGTATTACAATTTGATTATTCAAGTAAAATAATGAACACAAATATTTTATTTTACAAACTAAATATTATTTATTTAACATACAATAATCATATAGCAGACTTTTTTCCAGACAAGAAAGTACATAACATTTGAAATGTATGTTTTTCTATTAGAATCGAGTCATTTGGGGCTAGTAGTATTTTCTTATTTTCAGAAATCTTGTCAAGTCATATTTTCTTCTTCTATTGGCAGATCATTTTTCTTATTTTGAGCAGTATTTTACTTATTTTCATATATTTTTTTCCAGTGTGGTAATAGCAAATTGAACACGGAAGCATATTTTGTCTTTTTGAAAAGAAGCTATGACAGAGTGGAATCTGTTTGTGAGGCTGCTTCTGGGTCCGTGTACTTTTGCGTTTTCTATTTTTGAAGGGAAATGGAAAATCAAAAAAAGGCTATTTTGCATTTTCAGGCACACGGCAATATACAAAAATGACCATTTATTTTTTCATTTCTTATAAGGCATGTATATTGTAATAACCAGATTTGTAAACTATAAAATGCAATAATTAACCTTTTTCAATATGTATTTCATACATTTCGGTGTCAATCGATTAACCAGAAGTGAAACAAGTTTGTTTACTTCAGCCCTATTCGCACGGGATTAGTATAACCTGCGGACCCCTGGTAATTGCAGATCTTGCAGTGCATTCACACGGGATAAGCAATGTCTGTAAATTACTATATTTTCTCTGACATCTCACGTAACGGCCGCACGTGCGCAGCTCTCTCCTCTTCACGCAGTTCATAAAGACTGGCGTCTGACTAGGGAATCCAATCCCGATGTGGATTTTATTGCTATACAATAAAATCCACATTAATATATAATGTAATGTATGCTGTTTTTACGGACTAGCCATGAACCCACCACATACTCTGCTGACAAACGTGCAAGCCGAAAAGCAGTAACAAAGTAATTGTACAAACGAAACCCATCAGTCTGGTCATGTTGTGTCCGTGAACACATTACACTGTCCTCTACACTTCTCCGTAAACCTCACAGCCGCGACTCTGCAGCTGTGTACACAGCCGCGATACGCGACTCCTCTGCTTATTGACAAAAACAACGCAGAAAGTAAAGAAAGCGGCAATAGCGATCACAATCACTGACATGCAGATTCGCACGGAATTAGTATTATCACAGGACTTCTGTGTTTGGACAAATACAGGAGGTCATTTGCGGCAGAATTATTACTTTACAAATTACAGACATAGCACATTCGGACGGGACGTAAGATCTCCATGATTATCACCAGGGGTCCACTAGTCTATGGGTTAGGGTCTATTTGGGTAATACTAATCCCGGGCCGAAGTAAACAAACTCGTTTCACTTCAGGGAAATCGATTGACGCCGAAATGTATTAAATGCACAATAAGAAAAAAAAAAGTTAATTATTGCATTTTCTAGTTCCCAAATCTGGTTATTACAATATACATGCCTTATAAGAAATGGTCATTTTTGTATACTGCCGTGTGCCTGAAAGTGCAAAATTGCCTTTTTTCAATTTTCCATTTCCTTTCAAAAATAGAAAATGTATTGAACGCAAAAGTACACGGATTTTATCTTTAGCCATATGGTTTTACACTTTTATTTTGTTCATTTGTATATTATGTCTGAACTATAGACAACCTTTTGTAAGGGTTCTCTTTGAATAGATTCAGGATTGAAGAGGGCTGAACTCTAATCTCTCAAACCGCTGTGATCTCGCAAAGTGATCTCACACTGGAGGAGCAGGTCTAAGGGGACACAGAAAAGGAATTGGGTGCTGTTAGAGGGATTGCAGTTTGTTAAACAAGACGACCCCACACTGCTGTAATAAAAGTGGACCCGAAAACATCTCAGCAGACCTGCATGCAGACCTCTCTTGTCTCAGTATACATGCAGACTCAGACCTCTCTTGTCTCAGTATACATGCAGACTCAGACCTCTCTTGTCTCAGTATACATGCAGACTCAGACCTCTCTTGTCTCAGTATACATGCAGACTCAGACCTCTCTTGTCTCAGTATACATGCAGACTCAGACCTCTCTTGTCTCAGTATACATGCAGACTCAGACCTCTCTTGTCCCAGTGCTTAAACTTAGGAGCTGTAACTATTCATTTAAATGGGTCGCTTAATTCTTGACCGTCTTGTCCAGTGGTAATTGGTTTCCACGGTTACACAAGGCCGAAACGTCCTGAACACTTGGGCTTAGACAGAATACAAATCAATGTCAGTATTAGGGCTGAGGATCTTTCACAACCTGCAATGCTTACAATACACATCTCGATTCCGGGGACTTTCAGTTTGACATGATTTGATGTAAATAAGACAGATTGGAACATTTGATATGGTCTGACCTCAATATACGTGTCCTGGTTTACATGTGTTTTTTTGACAAGGCCAGTTATTAGAGTCTCAAACTTAAAATCGCACAAAGAAGTGGTGGAATTCACATGTGTTAGGCCGACAGCGTACTACTGAAAAAAGGATACAGATCAACGTATTTGTGTTTAGCCCTAAAATCATCGTCTCAGAGGATTTTTTTCAAAACTGTGGATTTCCTCAACAACAGATCAGAGAATCAAACAGTTCGAACACAGGAAGTACAATAGTAACAAACACATAGAAGCCATTGGTCCATAGGGAGCGGGTCCAGAAATGTGAATAAATGTGCAGAAATGTCCCGGCTCATCACTGTCCTCGGTCCCTCCTGCAACGGCAAGAAACTACTCATAAAACAAAAACAGTTATTGGGACACAGAACCGTAGCATGGTTGCTGAGTGGTTAACATTCTTGCTTCTCAGCAAGAAGGTCCTGGATTCGGATCTTGGTTGGAACAGGGCCTTTCTGAGTGGAATTTGCAGGTTCTCCCTGTGTCTGATTGGTTTCCCCTACCACTGAAACTTAAACAACAGTTGAAATCACCTGGTCCTGAAGATCATCTAAATCTGGAGATGGGTCCCTGTTACTACGACGACCACTGCTTCTGACAGAGGCCCTAGCGGCAATAAAGGATGGGTCAAATGCAGAAGAGACATTTCCCTGCGGGGATAAGTGATGTGCACCTGTAGATCCAGGACTGAGGCTGTAGATCCAAGACTGAGGCTGTAGATACAGGACTGAGGCTGTAGATCCAGGACTGAGGCTCAAGACCAGGGGTGCTCACACTTTTTCAGCATGCGAGCTACTTATAAAATGATCAACCTACTACAAAAATGTAAAACATATATTTATTTCTCAATATATTTATTTCTAAATATATTGAGGATTCTTTATATCTACAATGTATGGTGATGTACATGCAAAACCGCAGGATTTATGAAATAATTTGCATTTAAGCCCCGCCCCTGGCGGTCATCCAGGATTCATAGAACCGTAGTTACGATTGTAACTTTTGTTCTGTAGTGGCACTTACAGTCATAATAGAAACTCAGGGTGAAGACGTATTATTATAGATCCATGGTGAAGACATATGTTTACAAGCATTGACCCCAGTCCTCAGCCCTGGTTTGATCCTGGTTTAGCTCCTGTTTTGGTTGTTTTCGAGCGTGCGTGATCACTTTGCTGCTCTCTGATGTGGAGCGAGGATGTTTGCTGCTGTGAACCGCTGCAGCAGAGAACAGTCTTTAAGGCAGTATGATCCATGCTTCAGTGATCAGAGGTCGCACGTTTTGTTTGTTGTTGTTGTTTTGGGGGCAAACTGTGGCGTGCAAAAATGCAAAACTCCGGTTATTTCTGTCTACACGCAAATGCATAAACTGATTTTTTTTTTAATGTAATGTGTAAGGTTAAATAAGGGACAGGGCCGTAAAACAGAGCCAGGCCCTGGACTGTGTACACATTCGACCAAAAGGAGGGAGACATCCCACTGCGGCTTCAAAGGAACAGCGAGGTCGGCCGGAGGACTATCATTGATCATGGGGATTACAGATGCCAAACAGAGCAATAAAGTCACCACGGGGGTAAGCACCTCTGTCTCTGCCTGCCTGTAGAGATCAAAGATCACAACCCTGCTCTCGCTCCCAGGACCCCTGTCACCGGACAATCAAAGACTCACCCGCAGCATTCTAACGCCCCCCAGTGGACACTGAACACCATCACACCCGGCCCGGACATTCTGTAGACCAGCCCGGACTCAGTGTTATTCCGATAAGTCTGTACCGCGTCCTACATGTGTGTACCAGTGGAAAATAATGAAATGTGGTGTGTGTTTGTACATGTGTTATGATCGCCTGTATTAATCCTGTGTGTTCCCATTATAACCCATCTGTTGTGAGGAGGTTGTCCAAGGAAGACGCACAAATATGACGTCACGGACGCGCCCACTTTGACCACAACAAAACCAGTCTGCAAACCTAGACTCTGCCTCTTGTCTTCTCCTGAAATCACTATCCCAGCCTCCCTGGCCATCTGCGTCCCGCGGCACGTGTCTCCAACAACGGCCGCGCCGGCACGCATCGGGCCTTCTACTCCGCAAAACACACTCTCCTCTGGCTCGGGACCTTATGAACTGTTCCATCACCAGCCTCTTTCCCTGGCTCTGGACTCTACGCGCGCAACCCATTCCGGACTGGGCTGTATACGCGTGGATCAGCAGCTGGACCAACTTGCTGGCTTCGTACCTCCCGCCTGCCCAGACAAAGAAACCACGTGGGCTGATTCCCCAACCCAAATCCTTTCTCCATCCTCTACGCTCCTACAAAGTAAGACTGTTCTTTGTTAAATGTGTGATCTGAATGAAATGTATACCACTTCTGCTTTAGTGTGACCAGAAATCCCCTTCGTTATATTTTTACCTTCATTTTTGTAATCAATAAAACCCCTTTTCTTTAACTCAATCCTATCAGAGTCGTGTTGTTAGATTTCGGTAAATCCCTGGCCGATTTTCGTACTCAACCCATCAGATTTGTGATACTGGTATCGAGGCAAATACCCTGGGTCTGTCGTAGACCCTCAAACGTCTACTGGTGCCCAAAATAAATAAGACAGATCCATTGGGGGAACGGCGAGTTTCTGATCCGGAGACTAGCCGCTCCACACTACTAAATTTATAGCTTACTGTAATATTATTACCCTACAAATGCAATCTTCCAATACTACCTTTGCGATCGACTGGTAGATTGCGATTGACTGGTAGATTGCGATCGACTGGTAGATTGCAATCGACTGGTAGATTGCAATCGACTGGTAGATTGCAATCGACGTATTGAGCACCCCTGCTCAAGACCTATAGGACTGCGTCTGTAGATCCAGGACTGAGGCTGCAGATTCAGGACTGAGGGTGATGTTTATGTCGTTGTCCTTTTCTTCAGACTGTCTCATCTCTTTGTGGCGGCTGTCTTTGTGCAGGAGACACATCAGTGACACCGAGCCCCTGTCCGCTCGTCTTGTCAAGGTTAACAGGATTTGTGAGTTTGGAGCTGCCGCCTTCACTCAGGCTGGACCCACTCTGAGGCATGACGACTCAGAGTGACAGATGAGACCAGCACTTTTCATTACGAAATTGCTTTGGACTGAGAGGGATTTTAGGATTGTGCACTGTCCAGTCAGTCAAGCCAAACATATTGTCTGCATGTAAATACATCAAACTGAATCATACATCAATACAGACATGTGGCTTCTCCAGTGGATGTTGCTTTGATTTTTGATTTACGACCTTAAACTAATCCGATTTAATACCAGATTTTAATATGCTTTATATTGACATTTTGGTTTGAGCATTAGTAATGAGATGTAAAGTCTGGGTCACAGCTATTGTATTAGTCAATAAGGCAAACATTAGAGCCCTGTTTCCACCAGCCCTACTCAACTCTACTCTACTCCACTCCACTGCTGCTGTTTAACTGGAACCAGGTCCTTCTTTAGTCCCATCTTGCCAAGATACAGTACCAGAAACTTAAGTCCAACGGAAACACAACAAGGTAGACTATCTTGAGTAGAGTTAGGCCAAGTAGGGCTAGTGATTCCGATGTGACTCAAATTTCACCAGTGTATTTATACTTCAACTATCGACTGCTGTTTTACAAAGACACATTCCTTTTTTAGTTTTCTTTTAACGTGGCGACGACCAACACCTCTTCTTCTGTGTCTAAATTCACAATAATGAACATTTTGGGGAGGAAAACCCACGAAAGACTAAAAGCCTGCGTAGAATCTGAGCGAAATGCGTCGGATGACTCTATTTTTACCGTTTCTCTGACAGGAGCAGTGGAAAGCATGTATAAGCCTGTGGACCTGTGCTCCAGCGCTCCCTCGGCCTCCCACACACTCTTCACTCTGTCAGCCTTTCAAAGTCAGCCATTAGTCCCAGAACTCAACAACACCATTATATATACTATAGAGCTCTGTTTCAACTGGCTCTACTCAGCTTTACTCTACTGTACTCTACTCTACTCTACTCAGCTTTACTCTACTCTACTGTACTCTACTGTACTCTAGTCAGCTTTACTCTACTCTACTGTACTCTACTCAGCTCTACTCTACTTTACTCTACTCAGATGTACTCAGCACAACTCTATTTTACTGTACTCTACTGTACTCTAATCAACTCCACCACCAACTCTACCAAAGAGTTTAAATCACAAGTTGCAAAACGTTGTTGCAGTTTTGACAACAGCCGCTAGATGGCGCTTTCACCGTTTTGGACTGAACCAGAGACGGTTACCATAGCGACCTACTTTACCATACAGCATAGTATACAAAACTTTGCCTGTGGTATTAAAGCAGAAAGTTGGAGTATTCTGGCGACATTTTGCGGTTTAAAAATAAATGACATTAGTTGAAAGCCACTACTGCTACCAGAGCCGGCGCTTCCTATACGCAGACTACGCAGTATGCGTAGGGCCCCGCAGCTGGAAGGGCCCCGGAGAGCGGACTCTTTTTTTTTTTTTTTTTGTCATCGCTCTAACTCGTGCAGTTACGAGGCCCTTCTTATCCGGAATCACCCATTTGATTGGTTGTTAAAGTTGTCACTTACTGTCTCCCATGATCTTCATACGTTATTGTAGCACTTTCAACCCTCCCCTCCCTCTCCCCTCCCTCTCCTCCCTCTCCTCCCTCCAACCTTGTTGTTGTCAGTCGCGCAGCCCCGAGCAGAGGCTGAGACGCTGTGAAGCGGAGTTATGAAAAAAGGAAAAAAAGACAGCAAACTGCGGGAACAGTCGGGTAAAAAACGTGTGGTTGCCGACCCGACGCATTGACAGTCTACAAAGAAAGTTCAAAATTGTGTCTGACATGTTTTATTTCTGGTTTTAACGAGTCCCAAAACAACTTAATCAGTCAAGCTCTCTGTTGTGGTTAAGGTGGACACCTTCAAAATAAAAGTGCTTCCTTTGGTAATCGGAAGTATTTTGTTAAATTTGTAATTTAGATAACAGTGTTAGTATAATGCACAACTAATATTTATATTAAGGTAATATACTAATATTAGAGGTGTTAATAATGAAACTAGTTTTTATTTATATTTTATATAAAATATATGTTTATATATATTACTAATATTTGTATTTTGTTTATTTTTGTATTTTAACATGTTTGCACATTGTCTTTTGTACAAATCGGAGTTATTCTATCTATGCCAAATGTGACATGTACATTTCTCCTGTGTGAGATCAATAAAGTCTATCTTATCATATCTTATCTTTTATCGTGTTTGAAAAGTTCAAATGTTGTTTTCTCTTGTGTTGAATCAATCACTAATCAATTCTTATATTGCTTAATTAGTGTGAATTATTTATTTGTGATATATAGGTGTAATAGAATGTCTGCGGGCTTTAATTTGTATGGTTTCTTGAATTAGGTGTAGGGCCCCTATGCTGACTTCTGCTTAGGGCCCCAACAAGGCAAGCACCAGCTCTGACTGCTTCTGAGATCATTCTGTGGCTTAGGTTCAGGTGTGTAGCTCTACAATGATCTTTGTGTGTAAACAAGGGTGACATTAGAATTTCTGATGTGTAACTATTAAAACTATTGTTTTAAGCAAAAAAAGAAGTTCAGGATGACAAGGGACACTAAAATCCCCACAAAATCTGATCTTTATGAAAGCTCTAGGTTCTCTGTCAGCTGAGGTCGAGCTGTTTTCGTTTACAGTGAGTTCTATGGGACTTTTTTCTGGGTTGCCCACATGACTTTAGTTTGCAGTACCACGGGCGCCCCCTGTGCCCATGGGTGGTACAGCTATAAGCTAGTAATACCCTATCCATTTATTATTATAGATCCATGGTGCGGCGTCACCAAAAGCCAAGCCCTGGTTAATTTGCTCATGTGTAGATAAATGTCTTTGACAGCTTAGGACTGGTGGAAAACACTCGCAATCGGGGGAGATTAAAGTAGAGTAGAGTAGAGTAGAGTAGAGTAGAGTAGACTGTGGTTGGTGGAAACAGAGCTTTTGTGACACTGACAACTGGGAGATGTGAAAAAATGCACAAAAAAACACGACTTTGACAAATTTGTACTTTGGAATTTCTTGCATAGAATGTCTTCTGTTAGAATAGGTAACTAGTTAACCATCTTTCAGGCTGGAGTCTTTGAGGCTGAGGCCCTTTAAATTGACTATAATAATGCATCTTCCTCTCTGGTCTCTCTCTGGTCTCGGAACACTAGTTTGTTCCCATCATATATTTTGTGCATGTTCATGAAGGCAATGTTGACAATGTAGAGTTGGAGGTACAGTATAATGGCTGTTAGACAATTTAGTTCTATGCAAATCAAACACAGTCACATTCCACCAAAATGAAAGGGCTGAATATTCTGTGCAAACGAAAAGAAATTCTGTTGTACTGTAGTAAAAATCTCCTCTCACATGTTCTCACATTCCCTGGTTGTCTCTGTTGGTATTTCAGTCTTCTTTCAAGGTCTTAGCCTTGGGACTTTCACAATGTGCACACGGAAATGACTATTTTCCAACACAAGTCGCTAATCTGTAATGTTATTCGGGTTTTTCCACATTTTGCTGCCTCGGTAATGGCTCTCCTGCACAGCAGGCACGAGGAGATTGGGTGAAGCTCGGCAGCCCGTAGACAGCATTTATAAACATGAAAAATACATCACCTCCATGACTGACGGCTCCAGCGCTGTCTGACGTTTCTGTGGAAAACAAGACTTTGGCTCAGAATTCTATATCAGCAGTGTCTTCAGTAGAACTTTCCCGAAACAGAACATTGTCAGAGATGTGTCATAATGCAATAACAGGTGTTAGAGAACGGTGCTAATAACATAGACTGCATATGTAATGAAAGGCAATAGGGAAGTGCTCATGGCTCAGACTTCTCCAGTAAGGGCAGACTCCTTTTGTGGCACTGGCACCTGCCACAGCTGATTAGTGGCATGTACAAAACAAATGGCGTTTAAAACGGCATGTGGACAACAAGTGGCGTTTAAAACGGCATGTGGACAGCAAGTGGCGTTTAAAACGGCATGTGAGGAATAAATGGCATGTAAAGCGGCAATTGGGCAATAAATGCCGTTTACAACGGCATGTGGGGAATAAATGGCGTGTAAAGCGGCATGTGGGCAATAAATGCCGTTTAAAACGGCATGTGGACAACAAGTGGCGTTTAAAACGGCATGTGGGGAATAAATGGCATGTAAAGCGGCATGTGGGCAATAAATGCCGTTTAAAACGGCATGTGGACAACAAGTGGCGTTTAAAACGGCATGTGGGGAATAAATGGCGTGTAAAGCGGCATGTGGGCAATAAATGGCGTTTACAACGGCATGTGGGGAATAAATGGCGTGTAAAGCGGCATGTGGACAACAAGTGGCGTTTAAAACGGCATTTGGACAACAAGTGGCGTTTAAAACAGCATGTGGGGAATAAATGGCGTGTAAAGCGGCATGTGGACAACAAGTGGCGTTTAAAACGGCATGTGGGGAATGAATGGCGTGTAAAGCGGCATGTGGGCAATGAATGCCGTTTAAAACAGCATGTGGACAACAAGTGGCGTTTAAAACGGCATGTGGGGAATAAATGGCGTGTAAAGCGGCATGTGGACAACAAGTGGCTTTTAAAACGGCATGTGGGGAATAAATGGCGTGTAAAGCGGCATGTGGACAACAAGTGGCGTTTAAAACGGCATGTGGGGAACGAATGGCGTGTAAAGCGGCATGTGGGCAATGAATGCCGTTTAAAACGGCATGTGGACAACAAGTGGCGTTTAAAATGGCCTGTGGGGAATAAATGGCGTGTAAAGCGGCATGTGGACAACAAGTGGCGTTTAAAACGGCATGTGGGGAATAAATGGCGTGTAAAGCGGCATGTGGGCAATAAATGCCGTTTACAACGGCATGTGGGGAATAAATGGCGTTTAAAACGGCATGTGGGCAACAAATACAGTTGAAAGCAGCCTGTATAAAAGACAACAAGCAGCAATAGTGGAGCTAGTGGTCCAGTGGCTCAGATGGAAAAGCACAGGTCTATGGTGTTGATGGTGGCTAGTTCAAATCCCCACTGACTACCAATGCCATTTGCTGATG